CTGAAGACAGTGTTAAACATGATTTTCTGGATGAGGTTAACGATAGTTCTAAGGATCAGGTAGTGGTAGAGGAATTTGCTAGCAAAGATGATGGCTTTGACAGTGATACTAATGAACTGCTCCTGCAAGAACTTGAATCTGTTTTAAATAGTGTCTCAAATTTGGAGAGAGTGGCTCTAGAATCTCCCAACACTGCAGAAGCTAAATATGAACAAAAGATGACAAAGTCACATAGCTTAGATGATGTTACAGACTCAGTTGCCAGTGAATTTTTAAGCATGTTAGGCTTTGACCGTAGTCCAATGGCCTTGAGTTCTGAAAGTGAACCCGAGTCTCCAAGAGAGCTGCTTTTAAGACAATTTGAGAAGGAGGCTCTGGATGGGGGCTTCTCCTCTTTGTTTGATTTTGACATGAACCATGACATTGGAGCAGATGATGGCTATGATGTTTCTGCTGCATCTGAGCAGTGGAACTTTTCTGAAAGTGTTAAGTCCACATCCTTCTTGCAAGAGCTGCAGGACGAGCATGTAGTTGAGTCTCAGGATGTGAGGAGCAAACAGAGGGCTCAGATACTGGAAGACTTGGAAACAGAAGCCTTGATGCGTCAATGGGGTTTGAATGAGGAGGCTTTTCATCGTTCTCCACCAAAAGATTTTACTGGTTTTGGAAGTCCAATTCCTTTACCACCTGAAGAACCTCCTATATTGCCTCCTCTTGATGACGGCTTGGGTCCTTTTCTTCAGACAAAAGATGGGGGTTTTCTACGATCTATGAATCCCTCACTCTTCAAGAATGCTAAAAGTGGAGGGAGTTTAATCATGCAGGTATCCAACCCTGTGGTGGTGCCTGCAGAAATGGGTTCTGGGATAATGGAGGTTTTGCAGTGTTTGGCTTCAGTGGGAATTGAAAAGCTCTCCATGCAGGCAAAGGAGTTAATGCCGCTGGAAGATATCACAGGGAAGACAATGCAACAAGTAGCATGGGAAGCTATGCCTGCCTTAGAAGGAGCAGAGAGGTTAGCCTATCTTGTTTGTAGCACGGGTCTTGGCTGAGTTTTCAGTAATCATTCTTAAATGTTTTACCGATTGAATTTTGCTTTGCTTCATGTAGGCAAAGCCATTTGCAGCATGATCCGATAACAAGGCAAGACATTACTCATGTGCAAAGGGACTTGAAAGGAATGCCGTCTGGTCAGAAGTCTGGTAAGTTTAGTTCAAGAACAGTTGCCAACCAACCCGGCTCAGAGTTTGTTTCATTGGAAGACCTTGCTCCATTGGCTATGGATAAAATGGAAGCACTTTCAATGGAGGGTTTGAGAATCCAATCTGGGATGTCGGAAGAGGAGGCACCCTCAAACATCATTGCACAGTCCATTGGGGATATTTCGGCTCTGCAGGGCAAGGGGGTTGATATTAGTGGGTCCCTTGGCCTGGATGGAGCTGCTGGTTTGCAGTTGATGGACGTGAAAGACGGGGGAGATGGCGGTGATGGTGTTGATGGGATAATGGGCCTATCATTAACTCTTGATGAGTGGATGAGGCTGGATTCAGGTGAAATTGATGATATAGATAATATCAGCGAACATACTTCCAAACTTCTTGCAGCCCATCATGCCAACTCTTTCGATTTCATTCGTGGGAGTTCAAAGGGAGATAAGAGACGAGGCAAAAACAGAAGATGTGGTTTGCTGGGAAACAATTTCACGGTAGCGTTAATGGTGCAACTCCGCGACCCTCTGAGAAATTACGAGCCGGTTGGAACACCAATGCTTGCTCTTATACAAGTTGAGAGGGAGTTCATGCTTCCAAAGCAAAAGATTTTCAATAGTGTGTCTTTGATAAGGAAAAACAATGACGAGGATGATGAGAAGGAAATCCTAGCAAAGGTGGAGATGAAGGACAAAGAAGAGAGAAGTTCCGAAGAGGAAGAGGGCATTCCTCAGTTCCGAATCACTGAAGTCCATGTGGCAGGTCTGAAGCCCGAGCCTCAGAAAAAGAAGCTTTGGGGCACCTCAAACCAGCAACAATCTGGTTCTCGCTGGTTGCTTGCTAATGGAATGGGGAAGAGCAATAATAAGCTTTCACTGATGAAGTCAAAGGGTCCATCTAAATCTAATGCTCCAGTTACCACCGCAAAGGTTCAACCTGGTGACTCCTTGTGGAGCATATCATCTCGTTTTTTTGGCAATAGGGGAAAATGGAAGGAGGATGCAGCACCAAATCCACATATAAGAAACCCCGATGTCATTGTACCAACTGACACTACAAGACTTGGCTGAAGTCCACAACTTTGATTCTTCTTGTCTTTTGGAGTTGTTAATTTCATCAAGCCATCAGTTTCTGACCTTGACAGGAACCTGTGCTAGAGCATTGTTTGGTTGTTACAATAGCATCAATGAACATGAACTGATCCTTTAATAACTGCAATGTAGGCACATTTTTGTTTTGTAAAGTCATTTGTAACTTGTGCATGCATCTGTTGTATTTATCCTCAAAAAGCAGTGTTTGTATGTTGCATGGGGTGATTATCAAGTTGAAATAGAATTTGTTCGATTCTGTTCACAACTAAAAGTTCTATGCAAAGTAGTAATTTCAGTGATATAAAAAATGTTAAAATGTCATGAAAGATAAACTGAATTATTTACTGAAAGATAAAGAGAATTATCTTAAAAAAATGGTAAAAGAAACAATTAAAGTGCAATCAAATAAATGAGTAAGAATTTCTAAAAGAAGTATGAATTGGAGAGAGTTTTAAAGTTTGGAAAAAAAAGTTCAAAGGAGAAAATTGCAGAAAAAATAATCTTCATACTTGTTGAAGAACTTTTTAAACTTGTTTTAAACATTATTACTTAGAAGATTTTCTAAATATTTCTCCGATGTATCACTGAATCAACTTCACCAAGATAGCTACCCAATTTTAATTTATGATTAAATATTTTCAAAATACATCTTAACCACATGCACGTTTGACTTTGTGATTTATCTTTCACAATAATACATTTGATCAAATAGTCAGATTAATGAGATAGACACTTTTAAGACTTGGAAAAGTTTATTCCCATCCCAATTTTTTTTAATAAAATAAGTTCATGTGTTTCAAACGTCAATCAAGTTTTATATTATATGTTAATCTTTTAACTTCCCTCCCCCTTCCCCATGAAAGTAGCCTACTAAAATAACATTGTTTTTCATGTTGATATACACATTGAAGTAAGGTTGAATCCCATAAGTTCAAGTTAGAAAAAAAAATGATTGAAAATTAAAGATGATTAACAAATTTTATACGAAGATTAATCATCCAAAAGATTGTATTTAAAAATGTTATTTTTTTTACATAATTAAATATGTTAGGTTTATAATTCGATTAGTTTAAAAAGAACAAAATAAAATGTCATGCAAAAGAATTAAATCAAAATTACGAATTTTTAAAAATCGTAATAAAAAAAAAAAGGACCAAAACGAGGTTTGGTCCACTTGTTATTTTAAACAGAAGATAGGCTCCGAGCAAAGGGAATCAAACAGACTCTGAATTTGATTATTGTTGGGGAGAATTGAGGGTGAGATTTGTAGTTCTTTTTATTAATCCTTTGTGTCCAACATTTTTTCCTAGTCTTTTTTTATGCCACTAATTCTTCTCCATAATTACTTATACCTTAACCTTTACCTTATCTTTTCCATCTAAATTTTGAAATACTTAATCACAAATATATTGATTAGATAAAAAGTATTCAAAGAAATTTTATATAATTTGAGAGAAATTTTATAACTTCAATTTCTCTTGTATTTTTATTTTCTCTTTTTATATATTTTTCATCAATTCCATTTGGATTAAGATTTTTTTAATACATATCAAGAATAACTTCTTTAATGTTAAAATCTATTGTGAAATGTCATTATTAAAGATTATTTTATTGGGGAATTCTTTATAAACCTATGTAAGTTAAAATATTTTTAATCATCATTTAATATAAGTTATTTTTCGATTAAATGAAATCATTTATTAGTTAACAATAATATTTTTAAGCAATTTTGATGAGGCTGATGTTAGTGAATGTGAGTAAATCGAAGTCTATCATAATTGTGATGTTTGATGGGCTTATTATATTGAAGTTATAAATGTTTTTTTTTCTAATGTCATAAACATTGTGACTAAAATTATTTTCTGCAATGTCCAGCAAAAGAAGCTGTCATGTAACATGAACATTTATAACAAAAACCCAAATAAAGAATTGAAAAAAAACTTTAATTAATATCAAACAAAATAATTATAAACAACATTAACTAAAAATAACATTGATTAACTTGAATCAATAAAAAAATATCTTATTGATGTCACCTAAAAAATTTCTTAACCAATTTTAACAAAAAATAATATCAATTAACGTGTTCAAAATATATCACTAACTAGTATTTTTAAACAACTAAAACATTACTTAGTATTAACATAAATTTTGAAGTTAAGAGTTACTAAAATATTATATCCAAACAAGATAATTAAAATTCAATAAATTTAAATTGTTATCTACACAAAAATTTGAAAAAATAAATAATTGAATTTCTAAAAATTATGAAACTCTTTATCCAAAGTAAATTTTGTTGGTTAAATCATGACAAAGTTGGGTGGTTTCTCCGGAGCTGGAGTGGGTACTACTATGCTGTGCGACACCACAGGTAGATCCTAAATCTGTAGCATGCTAGCAGAGACGATAAAAGAAAAATGAAAACATAAACACAACGGATAAATGAAGCCTGCTGCACAAATAGGTTATCATGTACTAAGAACTAACATATCCCAATGCAGGGAAAAGGTTGTAAAAGTTGAGAACCAGAAGTTAAGAAGTGCTGAATAATTATATCCACATTAAGTAGACGAGACCAAACTAGCGAATACCTAGGATCAACAGGGCACAACACAGAATGACTAAGCAACTAAGTTAGCAAGCAGTCCAGAATGATTTACAGGGGTCTCATACCTGCCCCAACACCCTACCATCTTTAACATCAAGGCTTTGCTCTCTTGTTGCTGCATGAAGGGCACTTGTAGTGTTTGATGTGCTCAGCCCTGGCAGGAGTGATCTTCACACACTTGCCATGAAACCACTTCTCGCAAATGTCACAACAAATCCAGAACTCATCTGATGCGTAGTTCTCCCCACATGCACCACACAAGGTCTCCCCATGCTCTTCATCGTCTTCTTCGTCCAATACCTCCTCTTCCTCCTTCACTTCTTGCTTTACATACTTCACTGATTCAGATACTCTCTGTTTTTATTTTGTTCCATGTTAGCACACAATAATGTAAAAATGCGAATTTCAAAAGGAAATAAGTTAACAGTAAACACAAGATGTGAAAATGACATTCAAGGAAGGAAATAAATTAGATTTAACATATATTATGATAATAATAAGATATTTCCTAATTCTATTCAAAGCAAAACCTTCACCAGTGAAAGAGTATAAAAAATGAATAGTGCAATTATGACAATAGAAATGATTAAGAAAACAGAAAAAATAACACATGAGCAGAGGTAACAGGATGTTTTCTTACCCCTTTCGAGCCGGACTTTGATTTGCTGCTGTTGCGGTCTGATGACTTCTCCTTTGCCTGTTTCATTGCAGATCCTGTTACAACCTCGAATATTGTTGGCAGATCATTAATCATAGTGAAAAGGCGTTTCCTGCACAAAGGGTTACATGTAATCACTGGTCAGGATACAATTTTGAATAAACTTTTTTATTTGATCTCCTAATTTTTACGAACATAAAAATATAAATTATGTATTCCAACACACACATTATACTGCTAACTAGTCATGAGGGGTTTGTAAACCCACGCATGTACATGGGAATTTTACTGTCATCAGCTTGTCACGTAGACCCGTGAAAACAATGAAAAGTGCCAAACCCCTTTTTTCCACAAAGGGAAAAGCTTAGAATCTTGAAGTCAAATTCTTAATATCATTATTTCCAGATGAGTACAAATGGAAAACAGTAAGCATAAAAACACGGAATTGTTCATGAAATAGTTCAATAGCAAAAACCATTTGGGCCCAGTATAAGCAAAGGAAAGATAATGAATGACTCGCATAAGTAAAGCGTCTTGCTTATGCTTTATTCAGCTGCGCTTTTCCTTTTGCAATTGCATTAATGTAACAAAGCTCTAACCTACAAGTGTAAGACAAATTATGTTAATCTCACGCTGATGATGGTTTGTGTTGACTCAAAATATTTCCATACAACATATACTTGTTCTGGCATCATATTTTAAGTCAAACAAATCATCAGAAGACATTAAAAACTGCATAGATAAAAATCAAAAGTCTATGTTTCAATATTTTTCCATTAACTAAATCTCTACAGAATACACTAGGCAGACAAATAACATGACAGAGCCACTGATTGGAGAAAGGATAGGAGAAAATAACTATTATATACCTGTCAGCTTTATCAAAACCAAATCTTGCCCCAAAGTAGAAAGCCACTGATTGTAGCCATGCATCACTGTGAACAGCAACTAAAGATAACCAGTCCTTTTCTTGCATCCCATCCCTAGCAAAATTTATGCCCAATGCAGGCTCGGGAAGTTCTGGAGGAACTTCTTCAGCTGGCAAATTAACTTCCCATTGTTCATTGGGGAACCCATACAGACATAAATTCTCCTTTTCTGATGTAAAACGGTAAACAAAAGTACAGCATCAATAAATTTTACAATGTAAGCTCGTTAGATAAACTAGAAATTGCACGTTTAGATTTTTGAGATACCAGCAAAAACACTAAATAATAAAATAAAATAAAAAATTCAAAAGCCAATTTTAACTTGAGACAATCAAGATGCTAACTAAGTAAGAAAGAAAACAGCAAAGAATATAATCAGTTCTAGATATTAAAACCAATAATGAAACACATATTCAGGAATTAGTCTCATTGAAAGAAAAACAGATAAATTATATAAACCTAGTTCTTCAATTTTTTTCATTATCCCAAAGTAATAAATAGAAGTAAACCACATTCTTTATTCACTCAACATGATTGATTCAAAGTCTCTCAAATATTTAAATGATGAGGGAAACTAAGTAACCAAGTACACCTAATAAAACATCACGGAATGGGGAACTTCGAAACAAACCCATACATACTTAAAAATAGAATATGGAAGTGGCAAAAGACATAAAACAAGGTTGTCACTTAAATTCAGATCCTACCCAGAGTTGGAAAAAGGAACAAAGCATATAAAAAGTAAAATGTAAAATAATATCTTTTATATAAATTTATAATACAGTAAGTGTTAGTACTGAAACAATTTTAATTTTCTCTGGGTTGATGGAACTACCGGAAACTTACTTCTGGAACTTTATTCAGATGTTCCGGATTTTAGTTTCCAAAGTGTATTAAATACATTTTTGAATTAGAGTGTGCAGGGGTGACAACTTCTCTGGCTCCATCACAGAACTCATACTGGATAACCATCATCCCACCGCCACAATGAACCCAATTACATCTACCCTGCTCTTACCTGGCTTTACCCATGCATAGTGTTCATCATGCATATCTATCTGAAACCATATAGCACATTCATGCCACCCTTTCCCACAAAATCTATCAGTATTCCCCAACTCTCACCCTTCACACACGCACCAAAGTACAGGGAGCTCACATACACTCTCAAAGGCTCACCATACTGACACCATCAATGGCAGCATTGTTGACGAACTTCAACCAGCCCCAACCACAGTCGCTCATTCAAATTTTCAAACCACACCATCTGCATGAGCCTCTCGAACATCTGCAGAGCACTTGAATGTTGGATCAAAATTCTGGAATATCTATATATTCCCAGAATTATGTACTGAAAATTAGTTTCCAAGAAGAGTAAATTTTGTCACAAAAAAAATACAAAAACGCAAAAGGGCGTTATAAAGAGAAAAAAGGAGGGTGTAAATAGAATCCCCACTCGCCCCCAAAAAAGCTAATCCAGACAGATCAATTCAATCAGAAATCAGAACAAAAAATATAGCGAGAACTAAAGGTCAGGAGAAGCAAAACATCCGTTTCATTCAGCTTATTTTGGGGTTTAGAACGACAACAACCCCATCTATACAATCCAAAGAAATATGAAAAACAAGTCGACACAGCAAAGCAACAATGCACCACACCCAACAAACCGCAATGTTAACAAAAATCACCAAGCAGTGAAATTTCGCTTCCTACATAGACATCTATCCGGAGCAAAAACAATAGCCAAATTAAACGACGGCGTCTTCAGCAACTCAATTTGACATTTAAGCAAAACGAAAGCTCAAAAAATTCACACAATCACTTAAAAAAAAACAACGGAAACCAAAAAAAAAAAAAACTTTCACGACTCACAGACAATGCAGTAAACCAAGTAACCAACCGTGACAGAAGAAACAGACACATAAGTGTTGAAGAAAAAACGATAAAACATAATGAGAATTGGAGACTGAAAACACGCAGAAGGAAGCAAGAAGAAAAGGAGCCAAAGAGAGAAGAAAGGACTAAACCCTAACCAGGATCGCACTGCTGGTAAAATTCCTCAACATCTGCAAAGGCAAATAAACAAATAAACAAAAAATCAAAATAAACAAACAAAGTTCGTTGCTTAGAATTTCAACAAAAAAAAGAGAAAAAAAAAAGAGGAGAGAGACCAGTGGTGAGGGCTTTGATCATGCCGGCCCTGCGGCCCTTGAAGTCCCGGAAAACCTCTTCAACTGTGCGGGGGTTGTAGTGACCACCAGTGTCCATTGTGGTTGCGCTCCACAAGAGCAATGCAGAGAAGAAGAATTTGAGAAGAAGAAGAAGAGAGAGAAAGTAAATAGGGATAATTTGAAAGGGTGATAAAGGAAGAAGAAGATTATGATTTGCAGTGGTATATACAAAAGAGAGGGAAATTAAGCGTAGCGCGTGTATAGGGTGCGGGTTCACATTTTATTTTTATTTTTATTTTATTATTATTATTATTATTATTATTATTATTATTATTATTATTATTATTATTATTATTATAGGATAAGAATGTCGTTTGAAAATGAAAAATAAAACTTTATTAGGAATATTTGAAAAAAAAAGTATTAAAGAGAATAAATGAAAATTTTGATCTAAAATAATGACAATTTATGTTTAAAGAACTTAAAAATATGAATTGATTCTTAAATTTTACAATTTAATGTTAAGTGGATCCTTATAAAATATTGTTTAGTATCAAACTTGTTAAAATTGTGTCGCTGTTGTAATGGAACTATTTATTTGAAAACGAAAATATAGAAACTGTGTTTTGTAATAAAATAATCTTTTATAATATTATTTAAAAGTATACTCCAATAATAATTGATAATTTAAAGATAAAATTTATATGTGTCTTAAATCTTCAATTTCTTTTAGACTTTATGTTGGGTGCTAGGAAGGGATTAATAATTAAATTTTAAAATAAATAAAACTTTTGTAAATTTATTTATCCAATCATACATCTTTATTTTTCATCCACAAAATTTAATAATAATAAAAATCCTCTAAATAATGTATTTTAAAAAAATCACTCAAATATAATCTTAATTAATTTATTTATTTAAGTAGATCGATTTCATAATTTTTTTTTCTCGTTTACTCCTTATTTTTTCTTTTCTTTTATATCTTACTCCTCTTATTCTTTTTTTTTCACTTATTCTTATAATTAAACTTCTATATTAAAATTTAATAAAAAATATATTAAAATAAATATTTAAAAATGATGAAACTAAAATAATATTAATTGATTATTTAAAATTATGATGAGAATAAATAATTTTATTGATTTTGATAATAAATAATTAATTTAAAATAATTTATTATAATAAATAAATATTCATCTAGTTAAAAAATATCAAATATTTATAAATTAAATGTATTTTTATTTTATAATTTAATCTAATTATAATTAGATTGCATTATGATAAATAATTAGATTAGATAATTTTAAAAAATTATTAAAAATAATTTAAAATAAATATTTAATTTTTAATAATTATAGCATAATAATAATAATTATTATTATAATATTTTAAATTTATTATATAATACTTTTGAATCATTTAAATATTTGTATTTGTCAGTAATAATAAAATAATCACTTTATTAAATTTTAATACATTATCTTTAATTGAATAATAAGATGGAACAAGAGAAAATTAAAAAAGGAAAGAAAAAAATAAAATAAAATAAGAAACAAATATATATATATATATATATATATATATATATATATATATAATGTCAAACAAATTCCTTTTTTTTATTAAATTTGTATATGAATAATTAAAGTTTAGTTTAGTAAATAAATTTAAATAAATTTTATTTAAATAATTTTATTGACTCTATTCTATAATATTATTTTTTTAAAATATTCCAATAATAATTGGTAATTTAAAGATAAAATTTATTTGTGTTTGAAAGAAATCTCCAATTTCTTTCAGATATTATGAAGATACTAAATAATATATTTAAAACAACAAATTATTTAAATAGATTTTTTATTAACTTGTTTATTTAATTAGATCTATTTATTATTGATACACAAAATTTAATAATAAAAAATAAAATTATCTTATATAATACATTTATTTTCTTCTCCTTTCTTAATTATTTTTCTGCTCTTCTCCCTTTCATTTATTTCTTTATTTTTTCCGTCGTGTTCTCTATTTATTTTAATCTTTTGCTATTCATCTTATTCTTTTAATTAAAAATATAAAATTAAAATTTGATAAAATGAATTTTTTATTATTTTTAAAATATAAACAAATTATCCAAAAATATTATAATTTAATATATTATATTTAAAAAAATATTATAATATAAAATTGTGGCATTACAAATTATTGTGTTATAATTATTAAAAATTAAACATTTATTTTGAAAGTAACTTTTTAATTAATATTTTCAATTATATGAGTAATTGATTTAATATGATAAAATAATTTAAAATTAATTATTTATGCAAATAAATTTATTTATTATCATAATAAATAAATTTATTTATTGTTATAAATAATTAGTTGGTATTTTTTAGTTTTAATATTGATTTTAAAAAAATTATATTAACACAATTTTATTAAATTGTAATACAATAGGTTTAATTAAAAAATAAATGGGAGAGGAAAGAGAGAGAAAAAACTTATGAATAGAGAAAAAAATTATATATAAATAGTAAACTGATTTATTTAGGTAAATAAATTAATAAAGATTCTAATTGAATCATTTTTCTAAAACCTATTGTATTATAGATTGATTTCATTATTAACAAAGAGATTTTTAATGATAATAAGATATGAGTTAGTCATATAAGAGAATATAATATTAGTTTTAATTATAAACTCTTCATATATTAGATTATGAGTATTTCTCATTTATAAGTTACTTAACTTTATAATTTTGATCAAATATGAGATTTCAAACTATGATTGTACTTAACTGAGTCGATCACCATACAAATCATCAACTCCAATATCATGTTAAAGTCTTTCGAATGACTAATAACAAATATATTTTTAACAATTAGATACGAGTTAATTATATTAAAAAATATAATATTAACTTCAATATAAAACCCAAAATATTAAGTCATGTGTTTATCTTGCTTAAAAGATACTTAAATTTTCTATTTTTACATAATACAATATTTCGAACTCATATTTAAATTCTTAATATTTTATTATATAATTTATCACAAAATTTTGTAGTGAATGTGTAGTCTTTAAATATTTTGTTTAAATTCACGTATCATTATATAACCAAACACTATTCCACTCACCAAATTATAAAAATAGCACATCCACAAAGATATATTTTTGTGAAAATAACAAACCTATAATATTGTTGAACTAAATTTCAATATCTCTACAAGATTTGTTTATATTTTATTTTTGATAATGTCTCCAATAAAATATATAAAAAATGTATAGAAAATATAAATATAAAAATATGGTGTGAATGCCATGTTACTAGATATATTTCCTCCTTGCCAAGATGGAAATTTTTGTTTAAATTATTTTTCGTTTTCTTCGGCCCATAACATAGTTAGAGCCCATTTTCCATTGCTGATTAAACGATTAATTTTATAAAATTGAAGCTAAAAGGGTGTTTGGAAACTCCAACACAAAAAGCAGATTCCCTACTCACGTGGTGGCAAAAGTAAAAGAGAAACCTAACCACCGATTAAAACCCAAAACTATTATTTTAATTCAATAAAATATTCTAATGTGTCTTTTTACACGTTGATACTATCATGTTTACGCCAAATCTACGCTTTTAATCGCTTTTGTAAATAAAGAATTCTACTAATTTAATTATTAATTAATCTGATATTATTTTAACGAATACAAAAGTTAATTTTCATATTTAGTAATATATAACTTAATCATAATATTCACTTATACGTATTAAAAATTATGGGTTTCAAAGCTTTCATTTCATCTTCAACTCTTCCAGGTTTCACAACGAAATATTATCACTAGCCTATAGTTTTTAGTTAATAAATATAGAAAAATGTAATATTTTTAATATTTACCAATTCGTAACATTTAATCAACAAGTTCGTTTCATTATGCACTTAGAGCTTCTTTATTTATTGATTTTAAAAATAGTTTTTTAGTTTTAAAAGATTCAAAAAATTGTTCGATAATTATTTTGATAAAACAATGTTTAAAAAATAAAAATTTATTTATTTATTTATTTATAATATCAATATTTTTTATTAATAACTATATTAAATAACTCATTTTTTTATCATAAAATATTGATTATTTTTAATGCTTGTCACAACTTTTTTATAATTATCTATATTATTTTAATTTATCCAAATTAAAATTAGAGTTATTAAACAATTTTTTATTTATTTTTAAAATTGATCTATAGAACTGAGTAATTAGAAAAGAGTTTATAATGTTTTATTAGACTGGATTTATTGGCAATAATAATAAAAAAGAGTAGACAATAGTTTATGAGTTTTCGTTAGTTTATATGAAAGTTTAAAAAACCAAGTAACTATTAAAAATATCACAGATGGATTTGCTCGGACTGAATTTTTATGGCCCAATAGTTGTTGGGCTGACATTTTGTAGGCCCGTTTAAGTTGTTGAGTAGAGTGAAACGGGGGTGAGAAAAGCAAGCAAGAAAGTTAGAGGAAGAGAGAGCGTGGGAATCCCAAGTCCCAACGCGAAAAGCAGATTCCTCTTCTCTCCCTCTTCCGTTACACTATTTTACGCACCTTCGTAGTAAAGTCGTAAACTAAAGTTACGAAACCAAACACCAAAAAGTAACTAAAACACACACCAACGCACAATTTCCCTTCCCCTTCAAACCAGAAAAACGCCATTGCTCTCACTTCTCTTTCTTTCTTCGTCCAAACACTCATTAATCCAGTGGCACAATCCAAACGCACCCAACCAAGTTAACACTCACTACACCTCATTTCGCAAACTCCAGCAGAAAAAATGCTCACGTGCATAGCACGTCCCAAGAAACACGGAGGCGACTCGCCGAGCGACGATCCGAGTTCGCGCGGGGCCAAGTCGCTAACGTGTCAGCTGAAAGAGATGGCGCTGAAGGCGTCGGGGGCGTACAAGCAGTGCGGGCCGTGCGCGCCGCCGCAGAGTCGACTGAGCCGCGGCAGCGGAGAGTCGGATTCGGAGTCGTCGCGGCGGCGGTGGGGGAAGGAGATGGAGGCGCGGCTGAAGGGGATATCGAGCGGCGAGGGGACGCCGAGCTCGAGTGGGAGGAGAGTGGTGGTGGTGCTGGCAGAGGAGGAGGAACCGAAGGAGTGGGTGGCGCAGGTGGAGCCAGGCGTTTTGATCACGTTCGTGTCGCTTCCCCGTGGCGGGAACCATCTCAAACGGATTCGGTTCAGGTACGCAATACGCAACTCTCTCTCACTATCTGTGTCGTTTTGTTGGTTTTGGTAGCGTTTAGAGTTTGGACCGTGATTGGAGTGTTGGTTGGTCCATGCTGGACCGAGTCTCTTTGATTCTGGCTAGTGCCCTACTGATTGTGACTGTGACAGTGGTTGTTTATCTTTTAGCTACCGGCGATTGTCCATTCCCGTAATCAGTATCCCATGCATACCGATGTTAATGGTTTAATTAAATTGAATTGAATGGTTTGATTTAACCAAGTAATATAAATAAAGTCATTATATTAGGTTAGGTTCTACTTTGGGTGTAGAAAATATTAAAATCCATATTATATTTTGAAAATGGGAAAATCTGTTTTTGATTTTGATCCCTATTTTTTATATTTGGTTAATTACTCTCTTTTTTAGCTTGTAAAAATACACTATATAAATTTAGTCTATCTTTAGATTTTAACTTGACGTTTAATTATGATTTTGACCCTAGTAAAGGTTAATAAAAAAACTACATTTACATATTTTATAAAATTAAGAGACTGAATTTAACAAATACCAAAATAAAAAAAAGCACACACATTTTTATCTTAACAAAATCTAAAATTTGTAATTTGGGACTAATTAAAATATTTCTAATGATGTAAATCAGGCTGAATTCCTTAACTCGCTTGAGTCCTACAATTTCAAATGGAATGTAAGAATATCAGTAAGTTTCTTTGATGATACAGTTATTGAGAACTGTTAAGTGTATATTGTTTATGTTTATACGGTGATTACTTAAAAAAACTGTCATCACAATTGTTCAATGATAAGATGTGTATAAACTGTTTTTTAATTTGAAGAGTTTATTGACAAATCTTAATAGAAATATACTCTTAGAAACTGAAAGAGTGATTGGTTTATTTAGATTCATTGATTGGACTATGCCATTTATTTAGACTAGTTTTGTAATAGTTTCAACCAATAATCTTCTCAAACTAATTTAACTCGTCAGTCCGATTTGATAAAAATGCTGCATACTTTTTTTTCGAAATGGATTTTGTTGGGATTAATGCCTTCGGTTTCTGTGTATTTTGTTTGGTTTACAGCAACAATGAAAATTAAACAGGAAGTGTTTACATGCATGGTGTTTGGTTTTATTTTATTTTAACCTTTAAATAATTGTTTAATGGAATATCTAAACGCATTTCAATTTTAAAGTGAAATAAAAAAGTTTAAAAGGTGTAACTAATTTAAATTAAATTTATTTATTAGAAGTAAGTTTATTTTAGAAATTAGATTATTTTATTTTAAACACATGATTCGGGTTCGTTAAATATAATAGTATTTTGACATATATTTAGTATTTAGAGATAAATAGAATTTTCCATACAAGAGGAGAAAATTAACAGGAAAATTCTGGAACTTTTTTTTTTAAATTGTAAAAAGTAACCAGTCTGGATAGATTATATATGATTTTTTAATTAAAATATTAAGTGATTATCAGTTTATGTTTGAATTTGGATGAAATAACGGTCGGAAAAATAGTTTTTTTTTTTCTACAAAAATGACTGAATTTAGTTTCTGAAAATTGATGTATGCTGCATTAACATTGATCAAACATATAAGATATATTTTAAATAAAAAAATTAGTTTGCACAAAAAATAGAAGATTATAAGAAAACCCTCCTCAATAATTTGAATGATTTTAAATATTTTCTTTTAAAATGTACTATTTAAATTTTACCTAAACTAAAATTATGTGTGTTGGGCAGTCCTCGTGTTGAGAGAACGAATTTATGTTCTGATCTTCTAGAAAAAATTGGTTAAGGATGAGAAATTTGTTTTTTGAGCTCTGCACATCCTCATCATAATCTGCTTCTTTTAGCAGATGAAGAGGGTGAGGTATCCGCGGGGCCTCTAACTTGTCCTGTTTCTGTCTTTTACTTTCAATCGTTCACTCTTTCCACCCAAAAAAGAAATATTTGTTATTATTTCTTTTAATTTTCTTTATCAATTAGGGTCATCTGGTAAATAACAGTGAATTTGTTAATATATAACACATTTATAAATCGGGCAATGAATTAATACTTATAAATTGGGTGTCAGACAAATGGAGTATAAGACCTGTTTTTTTAATTCGTGTGATGCATGAGGTGAGTGATGGTCCTCCAAAAATATTTGTTTCCGAAAAAACAATCCAAATTTTATAACTTGAGACGGACAATCAAACCATTGTCTATTGTGTTTTCGTTAGACATGAAACTTGGATTTGAACAGGTAACTAGTTTGACTCCTCTATTTCTTGATCATTATAATTGATTACGCACACTCATCTCTTCCATATGTGATTAGTCTGTAGTAGCATCTAAAAACTCCAGTTTTTTCAACGCCATAAGTGATTGAATTGAATGAATCGTCCTCTGTATATTTGGTGGGTCCATCTTCCCCTGTTATTTCACGCCTTTGCCAAAAGCAATCCTAAAGTGGGTCCAAAAGTAAAACTTATCGTGGCTTGAGAGTGGACGTGGGTCAGTGTTAATTGTCTTGGGAACCTTTAAAACTGGGTCTTGTCGTTTGGTCGGAGGAAGCTCTTCCGCATTATTTGTAGGAAATTGACAAGGATTAAAGGGGACAAAATATTTTTAAAATTTAAGAGTCTTTTTTTTTTGAAGATATGAATATAAAAAATAAAACTGAAAGATGGAAATAATTATATATAATGTGGATGCCAAGTTTTTCATATTCAAATTATAAATATATTTTTTCACAGACAAAAATAGATATTCTTCATGCATGATTCTCTCTCATATAACAGTTTTTGTCTTTTGATCTGCAAATTGCTGGGGAATGCTCCCACATCTTCCTTCCCTCCATAACTATATACAAGACAAAACGTGAACATCTGCTGGGGGGACCTAGTAAAGTTGTAGATACTAGATAGATAGAATAGCTTATAGTCTTGTCTTATTTTTGCCAAACTTCGTATTTTTGTCTCTTTTCTCATTGTGAGATAAAAGCATAAAATGGTATCAGTATATATCTTACGTGCTCCTTGGTGACTTCTGGTGCAATCTCAATCAATATTGCTGGTGGGTGGGTCAATGTATAAATGGTTTTCTATTTCTCTTTTTACCCCCACGAATTTTAGCTATGAAATTTAAGAGCATACTTAGGTCTTTTGTTGATATTAAAACCTACTGAAACATTTAAATCATTTCTTTGTTTGTTGCGATTAGTGATATAGTGCAGACTAAAGTTTGGACCCACCTTCTTTCGATGGCTTAGACAACTTCATTGAAAGGTCAATGTTGGCCCTAGAACAACTTTATTTTCCTCACGGAATGATCGGGTTTGCTTTTAATTATTCATCAGACAATTCTTTGTCAAAAAGCATATACTCATAATTGACAACAGCGTCATATACACCACTGTCAATTAAATGCTTGGTCAACAAAATAACATAATCATAATATGTAGCAGCAAATTGCGACTACTTGGATGTTTTAACCTCAGAGTCTGAAGGACCATTCCATACATTGGTGCGCATGGACGAAAGCATAATCATATTATATAAGTAACATTAAAGAAAAAAAAAATGATAATGGAGGTGGCCAACAAAGAGAAAAGAAAAGACAATAGTTCATTTTATATATATATATATATATATATATATATATATATATAATTTTTAATTGTGTTCTACTGTTATGTTTATTATCAATGTAACTATATATGTTTAAATAAATATTATTATTTGATAAAAATATTGATTATGTTTGTTGTATGCTAACTATATATGCCACCTTCAAATAAACATGCCATACACATTTCCATTGTGTAAATACCATATTAATATTATGTTAAGAAGTGCAATCACACTATTATATTATAGTTTTTCTTAAGGACGTTAATAGAAAAGATAATATTAAATTATTTAAAAAAATATTAGATCAAATAAATATTAAAGACAATGTTAGGATGAAATTAAAAAAATAAAAAATAACAAGAGATAAAAAAAATAATTTAGGCTATTTTTCATTATTTTAGACTAAGATTATATATTTTATTTCCAAAATTTTGATGCCAAGTGTCGTAATACTCCATTTTCAGTTATAGTTCATATGATACTATGACTTAACAACTAAGTGGTAAACTGAATTATGGTTTATCTTTTATGTATAGTCGCGAGATATTTAACAAATGGCAAGCTCAAAGATGGTGGGCAGAGAACTACGACAAGGTCATGGAACTTTACAATGTTCAAAGGCTTAACCGCCAAGCTTTGCCTCTTCCAACCCCACCAAGGTCCGAAGACGAGGTAACGTCTGAATTTAGTGAGCTCCTAAACTTTGTCGTGCACCATCTTGTAATTGGCAGCATCGTGTTACTTGACCCAAATGATTATTTTAGGCAATTTTCTTTTATAATTTGTACATATATAGAGTTTTAGTTCAATTTTAATTTCTGACGTATTTGCATGTGCACTAACTTTAATAATCACTAGGGTTAGTACTCAATCATTACTGATCATATCCGTAGGCTGTACTGTAGGTATACATTTATTCATTATGCGCTGTGACCTGTTTGGTAATTTGGAATATAGATGCAGACGTGTTTACTACTCATATCCGTAGACTGTACTGTAGGTATGCATTTATTCATTGGGCGCTGTGACCTGTTTGGTAATTTGAAATATAGTTGCAGACGTGTTTACGGCTCAAGTGCTAGACTTACTGTAGATAAACATTTATTCATCATGTGTTGTCACCTATTTAGTAATTTGGAATATAGATGCAGACGTCGGTGGCAGTGGTGCAAATAGCAATGTTCACTTTGGTCCAGGCCTATTAATAGTTTCTCCACTTGAAAAGACTATATTTATTTAACAACGAAAAATATTTTAACTATTCAAAATAATTTGAAGTTATAAAATTAAGTATATCTATTATTCCTATTCTTTTTTTTTTCACAAGAATTTTTATGAGGAGATAGATACGAAGAGAAGAGAGAAAAATGTAAAATAAGTAGTAAAATGAAAAAAAAGGGTACGTAGAATTTTGAAATGAGAATAATAAAGTTTTTGAGAGAAAATAGTATTTATATTTGTAGAAAAATGTTATATGACGACAAGAGGAGCCATCTAGTAGTGAGAGAAAGAGACAAAAATATCCTGTGAATCCAATGAGAGAGAGATAAAATATACTGTAGATGACTGAAAGAGTAGAAAAAACTGAAGGATGCAAGAGGGTGTTCTAATCGTGGGAGTGTCTAGAAATAGCATTGTATCCTGTATCATATGTCACGCTTGTTTATTTTGGTGCATTGTTGTATTGCATGACATACTGTGTCTCTGTGACAGTTAGTCATGTGCTTTTGCCACCCTTGGCCCCATTTTTTCGTAGTTTTACCAAGGTGAAAAGGTATTCTGACCACATTTTTAGTGTTATTGATTTATTTTTGTGTCGGTTGAACGCAGAGTTCAAAGCGCGAATCAATAGAAGAGATCCCTGTGACACCTCCACTGAGTCGGGAAAGGCCACCTTGTAATTTTTACCGAGCAGGAGGAGGAGGGGTGGCAATGGGGTACTCATCCTCTGATTCGTTTGATCATCAGTCAATGCAATCCCGGCATTACTATGACCCGAGTGGCGTGAACTCAACCCCAAAGGTGTCCACCATTAGTGCTGCTGCCAAGACAGATATCTCATCAATGGATGCTGATGCTTCTATTAGAAGTAGCTCATCTAGAGAAGCTGATCGTTCTGGGGATCTTTCAATCAGCAATGCCAGTGACCTGGACGCTGAATGGGTTGAGCAGGATGAACCTGGGGTTTACATTACCATCAGAGCTCTCCCAGGTGGCAAAAGGGAGCTCAAACGAGTAAGGTTCAGGTATGCTAGCTTGCCACAAGTTTACATAAAGTTCTTTTAGTAAAATTGATATTTAATCTAAAGCTCTATGACCAATTGTTAACTAATTTACATATGGCTTTTTGACCAAATGCTCCCCCATCTTTCACAATTAAATCAAAGTTAAAGTACAGATTATAAAGGGAGCATCTTTCGTGATTCATGCTTCACCTCTTTTTAAAAAAAAATAAAAAAAATTGACAATGACATTTTATAGTAGTTCATGGAATAGGCATAAAGTCTAGCTCGTCGAACTTGATTGTTTAACCAGGTTAAAAAAATAGGGTAAATCACCATTTTACTAAAATGTAACAAGCTGCCACAATAGTCTTTAAAGTTATTTTTGTTTAAATAAGTTATTGAATTTTGTTGTTATTTCAAGTGTCTAAAGTTAATTTCTTACTGTCATTTAATTTCTAAGCATATGTTAATATTATGTACTTAAATTTTTTAAAACAATTTAGGCTAATGTGATTGAAAAATTATTCCTTCAAGCATTTATTTGAAATTTCCTTAATTCCGATTAATATAACAATTTTATACTCTTTTAAAAACTAAAACAGTGGTGTAGTCGTAAAAAAATTGAAACTAACACTTTATTATACTTGTTGCTAGCAAAAGGATGTAAAACAGTTAAAATTGATGACTTTCAGCTGCTGTTTCCATTCAAGTTTATTAGGTTAAATACAAAAATAGTAACCCTAAAACTAAGGACAATCAATCAGACGCCAATACATGATCCAGGAAATTTCATGCAACTGAAAATAACAAAAGGAAATGGATCTGGCCCAACACAGATCAGCCCAAATCTTCCAAGCGAGTGGAGCGTGTATGTGAATAGCTACTCTCTTGGGCCTATTAGCTCAACTGTCTTCTCTTGGGCGTAATAGCCCAAGTGTCTAATACTGGGTAATACTGGGGCTGTGGTCCCAGCGGTGTAGTAGGATTAAGTTACTCCCTATCCCACAAATTTTGATCAATCCTCCTACAACATTGAACTGACCTTGTCACAAAGGCCAGGTGGGTTGGAATGTTGTTGCCTTCACAGCTTCATATAGAGAAGCAAAGCCACTGTCTATAGAATAATAGAACTCAGGATTATCTGCTTATGGGATTGACAAATAATTCATCTGGCATTAGTCATGAACTCGCTGACCGTACCTTTTTTTAAGCTTGTAATGCAAAAATCACAGAAGATTAGAGTCACTACTTTAAAGTAAAAAAAAAAAGTGACATCCATGTTCAAATTACTGCTATGATGCTTTATATGTTGTACTTTGATTTGTCTATTGCTTTAATCATTCTGCTCCTACTTGTAGTCTCAATTTCATAAGCATTATAAATATTCGAATTGGGATTGATGCGCATATTTGAGTTTATTTGTGTGGTTTTATTCTGATATATAACTGTATGAAATTTAATTCTTTTGGTGTTTGGTGCAGTCGAGAAAAGTTTGGGGAGATTCATGCTAGACTGTGGTGGGAAGAGAACCGTGCCAGAATACATGAACTGTACTTGTGAGATTCATCAAAGGGTGGTTGCAAATGTTTCACAAAATGTGAAGGTGGTGTTTCATTTTAATTTGCTTAATTAATCTATGTTTTTTGCTATATATTCTCTTTATAGGCGCGATCAGATGTTAGAACGAGTGCTACTTGGCACATTCCTTGACCCTAACACACTCGCGTCTAATCTTCATCTTCATGCGATCTATTCCAGTTGTATTCTTGAATCCGGAGGGAGTAAATGTAGCTTCTGTTAGTCAGGTAGCAATTATTTTCTCAAAGCTTATAAGTAATGAGTGTAAATCATGTAGCTGTTAAAATTGGGTAAAAAGAATGAATCTACTCATTTTGTTTTTGTTTCTTAAGCCTCCAACTTGTACCTTCTACGTTCAAGAAATTGGAACTGCTAGAGTTTTATTAAAATCAATAGATTGGTTCAAAGGTAGGCAAGAGAACGTTGTTTTTGGGAACCATGACTAACTTTTATGGAAAAATGTTATTCACTTGGCTTTCTATTACAGTTCAACTGCTATTAACAGATACAGCTTAAAGAAGGTTGAAAAAGCTCTTTTAAGATAATGGTCAGATAATAGCAACATCAGAAGAATTGAACATGTGCAAGAGAAACGAAGTTTAGACACTTGGAAAATTCAATTGGAGCAAAGTGGGTTAACCCTAAAAAGTTAGTCGAAAATGATAAAGTTGGCGTAAATAAAGTTGAATTAGTAACTCAATTATATAATAATCTATTTATGAAATCACATATTCTAAAAATTAAAATTAATCTGCTTAAATTTTAAAAATATTTATTTATTTATTTCTTGAACTAAATAATTTGTTAACTTCGATATTAAATTAGACTAGACCAAATGGCAAACAGTTTAAATTTTAGACAGGTCAAATAAGTACTTTTTACATTTTTATCTGTCGGGTCGGTCAACCATTTTAATATGCTCATGTCTAAATAATTTTACTATTATCTTTACTTAATAATGTGGATTTTTTTATTTTCACATATGTAAATAAAAAAATAAGATATTATTTATTGAAACAATTTTACTAATCATTGTAACTTTTACAATAATATTATTTTTATCTGTTGCAAATACAATTTTTGATTAAGAACAAAATAATAATTACTTGACTAAAAACGCGTAAGATTTGTCATTTTTTTTGAGATTAAAGCTGTAATCATTTTGAAATGAAAGAGTATAGAAGAGAAAGTTTATATTAAACTTCCTGGTTTTAAAGATGCTACTTGTTATGATAATTTATTTATAGTCTACAACAAGTTCTAAAAGCTCAGACTCATTTCTTAAGAATAGATTTTAATCTACGTATTACGCAAATTTATAAATAACTGTATATAATATAATTAGGAGATATTTAAAATAGTTAATTGCATATTACGTTTTCAAATACTTGCTTGTACAATCCAACTTACACTTCAATCCAATATTAACTACAACCGATTGTAACTTTACATTATTTCAAGGCACACCACCTATTTTTCTAACACATCCAAAAACATATATTATTTTGTCAGAATATACACGATTAAACTACTTTTTTTAATTATATAATTACTGAAAAACACAATTTTCTTATATAATATTTTATTTTATCTATTTCAAAAAATGACTAAATTGAAACCCAAACAACTAAATAAAATTTTAAAATTTATTTTTCCTAACAAAATTCTGCTAGTTTTAAAGTTTTGCAAAGTTTAGAAGAGGAGTGGGTGGCATCACGGAAGAAAGTTGTGTGGTTATTTCGCGGAAACGGATAAAACAACGCAACTGTGGGTCCCACCCCGAGTGCGGCACGTGTGGGAAACGGCGGTGACAATCCTTTGCTGATGATTCCTCCTTTCAACGCTTACCGCGTAAGCAACCTTCGATCAAAACCATCGTCACCGAATCCCAAACCAACGCGTAACATAACATAACGAGATCGGAGACTATTACGTTACGCTCTGTTCTTTCGTCTCTTAGATTTTCTGTTCGATCTCTGCTAAGGTTGTTCCTTCCACTCTGCAACCATGAGTTTCATCTTCGGAAAGAGAAAAACTCCCGCAGGTTTGTTCATCATTGCCCTCTCTGTTCAAGAAAGAAAGATATTTTACTCTTCAAAATGGGGTTGCTCTATTTCGATTACGGAGTTATCACCCGTCATCAAAATCTTTACTTTTTAAAAAAAAATTATGTTCAATTGGACATAATCAGATGCACCGCAAAACTTGTTCGAACTTTTATGCAAAAGTTAGTTCTTTGGTTGATTAAATTGTCCCCTTTGTTTTTTTTTTTTTCCTTTTTTGTGGTTACTGTATTGCATATTTAACTTATGATCTGTTGTATTTTTTGCTCTTGTTAGCTTTTGTCTCCTTGTTCTGATAAGATTCAGATATTACCTTAAGATTTATACTTAATATTCTGCATCTTTTCAATTTCAATCACGATTATGATTTGCAACTATTGGAATTATGAACTTAATGATCCACTAACTGACAGACACGTTAAGTTGTTTACTTGATTCAAACTGATTTTTTTTTTTTTTTTTTTTGAGACGGATTGCAATTTCAAACATGCATTACCAGGTCTTTGATTGATGTGGTGTCATTCACTAACACTTCGTATTGATTTGATAGTACCTGATCATAGAGTTTGTGACTTTCAGAGCTTCTGCGGGAAAATAAGAGGATGCTGGACAAATCAATTAGAGAAATTGAGCGCGAGCGGCAAGGTTTGCAAGCACAAGAGAAGAAACTGATTTTGGAGATAAAGAAAAGTGCCAAACAAGGCCAGATGGTATAGTGATTGTGTCCTAATTCTATTATCTGTATAGTTTTTAATGGTATGTATGGTGAACTAGTCATATTGTCAATATGTTTAGCTATTTTTTCTGCAAATTTATAACACCCAAACTCTGCTTTTTGCTAAAGGATTTGGAATGGAATTTGCTGCTCATTTTTAAAAGAAGGAAGAGGCATGAACGTGTTTGCTGTTGTGATGATATTGTTTTGTTTTGTTTTTCTTAGTCTTACTATTTCCTTGTTATTTGCTGTGTGTTGTTTGTAATTGATACTTGTAGTTGGGGAAATTGTTTTACTAGTATTAATCAATATATATTCTCATTCATTTTAAGGATGAAACTTTCGTTGTTCCCGTGCTTGCCACCAGTAACTGCTTCCCTTGTGCTATTGCAGACTCAATGTGATAGCTATTCTCCTAATGCATCTGCTAACTACTGTTGCAGATCAATTGTGCTGTGTAATTTTTCAATTGTCGTTTAAAAAATCCACAAGATAAATAAAGGGGACTCCCATTTCTTTAATTGGACTCCACTACATCCTTGTTGTTGTATTGTAGTGAGCATCAGTGAAAGCACTTGCTGTTAGCTATTTAGCTTGACTTATTTGTGCTGCTTGGTAGTTGTAGTAGTTACAGCTGTAATTGTTAAAGTTAGTGGTTTGTTAATATTTGATTAATCTGAATCATCTGTATATAAATACCATCACATCCCTCTAGAAGAACATAATGAAATCATTCTGTTGTGTTTGATTTATTTTTTTTTCACACTCTAGTTTATCTCTGTTTCTATTTACTACTAAATTCTAATATGGTATCACAAACCTGCCAATGATCCTGATTCATGACCATTAACCACACATAGCAATTTGTTCAACTCTGCTGATAATAGGGCTTTATCATCAATTCTCTCTACTGCTGTTTCACAATCTGTCTCAGTGGCTCAAAGAGAAGAATTTTGTCCTCTGTAAACAGAAAGTTGAAGCTGTCATCAAGGCTTATTGCTTCTGTCGATGTGTGGTTCATTCAGAAATTCCACTTTGAAAAAACCAATAAAGCTTACCTGCAAGAGGAGCAACAAGATCGTCTATTGTTTACTTACTTGTACTTCCCTGTCTGAGTCCATCCTCACCAAGTTGTTAGATGCACTCATTCTTGGTTACTCTGAGATGATATCCATGGTTTCTTTCATTCATGCCGAAGCTTGACCATGAAGTTCTGAAACTTAAAAGGAGGTGCATGATTAATTTCAGAGTATGGTAGAGGTGGCAGAGGCAGGAGTTCTGCCTACCTCTTCGATGTTCTTGCCTTCAACTTCAATCAATGGTGAAGTTTCTTTCACCGAAATATTCAAATCAAAACCTGACTATTCCACTCTCATTAGATTCAAGTGTTCCTGCTATCCAATGTACAATGTATGCATTTCTCGGTTACTCAACTAGTCAACACTACAGAGTGCCTTTCTTCAGATGGAAGGTTATAGATTTCCGAGGTGTTTTATTCAATGAATCTAGGTTTTCCTAACCCTGACTTTATCCCAAACCATCTTCTACTTTCTCATCTCTCCCTTCTCCACCATTTCTTCTTCTCCTCACACCAATTTTCAATTCTCAAGGCCACTGGGGAGTTTGAGTAGATGCTGTTTGAGTAGAAGCACACATGGTTATCCATTGGCTTAGATTATGCTAGGTAGTTGTAGTATTCACGGCCGTAGCCTCCCAAAGTTTTGTAATTCCAATTTATGATTTTGGCCCTCTTGTATATTTACAATTTTATCCTCAGTCTCTCCTCAGTTTTGTAACTTTCTTATAATTTATAATTTTGTCCCCCCAAACTTAATGATCATTTTATATATTTACTTATTATACATTTACAATTTTATCCTCTCATCCTTTCATCTTCTTTCACCCTTTTATATTTATTTATTATTTTTTAATAATATATTATTTGGTCCTCTCAAGATCTGCCACTGTTCACGGCTGGAAAGTTAATAGATAATTAACTGATTGCCAGCTGACATTATCATTTAATTTGATTCATCTATATATAAGTACCATTTTATCCCTTTCAAAATGACATGATGAGGTCATTCTAATTTGCTGGAGGTAATAGCACAAGAATTAAGAGCAAGCCAGTCCCACTACCTTCCAAAAATCAAATCAGTTATCATGTCATAATTTTACCCTAAATTTAGATTTATCTGTAATAATATCTATGTATGTCTGTTGTTCATAGTTAACTATTGATTTAAACTTTAAGGTGGGTTGTTCAGGGAGCTGTTAGAGTTATGGCAAAAGATCTAGTTAGAACAAGGCATCAGATCGAGAAGTTTTACAAGCTAAAATCTCAGCTCCAAGGTGTATCCCTCAGAATTCAGGTATGTCATTATGACTGTATCTATTGTTTTGTAAGTTTATTATTTAGCATATATGGTTAATACAGGATAATGGTTCTTCCCCAAGGTTCATGGCATGTTGTTTTTCTTTGAATATGATTAACTGGCCAAAAGTCACAAAATTTTGATCAAAACAGACATCTTTATGATATTCAGTACTAAAAGGGAGTTTCTTTTGTGCTTCAATTATTCAGACTTTGAAATCAACACAAGCAATGGGTGAAGCTATGAAAGGCGTGACAAAGGCAATGGGGCAAATGAATAGGCAGATGAACTTGCCATCTTTGCAGAAAATCATGCAAGAATTTGAGAGACAGAATGAGAAGATGGAATTGACATCTGAGATGATGGGAGATGCAATAGATGATGCGTTGGAAGGAGAAGAAGATGAAGAAGAAACCGAAGATCTAGTGAACCAAGTTCTTGATGAGATTGGAATTGACATCAACCAAGAGGTATGTTTATGGTTTCCCATTCAATATCTCTTTTCACGTGAAAGTAAATGTCTGAGTCTCTATAACAAAGCATAATGAGATGTTTTTGTTTGATGTGCAGCTTGTAAATGCACCATCATCAGCTGTTGCTGCCCCAGCTGCAAAGACCAAGGTACCTCAAGTTGAAACTACTGGGAATGATGATGGAGGGATAGATAGTGATTTACAGGCAAGGTTAGACAATTTAAGAAAAATGTAATCTATCCTCTATGGACTATATGATACCTGGGAACTCCATTTTTCTGGGAAAATTGATGCTCATATGTACCATATAGTATGATTGACAAGTTGTGCCAGGATTTGATGAATTCATGATTATAAAATGATGCTTTTTAAAGTAAATAAATTTCCTTTTGATGCACCTTCCAATTATTATCATCTTTTTAATATGATTTTTTTTTAAAGTAAATGAATACATATAGTACATTGCGGTTATCATGAAGGGTTTAAAATGATTTGTAATGATGTCTGAGAATATCCTCAAATGACAGTATCAGCGACAAGGGATTTCTAGTAATGTCTTAAATTAATACATTACTGAAATGGTCTTAAATTCAACCAGGTTCAGAGTATAAAAAGTACAACATTATAAAATGAATACATAAAGCATGCACTTTACACTATCATCGACATCTAGATATCTTTTATATTTCATTCATATCTTTTTTATTTACATTATGAATTTTTATTATAAAAAATTGGAAAATAATATTAAGAATGGTTTACAATAATTTAAAACTAAGATATATCTATTATATTCTTATGAATTGAATTAAACTGAAGAAAAATGACTATGTTTAATCCTCTCAAAATTTACTCTTCTAAACTTTAATTTTATCTTTACTGATCCTTAAATGTTATTATTTTTATCTTAATACATGGAATTTTAATTTCAGTCTAGTTAATCCTTAAAATTTATTAATTTTAGTGACCAATAAGAAGGATGGTTGATTAATAAAATAAGAAGTGTTCGGATTTTAGATGTGAGTTTAAGAATGAAGTAAGTATCTAATAGAAATGTGTGACTAAAGAGAATTACAAAGATTAACAATTAATTTCAGAGTTTCATGAAAATACAAAAAGTCATACTTTAAATATATTTAGATAAACTATATTTAACAAACATGTATTCAAGCGAATTTTGGAATATTTTTAATGTTTTTATTTATGAAAAAATGATTAGAAGGAGAGAAAATGTAATCAATATGACTCATTATTACTTATCTAAAATAGTTGTTTAAAGAAAATTATGTTTTGAAAAAAAAAGTATTAATATGTGAAATTGGTACTATGAGACATTAACCCTAGTTGAAATTGGTACTATGTGACTTTCGAATTGGCACTATTTTCCATTTTGCATAATTTATTTAAACATGTGAAAAGAAAAGAATGTTGGTTAATAATGATAGCATTGTTGCGTGTTGAAAGAAGAAAAGGCAAAGTTGGGTCGTGTTTTATGTCACATGAGATGTTCACAAACTGTGTTCCTTAGTTTCCATTTCTCTCTTTCATATTAATGCTTAAACTTATTTTAGATTCTTTATTTTTAATTTTTAAAATTTATATTTATTTTAAAAAATTACACTTTAAATTATTTTTTCTAAAACAGGTTAAAATACCCGTTAATATGGTATAACATCGATCTTGACCTAAAAATTGTAAATAAGGTAAAGCAATTTTATCATGTTTGAAATATAATTTATTTTAAATATATATTAGAAGAAGATATATGATGAAATATCTAATTTAAACCTATAAGAAAAGCACAATTGATAGAAACGAGTCCAATATCCTTTCAATCCGCAATTTTTAGCCTTTTTTTTCCTTCATTTTTCTTCCAATTCGAGAATTGTGTTTTCAAATTAATGGTATAAAAACTTAGAAACGAACCAAGAAAAAGAAAAAGAAATTGCGTGTCCATGTTGGTTTCTTCTAGTATTATGTTACATCGTTTTTGTTCCTTGCGAACATTATCTTCCAAATAGAGCCAAATTGAAGTTGAAGATGCTATCACCATGAGAGCCTATTTCTTTCATCAAGGACTTCAATAGCGATGTCTAATAAATATGTTATTCTTTTTATTTATACTATTTTTTATCGCTCTATATTTCATAAGTCTTCACTAACCATCAACTGAAAATATAATTATTTTATTTATTTTATATAAATAATTTTAACCATTTTGAAAATCAGATTGATTAGTCGGTTCTTATTTAATTAAAATATATTATATTTTATTCAATTTAGATTTTTTACAATGTAATGATACTTAATTTTGAATTAAATTCATACGAGGATTGAGGAATAATTAAGGGAAAGAAGAGAGTTGAAAGATGTGGAGCAAAAGAAATGGAATATACCCTACAACCCACCCCATCTTCAACTTCATCCTTTTTTTCATTTTTTTAATTACACAATTTACAAAAAATTATTATTTCTCTTTTATTTACTTATAAATAAATATACACATCAAACTACTAAATACCTCACGTAATTTATAAAGATATTTTTCAGTTCAACTAACCAAAAATAATGACATATAATTCAAATAAAACAACCTAATTAAATCAGAATGAATCTGAATAAGACCGAACTTAATTTTTTTACGAAAATTTTCAAGTTTAAAATTTATATATGAAAAGGACCTGATTAAGAAAGAGATTCCTTGTAATGAAAAGTAGGACAGAAGATATTTTTCATATTGAAAGAAAATCTCGACAAAAACAATTACATATAGTTATTAATTCAAATACATAATCTATATATATATTTAAACATTTCTACTCAAAATTTTAATGATATAATTCATGAGTTTTTTATTTAAATATTATTAAAAAAAATTAATTATATATAAAATAAGACTTAAACTTGAACTTCAATCTCTAAAATTTAAAATACTTTTTTTTAATCTCTCAAATTAATATATATATAATCCCTCAAAATTAATAAAATATGATTTTAATTCTTAAAAAATAAATTTTAAAAAATTATCTTAGTTTTCCAAATTTATTATTTAGAAAAAAAAATTAATTTTGAGGGACTAAACTGAAATTTTTTAAGTTTTGAAAACTAGAATTATAAGTACTACACAATAATATTAATTTATAAAATAGGTGAAATTTCGTAAATATTGCTGAGAAGGACTAATGAACCTAATCTGGTGGTGTTCAAGTTGTAGTTCACTGAGCCGGTGTCCCATCGATCATCAGCAAAGGAAGAAAAGGTCCCACCCACCATAAATTATTAAACCATCTAAGTCCTAATTAATTTTCACACGACATATTATTTTTCATAAAAAATAAATAGAATTTAGAGAATATGTCACGTAAAAATTAACCCAAAAAAAAAAAAAACTATATTAATTCCATGTAATAATTTGTTGTTATATCTGAACTGAGATGCGACCAGATTCCATGAACCCATCAATGGAATTCTCCACCGGACATGGAGGCCCGACAACGGGTGTTCGACAAATGGGGCAATCGAAGTGCGAGTAGAGCCACATGTCTATACAAACAACGTGGAAATAGTGTTTGCACTGTGGAAGCTTCCTCACTTCTTCCCCTTCTTCGTAAACCGATAAGCAAACGGGGCACTCAAAATCATCGAACCCTTCTTCTTCTTTTTCTTTTTCTTCTTCTTCTTCTTCTTCTTCTTTTGCCACCACTTCTTTCTTGTACTTGAAGCTCGAAAGCAAGTGTCTTTGATGGTTGTCCAAGTTCCTCGTTATTTCCGAAACCGCTTCCGTTGTTGTTGTTGTTGTTCCCGAACGATTGGTACCCGACCCCGAAGGCTGCGACCGCGCGTGGCTGCGTCTGAGGAGGACGAGGTTGTATATGGCCAGCACTATGGCGGCGGTTCCCACCACGACAAGACCGTAGTACAGCATGGGCATGGTGTTGTTCTTGGCGGAAGAGGAGGAGGGTGGAGGAGGGGTTGAGACTGTGAAGGGGCTTAGAACATCACCCATGATAGGGTTTTGGTGAGATTGTGAGAGAAAGAAAGAGTACGAAAACAAGTTGAAGAATATTATTTTGTAGACAACTAATCAACTAACTCACTATACACCCTTATCTATACCAATAGAGTTTTAATTTAGGACATGGAATTATTGGGTGTTTCTTAGAAAAGACAACGTTTGTTAAAAAAAATATAAAAAAAAATATTTGTTCTTCATTTTTAAATATTTTTTTATTTTATCATAACAAACTTCTTTATTAAAGAAATAAAGTAACTTATAAATCCATTATACATGTTTTTTTATTAGTATTATTATTGAAGTTAATGTTAAGTAGTTAAGCTAAAAGTGTGGTGGTTATAGTCATGATTGAAGGGGAGTGTTTTTTTGGTGAAGAAGATGTGTGATGGAATATTTAGTATTTTGGAGAAGACTAAGAGGAGGAGACAAAGAAGTGTACGATGAGGGGGCAGTGAAGAAAAATGGTGAGAGTGTCCTGTCTCTTTTGCACGCTCTGTTCCTCTCTTTGCCTCTCGCTAAAAGCTAAAAACCATTTTCATATCTCTTCCAACTTAACATTCACAACATTTTTTGCTAACCCATCTAAATCTATGCAAATGTTTTCAAAAATTCAAGAACCAACACCACAATACAAGCATCAAGATCAAGTTTTGAAAGTGGAAGACCAAATTTTAAGATCATATATCAAAATTTATTGTATTGGATTTTGCTGATATATATATATATATATATATATATATATATATAATATTATTAAAATTATTATTAAATATTTTAATTTTTTATTTTACTCCTCTAATTTTATATATTTAAATTTATTTATTGTTATTTTACGATAAATACGTGTGTAATTAAGAATGTAAAAATATATTTTTCACTTAAAACGTAAATTATTCCTATTCACTTGTTAACGACTTTTATCAAATTATGTCTAATGTTCAATGTTTTATATTTGAGACAAATATATAAGATATTTTAAATTTAAACCAATTACGGATATACTTAAAGTATGATAAAATTATTCTCATTTTATAAAATTATTTCTAAGATTTAATTAATTATAAATCTAAATTTTAAGATATTATATCTTATTTTATTAATATTGTTACTGTTTGGTCGCGTTGGATTTAAAATTCTGGCTTTATTTCAAACTCAATTTAAAGTTAAGTTTTAAAATTTCTATGTAAAAATAAAAGTTTTCCATTTTTCTCACTCAAGGGTCTATTTTAATTTAGATGTTTTAGTTTCTAATGCATTAAGTAAAATAATTATGTTGAGGGAAAGCACTTTTTTTCATGATAGATATTATTGTTTTAGCTGTAAAATTAACAATGTAATTAAAATTGAAAAATATTTGTAAAATAAAAAAATTTAAAATTATAATTAACAATATAGATTTCACTTTTTCAAAAAAACAAAAATGTTTTTTATTATTATAAAATGTCTGATATAATATTTATCCATTATAAATATATTGTTATAAAATTAAAAAATATATATAATGCTAATAAAAAATATTGCATTACATTTTAATTTAAAAATCAATAAAAATAATTTATTTTTAAATAATAGATATTATTATTGAATTCACGAATTCGAAAATATTAATATTAAATAACAGGTAAAAGTTTATTTAACACAATAAATTGTATTTGAAAATCAAAATTATTGTCAAAAATATTTTATTTGTTTATTAATATTTATCAAATAATAAGAAAAAAATGCATACTTAGGTTAAAAAAAATTCATTCAACGTAATGAAATTAGTCTGTAAAAATTTGTATTCATATCAATCATACAATAATGAAAAGTAATATATATATATATATATATATATATATATATATATATTATATATATATATATTAAGAACATAATTAAATTTTTATTTTTATTTTTTTTAGAAAAAAAAGTTTGGGTTCACTAATAAAAAGTATATTTCTAAATTAATTTAATGACTAAATTAATATACAACTTTTAAGTAAAAATGTATTTTATATTTTATTTTGAATAATTATAAGCGAAGTAGCCGTACGATTCTTTTATGAGTGACGTACAGCGGTGAACCCTTCCCAATTATGCAAACCTTGAATCAAAATGCACTCAAAACTCTCACTATTTTCTTTAAAATTATAATTTCATTTTTAAGATTAAATTTATTTTTATTTCTATAAATTTCTTTAAATGTATAAAAAATTTGAGAATTTAATCCTTATATTAATTATGTGGATAATTTTTTTATTAAATATTAAGAAGACTAAAATCAGATATTTTTTTTATCAGTTTTATGATACTAAAAATATAATAAATATTAAATTTAATAAAAATAATTAAAGCTATATATTTGAAAATTTAAAAATACAATAAATAGTGAGAAGATTTAGTTATAAAAAATACAAAAAGTAAAAACAAATTGTTTCTCTTATTTTTATTACCTACAAAATTATCTACATAAATGAATTATATAAACATAGTGTTCTCCTTTATAGTTTTCACCATAAATATAATCTTCAATTATATATTACATTTTCCTTTTGGTTAGTCTTATTAAAAAATAAATTCACCTGTTACTTTCTCTATCCATTAAAGAGAAATTTTAGAACTTCATAGAGTAAAAAAATTAATTAGAAAATAAATATATAAATCTGAAAAAAATTTAATAGATATATTAACCCCTTTTTTAATATCAATTAAACTCTTAGTTTAAGATAAATTTGAAGCCTTAAGTAAAATAATCTGTGTAAACATTTCAATAACGTATTTAAGTTCGTATATTAAAGTTTATAAATGAATAAAATAAAAAAAAATCAAGATTTTTTAGACATTTTATTGATTTTAATTATAATATTTTTTTTACCACAGCTTCAATAGAATTGTGAATAATATATTTATATTCATAGACTAAAAGTATATATATATATATATATATATATATATATATATATATATATATAATATTAAAATGAGATAAAAAATTAAATTATAAAAAATTTAATATTAATAAAATAAATTGTGTAAGCGTTATAATAATATTTTATAGGTAATTGAGTATTATAATAATAAATAAAACTTGAATATAGAAAGATATTTTATCGGTAATATATTATAATAAAAACTAAAACTAATTTTACCTGAGAGAAAAAATATAAAGATTAAATTATAAATATATATATTATACAAGTAAATTAAAATTGTAAAAGAAAGTGATAGGTTTTGCATTGGTATATGATAAAATCCAATAAATATAAATATGGATATGAAAAATATAATTTATCTATTTTTAATTCTAGTTTAAATTAAAAAAGAGAAGTCAAGTATGTAATCTTGTACATGTATATTTATGTGTGTTTGGTTAGAAATATAATTAATTATAGACAACAAAATTATTATAATTAAGTATAAATTTTTACATATAATTTTTTTAATTATTAAAATATACTATTTAATTTATTTTATGAATTAAATGTATTATATTTTATTCACAGGGAGATAATTACTGTGTGGGTAAATGTTAGTCAGACATTACAGTAAACAGTGAAATTTTGTTTCAGATTTTATTTATAATGATTTTTATGGAAATGTTTTTCAATGATTTATAAAATTGTAAATTTAAAACATAATTATCAAAATAAATTTTATTTTAAACAAAGAACAAGTTTGGAGGAAGTTTCTATTACTATTGACTTCTAAACAATAAAAATAAGAAGACAAATTAAAATTATTTTCTTCATTTTAGTTTATATAAAAATTCTATTGTTTCAATTCTCTAAATTAATATTTTTAATTTATAAAAAATCTAAATTTAACTAATAAAAAATTTTAATTTTCTTTTTATTTTTATTTTTAACTATTAAAAAAAGTTCATCCAAACAAATTTAATGCACCCTTGAACCTGCAAATAAACGAGAGTGTGTATTTAAGGCCTGTAAGAAAAAATTGGGCTTATGAATAGCCCACAAACTACTTTGCATTATTTAAAAAAAAAAATATAAGTGAACTGAAAAACTGGTAAAAAAATTCAGATAACAGTGTTTTATGTGACTTTTAATTAAAAATATTTATATATAATTCTTTAATCAATAAAAAATGCTATTAAGTGTTTTAAAAAAAATATTTTATTATAATTCACAAGTATTTTTTTTTTATATAGTTTTTAATACATTTATTAAGTTGAAAGGGATATGATGTTTTTGATATGATTAATTTGAAGTTTCATTATCTTATAATTATAATTCAGGTAATCACAACTTAAGGTTGTTACGTATGTTAACGATGATGAGAGAAAACTAAGTATTCATTACTAATATTTTAAAATATAAAAATTATATTAAATTGTTAATTAAAATGTATTTTCATTTTAAATATCATTCATGAAGGCATAAATACCTAAACAAGTTGATATAACAACCCATTCTAAAGATTTTAATTAAAATTTTGAAATATGAACTTTTTTATTGCAATTGTAAACTTTCTCACTTTAATTCATAGATTAAAGGGTAAATGTTTAATTAGATAATTTGAAGTGAATATATATCATTTTATGAGTTTTCTAGCTTCAATTTGAAAGTCTTTCAAATTTGTTTGGTTGTTCATAAATTTGATTTGTGGTGTTATTTTATTTCTTCTGTAATTATATAAATTTGATTATATATAGAGAGAGAATAAAATAAACTATCTATTTCTTATTCAGGTAATTAATGTCGAATTGAATAGATTCTCGGATATAAGTATTTCTGCTGTTTGCTTAGGCATCAAACCAACCTTCAAATTTCCATGTCTACACGAGACATTCTCGGAGAGTTTCAAATCTTCCCGGAAATTTCCAACTTCACTAATCCCAGTTGAACCTGCTACTAGTTTCAGCTTCAATGTGGCTGAAGATCGTTGTTGTAGTGATTGAAATCTAACAACTGCGTTTGGAGAAGCTAGAAACTAAAAAGTTGTCACCTTGACATGGAAGAAGAAAGAAGCGTAGCAGACAAGAAAGTGATAAAAAACGAGGTGGTTCTACGAATTTCAGACACTGAAGAAGCCATGAATGCAAAGAAGGAGCAAAGAAATTCTAAAAGTTTCCCAGTAGCTGAAAACAGTTCCCTTTCTCCTCAGCACAATACCCCGATAGGTAAAGGGTTTAGAGATTCTCATGGTGAAATTGTTAGGAACAAGAAAATAATAAAGGAAAGAATAAAGGAGAGAAAAATAAACGACACAAGAATTTTAACGTGGTTCGGCTAAAATATGTATGCCTACGTTCACGACTACACTAGGAAGTATTTTTATTTCTGTGTGTTTCTCAAACTTTACATAGGGTTGCTTATATAACAAAATAGAGAACCTCATCTCACAATCCTAATCGATGTGGGACTAAATCAAGCACCATAATACTAACAATTCTCCCACTTGGAGTTTGATTTACGTTACCACCTAGTGTAGTGCCTTCATCATCAATTTGCTCGAAGGCCGGTTGAGGCAATGCAAAACCTCAACTTAGTTGTTGTAACGATCTTGGTCAACATATCGGCGGGATTCTCTGCACTTGGAATCTTCAACAAACTCAAGTCTCCATCATTTATCGGGTTTCGATAAAATGATACTTCAATTCAATGTGCTTACATCTGGAATGAAGGATTGGATTTTTAGCAAGACAAATAGCACTTTGATCTGTCACTAAACAACGGAGAACCATCTTGTTCTCTTCCTAATTCTTTTAGAAGGTTCTTCAACCATATCATCTCCTTCGCCGCTTCCGAGATAGCTACATACTCGCTTCGAGTGGTTGAGAGAGAGACCCTTCCTTGAAGTTCGGACTTCCAACCGATAGTTGTTCCACCCAATGTAAAAATATAACCTCGTTGTGCTCTTTCTACCGTCAAGATCACCTCCCAAGTCCGCATCAGAAAACCCCGTAAAATGAGATTACTTCTCTTGAAAGACAAATGCATCTTTGAAGTGCCTTTCAAATATCCGAATATCCACTTCACTCCTTCCCAATGCTCCTTTCCGGGATTTGATAGAAATCTGCTCACAACTCCCACTCGCATGTGCTATGTCTGGTCTGGTGCAAACCATAACATACATCAAGCTTCCTACTGCAGATGCATATGGCACTTTAGACATGTGACTTTCTTCTTCTTCTGTTTGAGAAGATTGCCTCTTTGAAAACTTTAAGTGAGTTCCCAAAAGTGTATTCCTGGTTTTAGCATTCCCAACATTGAATCTGCTAAGCAATTTTTCTATATATTTTTCTTGAGATAAGTTCAAAATACCTTTATCTCTATCTCGGGAGATTCTCATACCAAGAATTTGCTTGGCTGGACCAAGATCCTTCATTTCAAAGCTCTCTGACAATTGTTTCTTCAACTTGTCAATTTCTGCCATATTAGCTCCAACAATCAACATGTCGTCAACATATAAGGCAAGAATGATATAGCTATCAACATATTTCTTCACATAACAACATTGATCTTCTTCACATCTGCGAAATCCCGAGTTTCTCATAAACTCATTAAACTTCTTGTACCATTGTCTCGGCGCTTGTTTTAATCCGTACAAACTTTTATGAAGCTTGCATACAAGATTTTCTCCGCCTTGTACTTCAAAACCTTTTGGTCGTGTCATAAAAATTTCCTCTTCAAGATCCCCATGTAAGAATGCAGTTTTGACATCTAACTGCTCCAAATGAAGATTTTCTGCAGCCTACTATACTCAAGATAACTCGATGGTAGTCATCTTGACAACAGGAGAGAAAATTTACGTGAAGTCAATTCCTTGTCTTTGTTGGAACCCTTTCACTACGAGTCTAGTCTTATATCTTTTGCTGCCATCCGGTTCTTCTTTCAACCTATAGACCCACCTGTTTTGCAAAACTTTCTTTCCTTCTCGGTACCTTGGTTAAAGACCATGTTTTATTCTTCCGAAGGGACTTTATCTCATCTTCCATTGCTAGCTCCCACTTAATAGATTCATCTCCCCGCATAGCCTCAGCAAAATGCTCCGGCTCACTAGCATCGATCAACAACAAATAATGCAATGAAGGGGAATACCTTTGTGGTGCTACAATTGTTCCGCTAGATCTTCTAACCAAGATTTCGGGAGTTGCTGACTCTACTATTTGTTCGAGTTCCGTCTCGGGCTCGACATAGGCTCTACTTGTATATTACGCCTTCGGTTGACTACATCACTTTCCGAAATTTCTTCTAATGATACTTGCTCTAGTTGTTTATTTACATTTGCGGATTCTGCAATCCTCGTCTCTATAGAACATGTTTTCATTAAAAGTAACATTTCTACTTCGATAATTTTCTTGTTTTGGTCATCCCAAAACCCGTAGCCAAACATGTCAGATCCATAACCAATGAAATAACAACGTTTTGCCTTAGGGTCCAATTTATCTCTACTATTAGAGTCTAACATAACATATGAAGCACAACCAAAAACTTTCGGATGTGAAAGATTTACCTCTTTCCAGACCATACTTCTTCGGGTAACTTATAGTCTAAAGGAACCGATGGTCCTCTCGTTTATGAGATAGGTCTGTTGTGCTTATTGCATCCGCCCAAAATACCTTGGGTAATCCTGACTGGATTCTCATACATCTTGCTCTCTCATTCAAGGTTCTCGTTCATTCTTTACGCCACACCGTTTTGTTCCGGTGTTCCTGGAACTGTCTTGATCATTCCGATCCCATTCTCTGAACAAAACTCCTTGAATTGACTACTGTCATATTCTCCACCATTATCGGACTTCAAACATTTGACCTTTAAACCTCGTTTGAGTCTCAACCTCCTTTTTCCACCTTTTAAACACAGAAAACACATCGATTTATTTTTAAGAAAATAAACCCATACCTTTCTTGTAGAGTCATCAATGAAGGTTACATAATATTGTGAACCTCCAAGGGATTTCACTGAAGCTGGCCCCCAAACATCTCGTATGCACTAGTTCTAGTCTTTCAACTTTAGACGACTTACTTGTTTTGGAGAAGCTAACCTTTTTCTCGCTTTCCAAAGATACAATGTTCGCAAGGTCCAACGTCAACATGCTTCACGTTAGGTATTTTACCTTTTGATATCATGAGCTTCATTCCTTTCTCACTCATATGCCCAAGCCTCGATGCCATAAGGAGGAATTGTTGCCAACTTCGCAATCGATATCATATCCTCATCTCGCAATCATGTAGAGAGATCCTTGCTTCTTTCCACGAGCAACAACAAGATTACCTTTCATTACCTTCCAATGTCCATCTCCAAAAGTGGTGTAATGTCCCTCATCATCCAACTGCCCTATAGATATTAAGTTTCTCTTTAAGGTTGGAATATGTCTGACATTATTCAAAGTCCACACGTTTCCATTAGAGGTTCCGATGTTAATATCACCTCTTCCTATGATATCAAGAGATTTTCCATCTGCAAGGTAGACCTTCCCAAACTTTCCGAAACATAGTTAGATAATAGTTCTAAGGAAGGTGTAGTATGAAATGACGCACTCTGAGTCCATAATCCATGAGTCAATAGAATTATCTAAACTACATAACGAGTGCATCTTCAACTTCATCGATTGCTGCATTTGCTGATTGATCATCATCTTGCTTCTTGTTGTTGTTGTTGTCCTTCTTTGGAGCCCTACACCGATTTGAAAAGTGGCCCTTTTTCCGACAATTCCAACAAGTGATATCATTCCGGACTTTTGCTTGTGATCTCCCTCCGGATTTTGATCTCGCCTCGGCCTTGATTACGACCTTTCGGCGACTTCTTCCTCTAGTTTCGATACTCAATGCTGAACCTGAATTAGAACCGAAAGATTCTACTTGAATTTTTCCTGCGAACATCTTCGCTTAAGATCAAGTCACGGATGTTATCAAGCTTCAACTTGTTATTGCTTGCAGAATTACTTACTGCGAGTAACGTTGCACCCCAACTTTCCGGTAGAGATGATAATAAAATTAATGCTTTCACCTCATCATCAAATATTATCTCGACTGATGTCAACTGCGCAATAATTGCATTAAATTCACTAATATGATTAGTAACCGAGTTACCTTCACCCATTTTGAGGTTGACTAGCCTCGCGAATCAAATGCACTTTATTGGTCTGCAGAGGGCTTCTCATACATATTTGACAACGCTTGCATCAAATCTACGGTTGTCTTCTCGTTCATGATGTTGAACGCAACATTCTTGGCTAATGTCGCCGGATCACACCAAGCGTCTGCCGATCTAACAACTCCCATTCGACTGCTCCATGTCGGTTGGCTTCTGCCTGTCAAGGGTAGATACAACTTCTTCCGATACGAGATAATTTTCCATCTCGCATCTTCCGGAACCCGAAGTCACCGCCATCGAACTTCTCGATCCTCACCTTTCCTTCTTCCAATGCCATTGCTCTCATCGCTTTCGAAGAAAGCTCCCACTGCTTCTCTAAGCCGAGATTCCCAAGAAAAAAGACCAAATCTTTCTCGATGTGGAAGATCGAGACAAAGCTGCAACCATAGAGCATACTAAGAAAATTGGCTCTTGATACCAATTGTTAGGAACAAGACAATAATAAAGGAAAGAATAAAGGAGAGAAAAATAAACGACACAAGAATTTTAATATGGTTCGGCTAAAATATGTATGCCTACGTCCACGACTACACTAGGAAGTATTTTTATTTCTGTGTGTTTCTCAAACTTTACATAGGGTTGCTTATATAACAAAATAGAGAACCTCATCTCACAATTCTAGTCGATGTGGGACTAAATCAAGCACCATAGTACTAACAGAAATAACAGAGCCCAATGGTCAAGTCTCTACGGAGTTGGTGACAACTACAAAGAGTTTGATGGGTCGGTCGGAATTTTCGAAGCCAAAGTCTAGAATGGTGGAACCTCCGCGTCCAAAAGACGCAAACTTTGTTGAAGAAAAGGCTCAAATGTCAAGTTCACCTGCAAGGAATTCTCCCAACAAGAATGTTGCTGACGCAACTATTGTCACTCGAAGAAGCTCCTTGCTTGGGACTCCAGGAGAAGAAGAAGATGATGATGATGATGAAGAACTGTACAAGACTGCAAATATTGAAGTGATCAAGAGATCTGGTAAGAAATGGAGAGTTGTTGAGTTGTTTGCTTTTGCTTGTATCGTGGGGATTTTGATTGCAAGCTTGACTGTGAATGAGTTGCAAAGGAGGTTGATTTGGGGATTGGAACTGTGGAAATGGTGTGTATTGGTTTTGGTTATCCTCTGTGGTAGATTGGTCACTGAGTGGTTTATCAATGTTTTGGTTTTCTTGATTGAGAGGAACTTTTTATTTAGGAAGAAGGTTTTGTATTTTGTTTATGGTGTGAAGAAGAGTGTTCAGGCCTTTATATGGTTAGGTTTGGTTCTTGTAACATGGGGTCTGCTTTTCAACCATGGAGTGAAGAGAACCGGAAAGGTTACTAGGATTCTTAATTACATTACTAGGGCCCTTGCTTCTTGCCTTATTGGAGCAGCTATATGGCTAGCCAAAACATTGTTGATAAAACTTTTAGCTTCAAAATTTCAATCTACTAGATTTTTTGACAGGGTGCAACAATCAATCTTTCATCAATACATTCTTAAGACTCTGTCAGGTCCTCCCATGATGGAGGTGGCTGAAAATGTAGGTAGGACTTCAAAGAGTGGCCACCTCAGTTTTAAGACCATGAACAATGAGAATGAACTGGAGAAAAAACCAGTCATTGATGTAGACAAGCTAAAGAAAATGAAACAAGAGAAAGTTTCTGCCTGGACTATGAAAGGGTTGATTAATGTGATAAGAAGTTCTGGGTTGTCTACCATCTCCTATACACCAGATGCAGATGAGAGTGACCAGAAAAATAATGAAATTACGAGTGAGTGGGAAGCAAAGGCAGCTGCATATAGAATTTTTGAGAATGTAGCCAAGCCCGGACACAAGTAACATTGTTACCCTTTGAAAACTCTGTAATTTTTTCTCTGATTCAGTTTCTCTGGAATTGTCTCTTGTTCTCATTTCACCCTCAAATATTTTAGGTATATTGAGAAGGATGACCTCTTGCGATTCATGAAAATTGAAGAAGTGGAAAATGTTCTTCCACTGTTTGAAGGGGCAGTTGAGACTGGAAGAATTAAGAGGAAGTCTTTGAAGAACTGGCTGGTAAAGTCATTTCGTATAATCTATATCACATTTTATTACATCTTAAGCTATAGACTATGTTTATTGAGCATACATAGTGACAATTTCAAAAATGTTTCCTTTTGTTAGAGATAAGAATATTTTCCTTTACCATTGTTTATTTTATTCTAAGAATTGGTTAACACTATATCAGGATCTAGTTTCTTTCAATTTTCTGCACTGAAACTTGTGAAACGTATATGGTTGATGCTCACACATAGATTTGTAAATTCACAACCCACGATCAGTGGATATATAGTTGTCCTTATAGAATGATTGTGTTTTATTTCCAGCTTTCATGTTATTACTCATTTCAATGCCACAAGCATGATGCTCACATATTATTCTTGTTTGCAGGTAAAAGTCTACCTTGAACGCCGATCGCTCATACATTCGCTGAATGACACCAACACAGCTGTGGATGACTTGAATATGCTTGCTTCTCTGATTGTCCTTATTGTGATGGTTATTCTATGGCTTCTTATAATGGGGTTCTTAACAACTGAAGTTCTTGTCTTTATTTCTTCCCAGCTTTTACTTGTGGTTTTCATGTTTGGCAACACAGCTAAGACTGTATTTGAAGCTATTATATTTGTTTTTGTGGTGCACCCATTTGATGTTGGTGATCGTTGTGTCATTGATGGAGTTCAGGTAGTTTTCAACTCTGATCTTTCTCCACATTCACGTGACAATATATTCCTTGCTGACACATTTATTATGGTTCCCAGATGACTGTGGAAGAGATGAGCATTCTAACTACCGTCTTTTTGAGGTATGACAATGAAAAGATTTTCTATCCAAACTCAGTTCTTGCAACAAAGCCAATCAGTAACTTCTACAGGAGTCCAGAAATGAGTGATCGTGTTGAATTTGCTGTTGATTTTTCTACTGCTATTGAAAGTGTTGGAACTTTAAAGGCAAAGTTAAAAGCGTACGTTGTCACCATGCTCCATCATAAATTTTGATATTCGATTTTAGTTCAACATGATTTGTCTATCCATGGTTTGTAAGGTAATTAGTGTAGTGTTCCTTAAACAGAAGATTAAAGCAATGCTTTTGTAATCTGTGTCTAAACTTGCAGATATTTGGAGAGTAGACCCCAACACTGGCGTCCCAACCACAGTGTATTGGTTACGGATATTGAGAATGTAAATAAGATGAAAATGGCTGTGTGTGTTACTCACACCATAAATTTTCAGAACTATGGGGATAAAAACAGCAGAAGATCTGAATTAGTCTTGGAGTTAAAGAAAATTCTTGAAGACCTTAACATTAAATATCATCTGCTGCCACAAGAAGTTCATCTCAGTTATGTAAGGTCACAAGACTCAACAACACAGTCATTTTGAAGATATCTTATCCTTTCATAGGGTGCAAGTATGTAGAGCACAATTTTTTTGCTGTTATTATGGTTCTAGACTAATTGTTTTCTCCATCAATAATACTTGACAATACAATTGATACATACATACATATTTATATTGCTACTCATGTTTCTTTTTTCAGCATATTTTATCATCATATTTTTTAAATTTTGTACATGTATCAACCGATTATATGTGACAAAGAATTAACATATCTTACAAACCAATGTTATTTTATTACCAACTTTTACCAAACGGCATCGTTTTATCACTGCTATAATAGTATAATAGGTAAAAATTGATAAAATAATGAAAAAGCGTGCATAAAAAATTGGAGTATGAATGTGCAAAATTTGAAAAAGTTGATGATAAGATACAAAAAAAAAAATTGGATGATAAAATTCACAGAACAATGATAGTTGGTGACATGTTCAGTACGTTAGATTATGTAAAAAATATAACTGAAAAAATAAAAAATTGAAAGAAAAAACAGGTTTAAAGTAGCTTTCTGCTTCTGCATTGATTTTTTTAGTGGTTTAAAATTGGTGTGATGGATTCTGAGATGACTTGTTTTTTGAACTAGTGTTTTTCTTAGACTTTTACTGTTATATGCCAGCGATTATCATGAATGGTGGTTATCTTGATTGTGACCTAAAGTCTGTACTTGTGTGATGTAGAGTTCATCGTGATGCGTGATGCGTGATGCCATCATGCTCCAGCTTTACCTCTTATTAAGAAAATTAATGGAAGTGTTCGAATAATTAAACACTAATGTTGGACATCATTGTACTGTGCTGTAATTAATTGGTATTCTAATAATTTACATATAATCATTCAATATTTTTATTTTTATCTAAGAATAGTGATATATAGACAATTAAATATAAAAAAAAACAATTATTTAACAATTTTTTATCAATTAGAATACTGATATATTAAAAATAATAATAAGAATAAGAACAAAACAAAATAGAGGTGTGGAGACTCCCATTGATTAACAATTTTAACTTAAATATTATGTTAGATGTTATTAATTTATTTATTTTTTAATTTGAAAGACACTATCGGAATTGTCTACCAAATCAAGATAAACACTAAATGATACATATAAACTAAAAATAAAGGTTACTCTTGAAAGAGGGAGCACTCACTGATTACGTCAAAGATTAGTATGTGTTTGGATGAATATATACAAAATTGTTTCTGAATGAAAATAATTTCAAAGTGCGCCAATTTGTTTTTTAATGCTTTTATTGTAAAAAGTCAAAACAAGTGCGTTGTAAAATTTAGTTAAATTTTTTATCAAACACATTTACTCCATCAATCATATTGACTGATACTTCATTATAATCTTGGACAATGCAAAGTGAATCAAACACATGCATGATGTTGTGTTTATTCGGTTCAAACACTGCCTACGACAACTACAGGCATGAATAAATACAGTTAGACAAAGAATAGCTTTTATGTCCGGTGAAAAAAGGGAACGTCGGGGAAGAAAGATCCAATTCAAAACCTCAATAAAATTTCAACACAAGGGGAAATGATTGGACTGATAAGATAACCTTATCCATCAATTTCCAATAGGAAAGCTCCCACGTCAGACACTCGCAAATATGCCCAAAATTTCCACCTCTCATTCCACTTCTGCCTCCACCACCATTTCTCTCAAACCACGTTAACATATAATCAACAATCTTCACAGAAACTTAACCAACAAGTAGCAGGGGAAGCAAGAAAGAAGTGCAGAAAAGACATGGCTTCCACTTCTGCAGTTTCAATGGCTATGCCTGCAATTTGTGCCAGCCACAAGAGGGTGGTGGTTCCTAGCTCTGATGCATTCTTCAAGCCACTGCCTCTACGGTCTTCAAAGGCAGTGACGGCATCAAATCCCAATGGAAGGTTTCAAGTGAGAGCCTCCATGAAGGAGAAAGTTGTGACAGGGCTCACAGCAGCTGCATTGACGGCTTCAATGATGGTTCCTGATGTGGCCGAGGCTGCTGTCACACCTTCTCTCAAGAACTTCTTGCTCAGCATCATCGCCGGCGGAGTGGTTGTTGCGGTCATTGTTGGTGCTGTAATTGGTGTTTCCAATTTCGATCCCGTCAAACGAAGCTGATGAAGTTCTGAGGCATTGTGTTTTTTTTTTTTTTTTTTTAAACTCCTATAATGATATGTTTCTATAATGTAATGTTTTCAGAAATGAACTGAACCCTATGCTGCGTACTAATATATGATCCTTGGGCAGAAGCCCTTCAATCTTAAAACGTTATTTTGTTGTTTTGACGCTTCATAGAAACAGTTGATTGCGTCTTTTTGCTGCATGAGAATAAAATAACTAGCAGACCAATGATAGATAACATTTTGAAAAAAATCCAACCACAAGGAACGATTATATAAAAAATATAACTGAGTAATATTCTGTTTGATATAAAGGCATATTGATTAAAAAATAAAATAAAAAATTCAAACTTGAATTGATACTATCTAAATATGTCTTGTATGGCAACAAATGACGTAGTAACTCATAGTAAGTAATGAGTAATGATTAATTCTATGTAAAGCTTGAATAGTAACACTATATGTATGGCTTATCATACTAAAAGAAGCTGAAACCAAGCTACAATCACTGCCTAAAAAATTTGGAAATCGACTCAAGCATGTATCTACTCTCTGAAGAATAATTCAACTTATCTGCCTTGACTACAGTAATCTTCACCTTCTGTTCATCGCCATATAATTCCTCTTTGATTTTCAGCCTTAACATAAACTGTTTGAAGAGTCGACTCTTGATTATTTCTCCAAACGTCTCATCATCCTGCTGTTCATGTTTCAACAAGTACAGATCCTTCGCTGAGTACTCCATTATCTCTTCACCTGCTTCCTGGAAAGCAGTTACCCAAGTTAATCCTGTGCCATCCAGGATTTGAGCTTGGAGAAGGTATCGGTAATCACACTCCTCAAATTCTTGATTGCATCTATCACATTGCCATCTTGTGTTTCCTGACCTAGTCACTTTCTTATTGCATTGTCGATCTCCAATCATAAGAGGGCAAGCCGTGTAACAAAATGTATCAGTCTTGATGAATGATATGGTAGCCCTTATTGTTATCCAGTCTGGCTTGTCTGACCGTCCCAGACCTTCATCCTTGATTTGAGATATAGTTTTGCGTACCTCATTCTTCGTTCCTCCAGGAACAACGTCCTTAGAAATTGAAAGGGAGGCAGAATCTTTTCCTATTTGATCAAACCATTCTCTCAAGCTAATAGCCTCAGGGAAATCAGGATTTATGAAAAGCTGCGTGGTAGAAATAGAGCCTATCGACTTTCCACTAAAATCATTCACCTTCCCAGCTTTGACTGCTAAAATTGGGAAAAACCCAGCATCTATTATCTCTTGCAACTGTTGCCCTTCCCTGTTGCAAAATTCTCCCCACAGTGTAAGTTCAACACTCCTGCCAGAACTGTCTTTCAGACTCAAAATTCTTCTCTGGGTTTCCATTCCGTTCTTCCTCAAGATGGGAACAGAAGGGTTCACAGATGTCACAACCCCAATAACATCAAGGATGGAGTTATTCTCAACATTCTCAATGTCAGTGATAGGTCGGAAGGAGAACTGCTGCCTAGGTATAGAATCATCCTCATCTGGGCACAGCTCAACTGTTGAAGTTGATTCCAAAAAAATTTCCCATTCATTCTTCAAATGGTTGAAATTCTTCTGAGCAGGTTTTAAGCTACCTTTCGATATCATGTAAACTTTACCAACCTCAATTATATTATAGAAGCGATCAACAACAGCATTAAAGCATGTTACTCGTATTTCACCTCCATCAGAATCAAGGAGATCAAATGAGAAGACTTTCCCATCACCGCGTGCATTATTGTAGCGCCGCAGATCCCCTTTAGCAGTTACCCTTGCCCTGATTGCCCACCGACCTTGATAAGGATTTAAAGCTGCTATAGGAATGATGCGTGCTGGCGCCTCATTTTTCATAACTGCCCCACGGCCTTTGTAAACTGGAGGCGGTTGGTATGGAGGTTGAATTGTTGGCCTGAAATTCTGGGCGTTATTCTGGCTTGCATTTTGAGCAGCAGAATTATTAATAATTTTACTACTATTATTACTACTGGGCAAATTCCCCCCAGTGTTATCTGCTAAAGCTCTCACAGTTGGTAAATCTGAATCCACACATGGCTTTGGATTCCCAATTATCTCAAAATCAGCTATTATAGTTTCCATGTTTAGAACCACAATAATCCTGTGCAAGGAAAAACAGATAAATTAATTTTACAGGATAAACCTAAAGTTGAAGATGTAAGATTCAATCAGTAACATGTTTTCTATTCTTTAGCATCCATCTATACACGGACACATTAAGTCTAACAAGTAAATGCTAAGGTTTTGCAAATTTCCAGGTTGCAATTGCATTCCCTATATGCACACTTTAACCATTCACAGTAACATAAAATTTATACAACCAAAACATCAACCGTTTCCCCTTTAAATTCGAATTATCAGGTTTTGCAAGTGTAAAACATGACAAATAATGTTATACTGGCGTTTTGCATTCAGAAGTGAAATTCGAATCAAATATAAATTCAAATAACATAAAAAGTAATATTCACATGAATATTATATTCACAATCGCAACAACACTAATTTGAGTATAATTACAGAAATGACTTGAATCCAAAATTAGATTTGCAGAGAAGAGAGAGACTTGCGGTTCTTGAGAGGAGTGCATATATAATCGAGAAGCTGAACAACCGAACCCTTCTGAACTCGACCGGTTCTGACTCGGTCGTTGAGCTGAGTGGCGAGCATCGCGTGGTGAGACGAAACGGCATCGGAAAGCAGAAGACGGTATCTCTGCTGCTGCGAGTTGTTGCCGTTGGAGATTAACGCTACATCCAGAACCTGAACAAGAGGTTTCGCGTTCACGTCGCCGCCGATTATCGCCGGAATCGCGTTTTCAGTCAGATTCACCGACATTCTCCCTCCAAACGTGGATTCCCGAACAAACTCGACCCCAAAACGGAAGGAGTAAATAGCAAAACCGTATCAATCTAAAAGAACGGAACCGGAGGAAAATTCGGACCGGGTCTGCTGAACCGGTAAGCAAACAAATGGTAAAAGTTTAATTATGCTTCTTTCGAGTTTCCTAAAATATTAAATGAGTCTGGTTTTATCCCAACATTAATAATAATTTATTTTAATTTTTAAATTTAAAAAAAGATGATTTTAGTTTAAAATATTAAATTTAAAAAATTAAAAATTATTTTATTGTCTTTTTTTTCTTTTTTTCTTTCTTCGTCCTTCCATGTTCACATTCTTCTTCTTTCTTTCTTTTTTTTTTTTCTTTCTTCGTCCTTCATCATATTTTTATGATTTTTTTTCTTCTTCATCTTTCTCCATTTTTATCATCATGTGATATTAGTTATAGCAATTATATTTATAATCAATGATACAATAATATTGATATTATTTATAAATAAGAGATGTGTAACCCTACCTGGTAAATTATTAATATATTAGATTCTCCGAACTACAAAAAGTCAAATCTGACAGCAAAATAACTTAGTGCAAATTGGACATATTAATGGAATTAGACAAGTTATACTATAAAAGCATCTATGGATTGAAGAAGTAACCAAATCCAATGGATGATTAAAAGATTTAATTAAGCATTAACACACAATTATTGTCACACGAAAGTCGTAATATCTGTTCCTCTAATTTAACTTAAAAATAAATTTACTCATCATGTCTTTATTATAAAATATATTTTTAAACAATTGTGGATTTTTTTTTAATATTTTATAATTTTTATATATCTTTTTATTTGTTTTCTTATTTATTTTTATTAAATATTATGAATTTTTGTGTTTATTTTTTTGTAAATAGCAAGAAGAAAATTTCAAAAACAATTTAATATATTATAATATTTTTATAAATTCAGCTAAATTAATTATTTTCATCTGTATGTATTATCTTTAAAATGTCTTACAATTAAAGGGGGTTATTTTTATTATATGTTTTTTTATCATATTATTAATTAAGTCGAAACCTTCACTAATTTATAATAGTAAATACATGACTTTGGTTAAATGTGAGTCTTTAATCAGTTTGGATTAAAGAGAGGAAACAAAAGAGCGAGAGTTATTTTTTTTAGGAGAAAAGAAAACCAATATTTTAAAAATGAGAAAATAAGATTATATGAGTTTAAAATTTAAAGGGTTGAATAAAGATTTAATGGAGAAGATGAATTTAATAAAATAATATTTTTATAATATATTAAATATATAGTAAATTTATTATTAATAATATTTTAAAAAAATAATAACAATTTATTATATCATATTAAATTATAATAAAAATTAAAAATATAAAATATATTAAACAAATATAAAATAATTCTTAAAATAAAACAAATATTATTTAAGATTAGCATAATTAATTTAAAACAAAAAAAATAAAATATATTATATTTTTTATAAAAAATTATTGATTCGATCCAAAATTTCAGTGGATTTATTAATTATTTTATTTTATTTTAATTTAATTAAAATTTAAATATTTAAAAATAATGAATAAATTTCTTTATACCGATTAAATGCATCCATTCTATCCCATTAATTTTTTTACGATTTTGTTTAAAAAATTATCTTAAATTATATTTTATTTTCTCTCTATTTTTAAAATACATTTATTTTTTTCCATTAATTATGTATAATTTTTTCTTATATATTATTATATTTAAATTTTATACATCATCTTAATTATTTTTTTAAACCATAATATTTTATACCAAAAATTATATACAAAAGATAATTGTATTACTTATAGATATTTTCTTTCTAAAAGCAAGCTAAAAGTTGAGTAATGTCTCTCTATTTAATTAGATAAGTAAAAAATTGAGAGCAAATATATAAATAATTAAATAAAATATATTTAAAATTATTATACAACAATTTTTTTTTCAAACATATAAAGTTGTAATCTTCTTTGAAAGAGGGTCACCATAAAACCCTAAAACGTATTTTGGGAACCTTTGAGGGTCACCAAGGGAGGTCAACTCATAAAGTTAATATTCTTAAAGTATACAATTTTGATAAATCTGTGTCTTTTGGGAGCGTCAACTAAATGGGGCTGAGTTTTTATATAAAAAGAAAGGGAAAAGAAGAGGATAATAAACTTACTAAAACTATGAAAGTATTGTGAGTGTGATTTGATCATAATCAAACACGTTTGGGGCATGGAGCATGAACTAATATTATTATAGTGAAATTAGGGTAATTGGGTCCAACCAATGATGTGGATATGAATGAGTTGCATTATTATTATAAAATGGCTTTATTAGGGCAAACTAGAGATGGCCTCTTTCCAACCTATTTGCTGGAAATGCAAGGAACAAAGAGAAAGAAAGGCAAAAGTAGATTCCCACTGCACATGTTGTGTACTAGACAATGTTTAATTTGTCTTGGCTTATGTAGGGACCAAACCATTTTTTATATCTCATTTTCCATTGCCCTTCATCACTACCTCAAACGTAGCATGCATATGTAATTTTTTGGCACAGTTCCCAAAACCTTCTCCAACCCTTTTGTTTTTTAATTTCATATGTTTAATATATAGGTTAATCATTAATACACATACTCTCTTGGAGATGAGAGGCATGAGATTATATTTTATGATTTGTGTGTGTGTGTGATATGATATGTTAATATTGGATTTCTTGAGTGTAAGGCCAAGAGACGCCCTTGAGGGTATGGACACATGTGGTGGAACAATTAGAGTTTCATGTCTGAGAGTAAATTGATTGTGAATATAGGGTACGGAGAGAGGGATCGATTTTGTAGATAAGGAAAAGGTACTATCTTTCGATGAGCAAAATCTAAACCAGAAACAGGCCATTTTCAGCAATCACTCATGTGGGCCAATTTATTGAGATCAGGAAATTAGGGTTCCACTCATAGGGTCCACCAACAAAGACATCTGCTCAATCAGATAGAGAGAGGGAGAGATCCAAGCCAGAGAATTATGAACAATGAGGTTTGTCATTGAGGACATTTATTGCAGAAGTGGAACAGAAAGAGAAATATAACAAAATTTGGTATAGTAGGTAAATGTTATGCTCTATGCTCATATTCTCTAAGCCTAAAGTTTCAATTTCAGTTAGATATATGAGTTTTGTTAATAAATAATTATAAGTATCTTTTCTTTATTCTTAGAGTCTGTTGTGATTATGAGAATTGATGAGTTTCTACAAACAATAGATGTTCTTACAAATATCTTTTCTTTGGTTCTCTTTCTTTATGTATGAAACTCATTGTATAAAAACTAAGTATAAATAAAAAACAATTGCTGAACAGAAAGAATGGAGGATGGAAATAATTGAATAGTGAAAGAGTAAGAACCTAGGAAGGAAGGGATAAGCATGGAGAAGTTCAGTTTCGTCCCAAAAGAGAGAACCTTAGGGGTCCCTTGTCTTGATGTTGGGGCCACTACTTGTATGTTCATATCAACTCTGGCCTTTTTACATTCCGATTTTAACTTTCATTATTCACCCTTTTTTATTTTCATTTTCCATTCTCATCATATCATCTTCACAGATGATCTTTTCTCTTATTTTCCTTCTGTTTTCTCTGTTACCACTTGGGGTGTATTCAAGGGTTGTGATCAGTATTCTTTACATGTATCTGATTTCAGAGACTGTAGAGTTTTGTTTGAATAATAATTTTCAGACAATTCAACAGTAGACACCTTAATATATATATTTTTCATCATATCATGTATTACATATTTCTCCTACTTCTTTGTGTCCATGAGTAATTTATTAACAAATGGGTGTTGATACATCATTGTCCATATATAATACTTTAAGTTCCCAGCCAATACTATTCATTTAGTATAAAGATTAAAAAATTGTCAAAAGCACATCGTTTCTTATCTGAGATTCTGTTCCTGTGGTGGTGTGTGATTGGGAACCAAAAAGATAGACTAAAGCTGCTTTTTTCACACTGTTTCAGGGCATCTTCACGCACATGTATTCGCGTATGTACTCTTCCCAGTTCTTACACCCGCAAGGACACAAAGGAATATTAAAATCAGGAACAGTATTTTTCAGTAAAGAAGCTCTGGTTACATGGGAATGAACCTAAAACAGTATCTACCACCCCTTCTCAATTTCAGCTATTAGCTAAAGTGAGAACAAGAACAACATTTTGGGTTGAACTTGCAAAGGGAATAAAGGTATGATGACAAGTTCCCATCAAAAGAAATGATGAAAAAAGATTTGAGAAGACCCTCTTGCTTCAATTGACAAAGAGGAAAAGTTAATGAAAGCTGAAAGCTATGCCTCATGGGTTCGTGCAATCTAGCTCATCAGCAAATTACATTCCATGACAGGATAAAAGAAAAAAACCACATTAGTTCAAAAAATGAAAGACTTTCTTATTTCTACTTTGAACAACAGCAGCATGATTGAATTAGTTGCACAACCATGCAAGATTTCTATTAGATCCCAAATTACATGGTTACAATGGGAGGAATTGTGGAGAAAAATCATTATATCATTTTTTTTTTCTTATTTGGAATATAAGGAGTAAGTGATGTGCTAGAGAAAGTCCTGTAATACAATAGAGCTTCTTACACTACAGAATCTTCTAATCTTGTGTTCTACTACCCTTCAACACTTCTTGTACTTCTCCACCAAGCAAAAGAATCACAAGGAAACAAACTGTCTACACAGGTCTTTGTCTCTTGTGGACTGCCTTCCCATCTGACTTCACACCACCACTTGAATCCCCCTCTGATGTAACTTCCATGGATTTGGTAAAGGAAGTTGAAAGATCAGCATATAGGTCATACACTCTTCTGATATTGTTGTTGAGCTCCCTAATGAGCCCTACATTCCTGCTGAGGTTATCAGGGACCTTAGACTCATGGTTCTGGTTTATCTCATTGATGAGTAGCCTGTTCTGATCAAAAATATTCTGGACTTGAACAAAGCTCTTATGAAATGTCTGCATGATCTTGGCATCAATCTGAGCACCATTGGCAAGGCCAGAGAATGTGTCACCCTCCATTCCTCTCTTTGAGTCACAAGAAGCCAATTCAAGTCAGAACCAGCCCTGCATCATGTGCAAAATGAGATGAGAAGATATAACAAAGGTTGAGAAAGTACTATTAGTACACATAAAAATAATACACTATAGTCATTTTTTAATAAATTTATCCATACTAATAATCATATCCCCTATCTGCAAAGGCCAGCACTAACCACAATAGAGAGACAAAACATGACCAATTTTGGAATTGTTTATGGCATTTAGGCAGATGAGACAACAAGCAGTGTAGGAGAAATAATGATCTCCATGAGTTCCTTTTCCAGAGGAATCAGACTATTAGCATATTGCTACAATTATTATCATTATTATAGGTACTAATAATCAGTTTTATTCTTTTTTTTTTATGAGATGGGAAAAAGTAGATCCCATTTCCATAAAAGGGAACTTTTTTATATTGTACTCAAGAAACAGCTACCCAAAGCTCAAAGACCCAAAAACAAAAACTAAAAACAAATCATTCAATGATGCAGAGTAGATGATAATATGAGGCTATGAAGGTACTGCTACACAGACATCATCATTAACCTTTTCTAAACAAAATTACGAAAAACATAAACAAAATAAGTAACCGTCCAAGATGCCAAAGATGATTGACCAAATTCGGCGAACACGCACATACATTGAATAAAACCAAACCAAAACCCCGTCAACAATCTCCAATTGACACCAAAATCAAAATTAAAATGTTCGAACCGTACTCAGAAAACCTGCAGCAGCATAACATGTAGTAACAGAAATCGAAGGAAAACAAATTAAAAACAATAATCGGCGTTTAATGATTCCATGTTCTAAACGCATCTCCAACCCGCTAAATTGCGGAGATCTTCTTAGAGTAATTTATTCAACGAGGAAGAAGAAAAACAGCAGCTAAACATGAAAAACATGGAGGTCATAGAATCAATGCGCGACCCAAAAGCGACATTAAAAATAAACAAGGACGAGAGAGCAAAATTCACCTTCTTTTTGCAATATATTACAAATTCAACCAAGCAAATTATTGGGTAGTTTATTAAGAGTAGTAATGTGTCAACAAGAACATTATCGTTCAAAAATCATACCTTTGGAAACGGAAACATTGTTTTTTGTTTTGGGTGTGAAATTGAAAGAAGAAAAGGAGGTAGAGGTAGAGAAGAGAGTGATTAAGATCGAAGATTGAATGGAATCTGTGGAGTGAAAAAGTTGTGGTATGAATGAAATTTTGTGTGTGAGAAGTGAAGAGAGAGAGAATATGTAAGATTTGACAGTCACGCTCGGACCCCGCTGCGTCTTAATATTTAGCAGTATTCTATACAATCTATGATATTGATGATGATATGATGCATATTCAATATTCAATATCCACCTGTTATTTCCTTTTTATAACTCTTCTTTATTTGGATACAATTACGTCATCTACATCATTTTTTTTTTTCAATTCTAAAATTACTTCATACAAATACTCTATTAAAGTCTCACGTCAATTAAAAAAAAAATTAAGTATTATATAAATAAAAGAAAACCATGAATTTGAATCTCAAAACTTTAAATTAAAAATGATTTCATATTTTTATTCGTATTCTGAATTAAAGAAAAAACTCACATTTTTTTATTTCTCTTCATAAAATTATCGATATTTTAAAAAAATTTAATATTGAGTAAATAAAAATAGATAAAACAAGATTGAATAATATAATAAATTAGTTAATAAAAATATTTTCAAAAAATAATTATAACTTATTATCGTGTTTTAATTATATATATAAAATATTGTATTTAACAAATAAAATATAATAAAATAATTATTATCTATAAAAATAAAAAATATTATATTTTTTATAGAAAGGTTTATTGTAAACAAATTTTAAAAAATTGATATTTGAGTTTTTTTTTATTTACCAAAGATTTAATCCAAAAAATTAGTTTATTTTATTTTATTATAATTTTATAGTTATTTAATTAAAATATGGTTTCTTTTAAGTAATATACTTATTTACGAATTGGCTCAACCTTTGAAAACCATGTAAATTACTGAAAAAATATCTTAATTTAAATTAAATATAACCTATTATATATTTTTTAGATTAAATTAAAATTATACACAATTTAAGGGTGAAATTGAGTGGTGTTGAACTTATAATTATCTATTTTAATATCAAACACAAAGGGGAAAAAAATGAATTGGCTTTATTTGTTATTTTTTATCCAGGAAATTTTGTTTCAGCTAATAATCTGATCATGTAGTTACGACAAAAAAACAAAAATACTAAATTAGTTTAGTTTGTTAAAATTAAAAAAAAAATTAAATATGTAAAATATAAACATGCATCAAAACTTGAATAAAAATATATACACTATGCAAGAATATTAAAATTACTCACAAATAGACCAATTCAAGCGAAAAACATGATATTATCGAAGTCATGTGATGCTGGAAGATTAAATGTAAGTTTTGAAGACTTTCCTATACTTTCAAACTTTGAAGGAATGATTTTCAATCAATAAATACTAGATTTTTCATCTCGTGGGGACTTAGAATCATCAAACTCAATTATGAGAGTTCTAATCATTTGAAATAGAGACTTTTTCGTGGTTCAAATTATGAAAGGTAAAATTTATTGGAATTTTGTGATGATATTAATAAAAAGAGAATTATTAAAGTACAAATTAAGCAATGAATTTAAAAACACGTAACAATTTTAGAACTTGTGATGAGGATAATGATTGACGTGTAAATCATATAATTAAAAAAAAATATATACGTAAACAATATTTCCCTTAATTCCATTTTTTATTTATTAACTTTCTCCCTCGTTTTTTTTAAAGACAAAAAAAAAAGTATAAAACCAACTTATTTTGCTTTAAACAATATATAAGTTTTTTGTGTTAATTAATATAAATTATTATTCTAAGAAATATATATTATTTGCGTTAATGTTATATTATTAGACTGCAAACTCAATCTATGTAACTTTTAACCTTATTAACCAACAATCTTCAATATTTGATCATATTTCTTCAAACTATTTCCTAATTAAATAATAATTAATGAATAATAAAATAAAATCATCAAACCTTCCGGTATTAATTATTCTAGGTTTTATTTGACTAATTAGAACCTTAAATCAATTATCTACTAATAGGAGGTTGCATGATTATACGCTAATCGACAATTAATTAATATGTATGACCATTTAATAGAAGTTTCTCCAGAGATTTGAAATGAAGAATGGGTCAAATATAATGTTTAATGCATATTAATTATAAATATCAAGTTATTCAACAGTTCCTAAATAATCGACCTTCATATGTCTTTCAAATTGCTAACTTAATTTGAACGTTAAAGACTTTTCTTTATTTTGATTTTTTAGGCACTCTTAATTTGAGAAAAAATGAAAAATCATGTCTTATAGTGAAATATTAATTATATTTTTTCTAAATTCAATAATTAATTATCCAAGTTGACATACTAGCATTAGCCATTGGTAATTATATAACACCTTACATTCTATTAATGGGTCATGGCCCACACAGGTTGAATCAGGCCCGTCTATTCAACATGTCTCCTCACGGCCCTTTATACATACCAATACCAAGTAGTTATTCAATGTGTAGTCTCAATACCACTTTATTATAAAATAACAATTTAAATGATAAATTATATTAAGTTAGAGATACATTATTAAGGTATTTTAAATTATATTAAATATAAATATAAATAGAAATATATATTTTATCCTAATATAAATAATGTTTTAATAATACAATTTGTCATGAATATTAATGCAATTTTATATATAAATAAAGGGATTTTTTTTTACTATTTTTGGTGAGATGACTTATAATATAATATAATATTTTTTATCAAATAAATTATATATAAAAAAGAAACACATAATATAAGAAACATAATTATTTTGATTTGTACATTTAAAAATAATATAAGTTGGAGAGAAAAAAAAAGTGTGATATACATAGAGTGAAAAAAAATATAAGAAAAAGAAAATATTACTTCAAAAAGAATTATATATATATATATAATTCATCAGCTTTTTATTTACAGTTTTTATTAACTGTCACTTTTCTTCCTTTCTTCTGCAACATTTTCTACCATGCCCTACACCTCCATGAAAACACCTTCCCAATGTACAGGTAGCAAAAATGTTCCACCAGAAAAGGTAAAGAAGATAAACTAAACAAAACGTTCGAGGGTTTACGTTTGATAGGTGATAGCTTATTTAATTTGATATGTTTTACCATCTGCAAGTTGGACGTACATGTTGCAGCACTTTGTTTCATTATTCTAAATTCTAATTTAAAATTTATCAAATTTTAAAGTTTTGAAAAAAATTTAAATATAATACTAAATTTAAATTATTTTCCTTTTTAACTATTTTATGCTTTAAATGCTTTGCTTGATAAAATAATTCACCTTGATTGAAATTTAATTTCTAAAATATTCAATCATCATCTTATACAAAACTTTATTTTAATATTAAAATATTTACTAATTTAAAAATACAAATCGATTTATTTTTCAATTAAAGTTATTTTTTACAACATTTTTTTCTGTTAATATTTATTATCTCAATTGAAATCGGTAGAAGTTATTTTAATTTCACAATAGTCATAATTATTTTGATTCACACAGATTATTTTTTTTATTATTATTTTTAAATATTGTTAATTAGTTTTTTTTTCTCGACTTTTGATGGATGCCGGCTAAAAAAAAGCTAGACTAATATAGTTTGGTCAAAACAATCCTTATCAAAAATTGATTGAAACGAGAGTAAAAATAAACATAGATTTAACTTTGGTAGGAATACAAAAATGAAAGAATTCAAGGGTCATAAATATAGTGAAGAGCAGAAAGATGGTGCATTTTGAGTTCCCGGATGGAAAGCGATAAGCCCTGTGAAAAAGAAGAAACATGGTCTTCTGAAGAGGACCAAATTCTCTTCAACTATGTTCGAGGCAGTGGAGAAGGAAATTGGAGAGATGTTCCTCAAAGAGCAGGTACATGTGAAATGACTAACTCAAAGGGCACGTTTGTTTCAAACTTTTTCTGAATTTTGATTTGTTTTGGTTGTGGTGAATAGGGTTGAAAAGATCTGGTGAGAGTTGCAGGCATCGATGGTTATACTATCTGAAGCCAACCATCCCTACAGACAACATTTCTTGGGATGAACATGAACTCATTATCAGACTGCATAAGCTCTTGGGGAACAGGTTTTCCTTTACTTGATTTACTTGTTAAAAAGAGTAACCATATTTACTCATCATTATCATTTCTGACATTACTAATAACTCCTGAGATAAAATTTACAAGTATTAGACATTTCAATAACCCTATCTTTGAGACAAAGTTAACTGGTATAATTAAGATGATTCACTAACTTGATAACACTGTTAATCATATATCAGCAACTGTATACATACAAGATGTAGTTTATTTGTGAGATGAGAAATGTGTTGGTCCATTGATTGGTTGTTTGAGAAAGTGTATGTGGCACAGATGGTCGATGATTGCTGGGCGATTACCAGGACGCAGTGAAGATGAGATAAAGCAGTACTGGAATACTTATTGGAGCAAGAAAGATCCGAGCACAAGTGTGACAACTACAACCATGCCAAGTGTATCTCCATCCTGCTCCCAAAATTACCCTCCTATCAATCCCATGGAGTCTCCACACCATGTCATAGTTAGACCTAAAGCTATGAGGTTAACCAAGGGTGTGGTGCCAAACAGGTCCTCCAATGGAATACGCAATGATTTTAAATGTCTGTGATAACCCTTTTGCTGGTTCCTATGGTGAAGTAGGTGCTAAGAATAAGAAGGTTGATATTGTGTGTTAAATTCAACCATTTGTTGTTTTCTAAAGACAAGTTAGAACCATTTAAGTTCCTTTAATTTATGTTCATTTGAATTATCTTATGTACTGTTAATGTTATTGGAGGAGTTGAAATCTGGACATGAGAAAGTTTATAGGTGATGGTGAACATCTTCTCAGTGCTACCGTGCAACAGTATGCCTGTTTTACCGCGAATCCTTGTACTTGTTAGGTTTAGCAGGATGTGAACACAACACTGTTCTGTATGAGAAAAGAATAAGAAGTGATTGTGGGAGAAGAAGCGAGGGAGATTCATCGAGAGTGATTGTGTTAGTGGATTTGTTGTGTCGGTGTGCTGAGTGGTGAGAGGGATCCGTGAGAGAGAGTTATCAGCTATAGGTGTTAGGAAGCGTGGTCAGTGAGTGTATGTACGGTGGTGCGGAATGGATAAGGTGAATAGTTCTGAGTGGAAATCAACTTGCATGCATGTTGGTGGGTCTAAAAAAGTGAGTGAAAATCATCCCCAGAAAAACCCATATATATATATATATATATATATATATATATATATATATATATATATATATATATATATTTTTTTTTTTTTTAATGCCCAAAAATCTTTACATTAGTAATATTTTTTTTCACATGTAATTAACTTTAATTTTTTTTTAATGAGTGGTTCTATTTTAGATTTAGAATATTTTGATCAACATTTGAGACTTTATTATTATATTTATTAAATATTTTAATTTTTATTATGCATATTTTTTATGATAGATGATAATTTTAATATTTAATTTTAATATAGAGTTATTAAATCGATAATGGACAAAATAATTTATTTAGATACTAGAAAGCTCCAATCTCAAATCATAAATGTTGATGTTCGTGTTATTATATTATTATTTGTTTACAAGAAGAAATTGTTGGTTTGACATTAATATTATATATATATATATATATATATATATATATATATATATATATATATTCTAAAAATGTAACAGTCATATGTAAGACATTGAATAATGTGTTTTCTTCTCCCCTTACATACCAATAATAGATGTTTTCTTGGACCACAATTGGGATCATCCCCATCTCAAAATCTTTTATCCTTCTGTCAGCCATGGCCACCAATTCATTCTTTGGTCAATTCAAGTTCTGTCTTTTCCAGTTTGATTTTAGATTTTCTATTCTCATCAATATATACACCAATGTTTTACTGTCGTCAACCACCAATGTAAAATATAATTTATATTTTATATGGAATATATTTTAAAAATATATATTTCACATTAAAATAAAAACATTTTTTTATATTAATTTTATATTTATATAATTTTTTATATATAATCAAATTAATATAATATATTGAAAACTTTTTTTTTTTACAATTTCAAAAACATATTTCCTATTTAAAAATAAAAAACAAAAAATCGAAATCATAAAACTTCATGGATTATGATCGAAATCATGAATTATAAAAACTTCACAATGCATGTTGAGTCGTTCAAAAAAAATTTCGAGTTCAGACAACATTTTACTAAAATAGTAATTTAATACATTAATAGTATTAATCTTTACTTTGGACTACGATGAAAAACATTAAGTAATACATTTTGTTCCATATAGTTCCTATTAAAATAATTTTTTATATATAATCAAATTAATACAAAATATATATATATATATATATATTTATATTCTTGCCGAAAAATATAATATTAAATAATAATAATAATAAGGTAAAAATTGATTTTTTTTCACTTTCTCCTCCATCTTTATTGAAAAGAAAAAAATTCACTTATAAAAAGATTTTAATAATTAAATTAATAAAAAAATATAAATTTAAAAATAATGAAAAAATGATTATACGTTTTTATAAAAAAATAAATAATTTTATTTATAAAACTTTTCTATAAATTAGTAATTTATATTTTATTTAATATTAATTATTATTTTTTAAATATAATATTATACATAATTAAATATATTTATTATGTATTATTATATAAATAAAAGAAATATCTTTTTAATAGAATAAGTACAATCAATTTTATAAATTTGGATAGATAATATATATATATATATATATATATATAAACTGTATTTAGATAATTCTAGACTTAGAAATGAATTCTACAAATAATATGAAGTCAGAAAGTGGATCTATAATTTATTTTTTTATTTTTTGTCTTGAAAACTTTTGCAGCTGTACCCGATACTATTTTTGGTTGAAGAGGATAACGACAGCAGTACCTTATTCACTGTATTGGGTAAAAAAACGTAGAGTTTCTGGTTTCATTTCATTCTTAAAAAGACGTGTCCGTGATATAACAGAATCTTTGTACAAATAGCACGTACAAACTAATTTATTTGTTTTTACCCTAGCGTGAAAACGAGAAAATTATAATTATAATAACTAACATGATCCAGTAAAATTTTAGATCTAAATTTTTTTACTTAAATTTCAGATTATGTTATTATTGTTTTCATTAAATATCTTTTTTTATTATTTACAATTTATGATGATAATTTATAATTTTGGTTGATATTTTTTAATTGTATCATCATGGGAGAAGATTGTCTAATGACAATCCGTCTATAAGATCATTTATTTCAATATTATACAACTTTTTTAATATTAAGTGTTCTAATTTAAAATAATTTAAATGACCCTATTATTATATTGACGAAAATTTTTCTTTAAGTATCGTAAGAATTAAAAAATTATAATATTTAATAGATTATTTGTAATATATATATATATATATATATATAATATGTAACTTTTTTATATTTTATGTATTTTTTATTAAATTATGTTTTATTGGCGTCCTCTTGAAAATTTTAGCTCTGTGCATATTATTTTAACATTCTGATATTTTTTTGTCTTTGTTACCTATAGGTATAAATGGAACAGCATGATAATTTGTCGTAGTTTGTAGTAAAAAAATGAACTTTTACGACATCTTCATTGATTTTTATATCGTTTTGTCCTATTATTTCAAATACTTTTAAATTAATGGGTACTTGGTATGACAGTTTCTATTTATTTTTTTCAATTCATTTTTTTCTTCAAGAAATACAATTGGGATTTTTTTTCCGCATCTTCAATGAAATCATTGAAGATTAAAAAACTAAAAAAATCAAACATTATTGTAATTTTATCTTTATTTACACACAAAAATTTGAACATACAATAATTACCACGTAATTCTATAATTTTTTTTAAGAAAATTTAAAAGATAATAATCATTGATACGTCATTTGCTATGTAAAGTAAAATTTAAACATTTATAATTTATTTTCTCAAAGTAAACTTTTTATTTTTAGAAAATTTTCAATAAATATATTATTTTTTTAATAATTAATATAATTTCTTTGAAATTTTAAATTACAGAATTCTAATCATAAAAGTCTTTTAGAATAATCTTTAAACAATCATTATATATTCTTCTAAAATCTTTAAAATTTACGTGATTTTGTTTCTAATTATTAGGATACAATCATCTTTAAAGTAATATAATTAAAAAAATATAAAATTATTAATGTGTTAATTTTGTTGGTTAATAATTGATCAATTAATGCTTGGTTATAATGGGATCTAAGTCCCAAATAATTTTTAGTATTTTATTAATATTTTTTTGTTTATAAATACATTACCTATATAGAGTTTATAATGATACTGATAAAGTAATAAAGTCATATTACTTTTTTTTAGATATTTTCTCTTTCTATATTTTATTAAAAACTTTTTCCACTAATGGTGTTAAGATTTGAAAAATTAGTGACTATATCAGAAAATGAATGATAAGACAAAATGTCAACGTTAAATAGCAAAAATTTGAAGACAATTTTTAAATTTCAAGAAATTTATGATATTATTTTGACCCGATATAACGAACAATTGGAGAATTCTATTGAGATACAATGTATTATGTTCGTGATGCAAAAAATTATAATTGTAAAGTTTTGTTCTATATTTATCAAGTGTGTTAATGAAAGTAATTTTAAGAAGATTTTATCACTACAAAAAAACTTCATAATTATTAGAGGTTTATTTTCAGTGAGTTATAAAAATCGTAAAAATTAAATGTAATTTATGACAAATGAAAGTAATTTTAAGAAGATTTTATCACTACAAAAAACTTCATAATTATTAGAGGTTTATTTTCAATGATTATAAAAATCGTAAAAATTAAATGTAATTTATGACAAAAAACGTAAAAATTAAATGTAATTTATGACAAAAAATTTAACCGACACAATAATTATAATTAAATTTAAATTTTTTATTTTATTTTTATTTATTTTAATTTTTTATTCTCTCACTTTCTTCTACCTTCTCTTTCTTTCTTCGTTATCTCTTTCTCTCTTTACCATTTCATTCATTTTCACACTCATCTTTCACTGTAACGTTTCATCCTTTACTGCAAGGTCACATATCCTCTCTCAATCACCAATTCAGGTTTAATCCGTTTTACTTCTCAATTTCACATGTTTGTGATTTTTGTGAAAAATTACAAGAGTTTTATCTAACGCGTTGGTCTCCAATCTCTCCAAGACGGACACTCGAACGGCGTTGCCGCTTCGGAGCTAACGCCGGAGGGGCGACGATGTCGGTGCTCGGCTGCGATGCAGTTGCTGCAGCCAGCGGAGCCGTTTCCTCCGCGGCGTCCGGTGCGGAGGGGATTGGAGGGTCCGGCGGTGGGGATTGGTTTCGGGCACTTCCGCCATTGTGGTCACAGTGGCAGTGGCGGAGTGCGCAAGATAAGGGAGACGGGGAGTTTTCTGGTGCGGTAGGGTGCAAGGGTACAATTACCTCTAAGATTTTGCGCCGTTGGATAGTTATTATGCGGTTTTTGGTCCTGCATCCAGTTTCCTCGTTTGAGTTTGTATTTTTAGTTAAGTTTATATAGCACCTCACTAGTTTTCTTGGAGGTTTAAAATTTAAGTTGTCTTGTGTTTATAACTAGCTTGTATGTCTGTAGGTGGTTAATTTTTTCACGTGGTCTTTTAGAATAGGTACTGAACATAAGAAGTTTGGTTTTGAGTTTGGAAACTTGCGTCCTATGAAATATGAGCAAATAGCAGAATTGCTTGAATGACATTGCTTGAGAGATTTGACTGGGATAAAATAATGGAAGATGATAAAATTATTGGACTGAAACGTGTTTGTGAAGTGTCTTTGAGAATGGGAAACAAACACGAGAGGAAATGTGATCGAAGTGAAGTGAAGGAGAAGGTGCTCTGTTAGATTATTTATACAATGCTCTTTCTAGATTTATACAAAACTCTTTAGACCTTTTGTCCTCTATCAATTTATAATTAATGGCCCACACAAAATTTTGATTTATTGATAAAATAATTAAAAAATAGTAATTAAATAATTTTTGGTGGTTTTTTAAACCTCCAATAAGTTTTAAATAATTATAAAATATTATATATTTTGTAGCGGTTTTTAATTGTTGAAATATAAAATTAATTATAAAAATAACATTTGTAACAATTTCAAATTGCAACAAAATGTTAAATTAAAATGAGAATAATAATGTATTTTATGGCGGTTTTTAAGCTGTTGAAATTTTTGTTTTTCTTTTTTGACATAAATACCGAGCATTTAAAAAAATTCAGTTACAAATCATTTTTGACATCTATAAATATGACAAGTTATATTAATTGTTACAAATTTTATTTGTAGCGGTTTTTAACTTCTAAAATCTACAATTTTAACCGCTATAAATAACATATTTTTTTGTAGTGTATAGACGAATACACCGAAATAAACTTGAGATATACTAGCATAAAATATAATATATTTATATTTTATATATTTTTATTTTTATATATTTTTATATTTTATATTTTTACATTTATATATTTATATATTTGTATATTTATATATATTTAGATATTTTTATATATTTATATATAATTAAATATTTATTTTTAAAATTATTTAATTTAATAAATTATTATAACTTAATCTAATTATGATTAAATTAATTTATTAAATAGAAAAAGTATTTAATTTTTTAATTATGTGAATAATTAATTTATTAAAATATATTTAAATTAAGTAATTATTATATAATTTTACAGACGGATATCCGATCGATAAGTGATTGTTAATTTATCGATGTGTTTACCAATGGATATATCCAGTCGGTAATTAATTGTTAATTTACCAACGGATTTACCCACAGATATATCCGTCGGTAATTAATTGTTAATTTACCGATAGATATATCTGTCGGTAAATAATTATTAATTTACCGACGGATATATCCGTCGGTAATAAATAAATTTTCAACGGCTACAAATCCGTCAATAAAAAACAATCGAAAATACGCTATTTTCTTGTAGTGGAAGACAAAACGACTTTAGACCTTAAGTTTAGAACTCAAAAAATCGTGCAAGAACACTTTACAAAAGTCACTACAAGAAAATCGCGTATTACCATGAATATTTATCGACAGATTCGTAGCCGTCGGAAAATAATCATTACCGACGGAAATTACCGACGGATATAAAATATTTGTGGAATTTGATGTTAGCGACGGATATATCCGTCGGTAAAATAATAATTAGTTACCAACAGATATATTCGTTGATAAATCCGTCGGTAATTTATAGATGAATTTACCGATAGATACATCCAGTCGGTAAATCAGTCGATAAATTAACAATTAATTACCGATGAATATATCCATCGGTAAATTCATCTGTAAATTAACAATTATTTACCGCAAAATTATATAATATAATTTAATTATTCACCTAATTAAAAAATGAAATATTTTTTATTTAATAATTTAATTTAATCATAATTAGATTAATTTATAATAATTTATTAAAATAAATAATTAAAAAAAATAAATATTTAATTATATATAAATTATAAATCTATAAATATATAAATATATAAATCTATAAATATATAAATCTATAAATATATAAATCTATAAATATATAAATCTATAAATATATAAATCTATAAATATATAAATATATAAATATATAAATATATAAATATATAAATATATAAATATATAAATATATAAATATATAAATATATAAATATATAAATATATAAATATATAAATATATAAATATATAAATATATAAATATAATTTATTTGTAAATTGTTATCAAAAAATTCTAATAGCTTAGTGATTAGAGTATTAGTCTCTAACTCTAAGATGCTGAGTTTGAATCCTGTCGATGTTAATTTCTCTTAATTAAATATATTTAATAAATAATAAAATTATTACTGACGGATTTTGACCGTTGGTAATTTTAATATTTCTTGTAGTGAGTGCTCTCCCACACAAAATAGATGAAATCATATGGCGAAATTTAAAAAAATGATCGGTGGTAGAAAATATATTAAGGACTCTCGATATTATATTCGATATGATTTCTATGGTGATCGAAAAATAAAAGAATATGAGTTTACTAAAGTTAGAAGAATTATAGGGATTGTTGGAGGTTCATTAACAATAATTGCGTGAAAGAAGTGGAGATAAATCCAGTTCAAAATAAGCCTTATTGGCTAAGCAAAAATAAAAAAAAAATGATATTAATCAAGACAAATTCAACAAGAGAGGTTGTACTAGAGGTTTCAAAGGTAGAAATAATAAAGGTTGAGGTTCAGATGAGAGTTTCTTACAATTGAGGTTAGAAGCAAAAATTCATATTGGAGAGGTGGAAGCAAAAATTCATTAAACAAAAATTCATATTGGAGAGGTGGTTAATCTGGTGGTGATAAAAACAATATACAGTGCTATAATTGCAACAATTATGACCATTATGCAACTGATTGTTAAAATAAAGGTTTAAAAGAAAAAGAAAATGTTGTGTAAAAGGAAGACTCCGAGAATGAAGTTTTGTTGATGGTGATCATAACAAAATCAAAGAAAATATATAATTGGATGAAAAGATTAAAATTAAGGTGAAGTTTTCAAATAATTCTACATTAAATTGTGAAGGGAAATGAAAGATTTTGATTAGAAGAAGAAATTTTAATTTGCAATAATTTTACATGTGCTATATGTTCCAACCATAAAACATAACCTATTGAGTATCAATCAATTTCTCCATAAAAGACATTTAATCGACTGAAGATCAAAGGGGCAAATATTTGGAATTCTTAATAAAAATGGGACACAAATTCTAAAAACTCTTCTGAGCAAAATCAAGACCATTAGAATTGATATTTCAATATCGAATCATATGTGTTTTGTAGTTGCAGTTTGTGATGGTTATGACATTTGAGATATGATCATCTAAATTTCGATAGTCTGAGTCAACTAGCAGAGAAAGAGATAGTAATAGGATTCCCTCAAATTTAGAAAAGTCAAGTTACTTGTGAAACTTGCATTATTGAAAAATAAGGAAGAAATCCCTTTAAGTTGCATATCAAAACCAAGACTAGAGAATTGTTAAAAGTGATATACACTAATATGTGTGGACCTTTTTGAAGTATCTCACTGGATGAAAATAAGTATTTTGTTATGTTTATCGATGATTTCGGTAAAAAGATATGACTATATATGCTTAAGAGAAAATCAAAAGTTTGTAATTGTTTTGTCGAGTTCAAAAAGTTGGTTGACAAATAAAGTGACAAAGTTATTAAAATTTTGAAATCAGACGGTGGTGGTGAGAATTCTACATGAGATTGTACTATCATATATTCCACAACACAATAATGTTATTGAAAGAAGAAATCAAATGATTCATAACATAGTCAAAATATTTTGAAAAACAAAAGTTTGTCGCATTCTTTTTAGGGGTGAAGTGGTTGTTATTGCAACTTATATTTTGAATTGATGTCCAATTAAGAGAGTTAAAGTAAAGACATCAGAAGAAGTTTTGTCATGAAAAAGAGTCTAGTGTAAAGCATTTGAAGGTGTTTGATTTGATTTGTTGGAGACATGTTCTTGGTGAAAGAAGAAAAAAACTTGATGACAAAAGTGATGAACTAATTTTGGTTGGGTATCATTCAATAGAAACTTATAAGTTGTATAATCCTATCATGAAGAAAATTATTATTAGCAGAGATGTTATATTTAATGAGAACGTCAATTAAGATTGGAATTCAATAAATAGGAATAAGAATAACAACTTCAATGTTTATTATAATGATGAAGAACAAATCAAAAAATTATGAAAGGAAGAAATCAATCAATTTAAGAAATCAAACAACAAGCAATAATAAGAGGAAGAAATCAACTAACAAGAACAATAATAATACCGACAAAACTGTGACTACTTGATAAATACTGATTGTACAATTACAATAAAACAAATTATTGAAAAATTTAAGGATGAAAATTGTATAATTCATTTAGCCCAATATGTTGAAATCAAACCAATGGGAATTGAAGATTCTAAGTGAATAAAAGTGAGAAAGAATAAGCTAAAACTGAAACAATGTAACACTACTAGAAAATATGCTTTCAACGTCGCTGTTTAACGTCGGTTACATCCTAGCCGACGTTGAATATGCTTTCAACGTCGGTTGTTGAACAACCGACGTTGAAAGTCGAATTTTGGCACATTCTACGTCGTTTTAGCATGCCTGACGTGGAAAGTAGGCTTTCAACGTCGGTTATGCCCTCACCCGACGTTGAAAACCCTTCTGCATGGGCTTTCAACGTCGAGTGTGGGTATAACCGACGTCGAAACCCTGTAAGATTTTCTTCCTTACAAAAACTCACACACTTTAGATAGCGGTTATATGGGAACCGCTATCTAAAGTGCACTTTAGATAGCGGTTCTAAGGGAACCGCTATCTAAAGTATTATATCCTCTCAATTATGATCGATCATTTCAAGTTATGATCGATCAGAACCTTATTTCGCTCGAGCGAGAGTAGTGTCGCTCAAGCGAAATACAACCCGAGAATGCTAATTTTGTGCAGGGGGCGTTTCGCTCGAGCGAGAAATGTGTCGCTCAAGCGAGATACACTTTAGATAGCGGTTATAAGGGAACCGCTATTATATCCTCTCAATTATGATCGATCATGGCGAGTTATGATCGATCAGAATCTTATTTCGCTCGAGCGAGGGTAGAATCGCTCAAGCGAAATACAACCCGAGAATGCTAATTTTGTGCAGGGGGCGTTTCGCTCGAGCGAGAAGGGTGTCGCTCAAGCGAGATACATTTTAGATAGCGTTTCAATCGATTAAATCTCGTTTCAATCGATTAAAACAATTTCTGCACAGCGTTTTAATCGATTAAAACTTATTTTTATCAGTTAAAATTAGTTGAAAAGTTTTACGAGAAAGTTTTGCAGTATTTCAATCGATTGAATCGCGAAACAATCGATTAAATCAACTTAGAAGATTTTTTGTAAAGTGTTTTTGGAGGATTTTGGAGAGGGCTGTCATAAGGATCCAACATGCAACTTAACTTTCAATCCACTGCACGCACCAGATGAAGTGATTCCAAACAAATACGTAGCAACATTTGGATCTTCAACCATGCCTCATTAGGATGGCGCTTAAGTCACAGTATTGGGTTGCATGGGTTGGTTTTCAACGTCTCTTAGTACATACTACATTCTGTATACGTCACTTAGCACATCCATCAGTTTGTAAAACCTACGCGGTCAAATTTTCGAGTTGCGTGAGATTGGTACGTTGTTGTTTGTGTGAAAGACCACTGTTATATTTGTTCATATATTGTTGAAAACAAAAAATAATTACAAGTACGTTTTCGAGAGAATACTATCACCATTCTTAATATCCCGCATAAGATTTTGCTATTTCGTCCACAACTTGGATAAATTTCTTAATACATATTTATAGAAAAGAAAAATAATAAATAAATTAAAGTTTTCTCATAAATGAAAATCAATTTTATATAAGTATATTTTTGATAACTCTTATCTATGTTTTCTTTTTCTTCTAAAAAAAAAACTAAGTTATAAAATTCATTTTATCTCAAAGATAGTTGAAAAACTTATAGGAATTGTTCCTTAACACTATGTTTTGAAACGAGTTATTTTCATCGGCAATATCGATGATAGAGATCTTGAAAATTTTGTCTACTCTACCAAGAATTACCTTAATTTAGCTCAACTAACATTGGTTTTGCAAGTTATCGGACTTGGCGAGACCGCATATATCGCTCAACCACAAAAAAATTGTATCCACCAACCTAAGAATTACGAGTAATCATAACGTCGGGGCTTTTTTTGTAAATCATACGAGAGAGTCTATCGGCATGAAGAACACAAAATTTTGGAGGATTATCGGTGCGAAGAAGATGAAAGTACTTGGGTTTATTTGTATATATTTACACGGATATATATTTATTTGTATATAAATATAATTTATTTGTAAGTTATTATAAAAAAATTCAAGTAGTTTAGTGGTTGGAGTATCGGCCTCCAACTCTAAAATCTTGGGTTCGAATCCTGCCAATGACAATTCTCTTAAAAATTAAAAAACTTCTAAAAATATAATATAAAGAGATTGAGGACCTAATAAAAATATAATAGGAAGAGAGGGAGACTTCTAGATAATAAAATGGGGGTAAAGGGGTTGTAAATAAAAAAAATTATTAATTTAAAAAATCATACTTTCAACGTCGGTTTTTTGAGCCGAGCGTTGAAAGCCTTCAGAACCAGACGTTGAAAGCTTTATTTGTAGTATAAGAAGTAATTGTCTCACATGGTAACAAAGTCATTAAACACTTAAAAAGAAAATATTTGAATAACTAAGAAAATAATTGAATATAAAATTAGGGGTTATGATAATTAATAATACAATAATTAATGCTTGATTCTATTACGATGTTAGGTACAATTAACTATTTTTTTATTATAAATACAATATTTATGTTTATTGGAACACTTACTATTGTGTCGGTGTGTGGGTATCCTCCACGGTCGATATTTGAATAAGAGAGTGGTAAGTTTACAATTTTATCGATGTAAAAGTTGTGTGTTATGAGAGGATTATGCGAGAGTTTGTAATTTTGTCTTTATAAAAATTGTAAGTTGAGAAATAAAGAATTATTGAATATGTTATTGATGTATTTTTTAGTTTATTTTTTTATTTTTGTTTCTCTCATGTATATTTTTTCAAATGAAGATTTATTTTCTAGTCTCGTACCCAACACTTACGGGTGAGTGAGAGTGAACTTATGATCGGGAGTGTAACACAAGCCTTTTCTGCCGTCGAAGCAACATTTCAGCTGGAGTCATGCTCTTGACATTTGGAGGTTTCATGTTATTGATGGTGAAGGAAGGAGTGGGGGTAGACTGGTGGATTTAACGAATTGACTACTGGGTAGATTATTTGAAGTGGTATGTGGTTTAGGCCAAGGGTTGGGGTGGAATAATCCAGGTTTTGCTGTATACTTCTCTTCAATAACTTGGCTAGGGACACAAATCAGATAAAGGTGGTGGGGGCTTGAGCGATGACATAACGATGAATATCAGACTTAATACCATTAATGAAACAATCCAACATTGCCTTTGGAGTAATTCCCTGGACCCTGTTGGCAAGGTGTACATATACTCAGAGACAGTAGTACCTGTGTAAGTTTAAACAGTTGTGCTCGGGTAAAGGCAAGCCATGAATGAAAGGGATTGATTGGTGCGAGTAATCAATTGATACCAAGGAACCACCTTTTTTTGGAGATAAATGGGTAAAAAACTATTCAGCTTTAAAAATCCATCAAATCGCGGGAAATCTAGCTTAATATTTTGCACCGGGAAAGGTTGATGATGCGAAACATGTGCATCACCAGATGGAAGCTTCTTCAGTAACAACTCTATGGTTGTTTCCAATGTCTCAAACGCATACTGGGCCTCCTGCGACTCCATTAATTCCAGCAACCTCTTGACATCAACTGTGAACTCCTTCATGCGTGTATTCTCTACCATAAACCAATGAAAGCACCGATTTGTAATGTATATGGTGATGCAGAAGGGGTATATAGACAAGCAAATAAAAAAATATCAAGAGAAAGATACTTTGTAAACTTGTATTCTCTCTTGTGCCGCCATATTATTATGGTTGAAAAAACTGGAAAATTGTAGGAAAAAGGAAATAACCGAATTACAAAAGAGAGAGAAAAACTTAAATACTAGGCCAAATCATAACCACTTAACCTCGTGTTAGTTATTTTGGTCCTAAAACTTCTTCTCATTATTTGGTGCCATGTGTTTCTTTTTAAAAGAGGGATGTTTTTGACGATTCGAAATTATATAATTTTTTAAATAACTCATTTTTATTAATATAATAATCTATCGAATGATTTAATAAAAATAAAAATAAATTAAAACTATTATTATAATATTAAAAAAGAGTTATTTATAAAAGTGGAACGAATTTAGATTATGAAAATATCATATTTTTTTTTTTAAATCTCCCTATCTACTTCATTTATCTTTGTTTTCATTGAATTGCTTACATTTTGGAATAAAAATCTTATTTATAATGAAATAGAATCCTACCATCTAATAAGATTGGAATTTGGCTTGTGTTGAAATTTTGGTGCTCAACTGTTTAATTTTAGGTGGTTATAATAATTAATTTGTAATTAACGCTGATTAATATAACATGTAATATGCTAAAAAAATATAAATTCTATTAAAGTTATATACTATTTTTTAAAATTTATTGTCTATAACGTATCGTAAAGTTTATTTTTTGAAATACAAAACTTTTTTTTTAATGAGCATATTCTTTAGCTATTGGTATCTATAACTATCCCTTAAAAAAGATTCAAGTCCTGTTTTGGAAAAAAAAAATAGTTCACCGTCAAAATGTTTTGTTAGGGTTTATGCTTTTTAAAAAATAAGGATGAAAATATTTCTTAGATCTATTTAATAATTTCAAATATTGAATATTGTATGTGAAAGAAAAATAATGGTAAGATTATGTTGATTTTTTTTTATAATAATCACACATTAGTATATATATATTTTTTATAATATATAATTTAAAAATAGTGTATAATATTAGTATTTATTTTTTACCGAGTTAAATAACTATTTGACAATGCAATTTAAAAATGAATAGATCACTAAAAATTGTAGTAAAAATATTTATGGCAATTTTTTTAGTTAGACAGTTTTTTTTTGTTTTAATTTCTTTAAGAATATAAATAATTAGTTCATTTAAAGAATGAATTTAAATCTAATCTAAAAAGTTAAAATATAATATATTTTAATTTTTTTTACTGTGTCTCACTTTGAATACTTGTGATTTGTTATATATTAAACTAATTGTTTTCTTGTGAGAAAATTTCCTCAATTTGAATATCTTTTCGAATCGAGCTTCGTCACTGAGTCAGACTCGTACCTAAGAGAAGAGCAAGCTACTTCTGAGAGTTCATACGCAAAGCAAAGAGGGGTTTCTTGCGCGTTCTCTTCTCGCATGTGAGGGTGCTTCCTCTGTCACAAACTCAACGAATCTGAGACTGTTCGTTAGGGTTCAACACTCCGCAATTGATTTGAAGCGTCGTTGGGAAATCAATGGCGTCCGTGTACATACCGGTGCAGAATTCGGAGGAGGAGGTTAGGGTTGCACTCGATCAGCTTCCACGTGACGCCTCGGACATCCTCGACATCCTCAAGGCCGAACAAGCCCCTCTCGATCTCTGGCTCATCATTGCGGTACATTTCGCGCTTTCAATTTCCCGTTACTTGAATTTATGCTCCACTTTCGATTCTCCAGTTGCAACTGCATTTGATTATGCTGTTCTGCTTGTTTATTCTGTTACTAGAGAAAGTTCATGATAGTTGGTGATTGGCTTTTTTTTGTCAAATTAACTGATTAGTTTTAATACATCAAATAACTCAAGATGTGCCATTACAATGCATCCACATGACAAAGGACAAATAAATATTGAACATTGAGACCTCTACTAAAATTTTAATAATCATAATTTTTTTGTGATAAATTACCATTTTACGCATTCCTTTCTACCGGTCCCAAAAATATATGTTGGTGAGTGGCTTGTAAATTATGACTACTTTGGTTCGCATTTGACCTACAATTAGTTTGCAAGGCCTGTAGAAATAATAATTTCTAACTATATGGAAAATCATGACGACTTTATATTTTTTATGCACCCTCTGTTGTGAACTGATTAGAATTAATGGTAGGTTTCACTTTGAAAGTAGCAATTGTGAAAGTCAACAAAGTTACACGGGTGGTAATTTTTTATTGACTGACTGTTTAGGACCTCCTTTACACTATTAATGTGCCTACTATTTACTCATACAAACATTTATACTGCGTATGTATTTTTATACACACATACTGCATTCCCTATTTAAACATACAGGTTGCACATTATCTGTTTGTTTTCTTTGATTTAATAATAATCGTATTCAGCTGAGTTTCTGATATCATTTATGTGCAGAGGGAGTACTTCAAGCAGGGAAAAATTGATCAATTTCGCCAGATTTTGGAGGAAGGATCCAGTCCAGGTATAATTTCTTCATAGATTTTGGTACATATCTATCATATTTTGTATGGTTTTGGCCTATCAATCTCATTGATTGATTGATTGTGCCTATTCAGTTTAGTAAATTTAGCCTTGCTGATTGTTTCCAATGCATTTTGCAGAAATTGATGACTATTATGCTGATGTTAGATATGAGAGGATTGCTATCTTAAATGCCCTTGGAGCTTACTATAGCTACCTTGGAAAAATAGAGACAAAACAAAGAGAAAAGGAGGAGCATTTTATTTTGGCAACACAATATTACAATAAAGCATCTAGGATTGACATGCACGAACCCTCCACATGGGTTGGGAAAGGTGAATGTATAAATTTGCTTATGTTTTAGTTACGTGTGTCTAATTGAAACTAGATTGTGATCAGTAATTTTACATCACTGAAAATGGTATATGTTTATCTTGGATTGAGTTGTAGCACTGGTTTTAGGTAGCGAATAGCCATCCTAGCAAAATATCCAATATCCTTTGAGACAACACTCATAAAAAGCAAATTTTTAGAATTTGGATTTTTCTTCTTGAAATTTTGAAAGGATTTTTGTTTGATGTTGCTTTATATCTCATCATATGGTTTTGTAGATCATGAGCTTGCGTATTTCTGTATTGTGGGTTTTACTGCTGAAACATGTTTGATGTTTGAGATAATTTCAGTGATTATTCTGTAATTTTTGTGCATGATGGTGCAGTTTTACAGTATATATGTTTATAAGTTACTAGTATCTAGATTTCTTAACTAAATGTTTGCCATTTGTCATCGAGAAGAATGTATCATGCACTGTACTTAACAAAATTAATGCTTAGTTAATTCTTTCAGGTCAGCTTTTGTTAGCAAAGGGGGAAGTAGAACAGGCATCTGCTGCATTTAAGATTGTAATAGATGGAGACCATGATAATGTTCCTGCTCTTTTGGGCCAGGTATAATTGTAGATATGTTAAGTTTGTGTTCTCACAGAAAAGAAACAGAGCTGTGAGATAGATACAAGTTGTCTCTCTTCATTCGCTATTTTTTATTTGAACATTAAAAACATGATTAAATAGGCTCAACATTGACTACATGTTATAATCTATTGATATACATCAGGGTGATCTGTGGCAAGGATTAGGCATTTTGAGATGAAAATAAATCAAATGCAAAAGGATATTCTCTTTAGTTCCGTTGTTCAATCATTGCCAAGTGCCAATAACATAACATCTGTGGAACTTGTAAATTAGATATTGATGTTAAACTATTATCACAATTGACATATGAGTTGATTGCTTGAAGAGTGTTCATTGTTTTCTTGTTAACCATGTTTAGAGGAGTGAAAAACTTTTTATTTCCTTTCTTCAAGTAATTAGAGACCATCCATTAGTTGTGGTGTAGCCCAATAAACTTGTTCTTTTTTAATCATTCTGGGACTAGTGGATTTTGATATAATACATTGAACATTCTTTGCACTTACCAATATCCAATGTAAGGAGGCATTTGTTGGGATGGGGAGTTTGTTAATGTTAAGGAGATTTTGTGAGAAATGGATTGAGTGATTTTCTATTTTTCAATAAATGGAATAATAAGTATGCTGTATGGGATATTTAAATGGTTAGATCTAACCTATCAGATTCTAGACAACTGACTAAACCAACAACTCCCTACTAATTGAAAGAAATATAGAGGAAATAGATGTGCACTTAAGCAATTGAAACTATTGTATTGAGTACTTACCACTAGGTCAAAAGCTATAGTTGATGGTCAATGTGCAACTCTTTTTGGATAAGAATGTAGTAGCCTAAGATTCACAATTTAATTGTGATTTGACCCATCTGGTCTCTATCACAGGAAATTGATATACTCTACAACAATCTCCCCCTTAGCAATTGTCCCATTGGAAATCAAACTTGTTTACGACTTGGTCCACCTAGTCTCTACCACAGGACAATTGATATACCTTGCAACAATATCTCCCTCCATGATTGCTCCACTTGGAGTCAAACCCTTGACTTTGATATGAATTGTTGGATTTAACGCTTACCATTAGGTCAAAAGTTATAGTTGATGATAGGCACAACATTTTCTACTTAAGCTGACCTTTGTCATGGGACAATTAATGTACCTTGCAATAGAAACAAAGACAAAATATTCACACATCCATTTTTAGGCTCAAGACCAGGGCATGAGATTAGGAACCATATCTACATTGAGCTTGTCACTGATTTGGAGAAATCTGGTGGGAGAAAGATCTTGGCTAAGGATCAGCCCACTGATATTGGGCTGTAATGTGCCAAACAGTTGCTGCGTGCGGAGTACCTTTACATGGACAAAGTGAAGATTCAACACCATATTTTGGTACAGGTATGAAGGACAGAATTATGACATTGGGGGACTGTGCATTGATTATCGCAGGGAACAATGGTACTGGGGAGCATGACTGGAATCTCCAAGAGCAAAGTCTAATTCTGTAAAATATATGTAAATTTTGGAGCTTAACTCAATCCTACAAAATTGATTTATAAGATGAGATTTGCATTCATTTATATATTATAATTTGATCATATGTCTAGACGATATGGAATCTCTAACGCATGTTCTCATGCTTGAGGATTAGATATCACGAGAGTGTGGGATTGGATATTTGTGGGTGGTTCAATAGCGTCCCGATATTGGGTGACACAATAGGCATAATGAATTTTATTAGGATAGACTTTGATATCATATTAGAAAATTGATTTGGGCATAATTTAACTATATAAAATTAGCTTATAAGATGACGTTTGCATCCGTTTTTATACTATAATTTGATTATATTTATACTATAATTTGATTATATCTCTGTTCGATGTGAGATCTCCAACAAAATTCAAGATGATGGATCATGAGTGAGTGATATATAAATGTGTTAGACAAGAAATCAAAACTTTGCTTAGAGAACTTGCGGCTAGAAGCCACGGGTGAGGAATTAGCTTTAACTTGTGAGTTGTAGGGTTGGCCATCCGAAGATGCTGGTGATGGCGGAGGGTGATTTTTGTACCAACCAATCAAAGGAATAACAAGTATAGTGTAGGGGATGTCTGTATAGTTAGATATAGACCTAATGGAGTCAGAACTAACATAACCAACTCTCAAATTGCCGAAAGTGATAGAGTAAATACATGTATACACCAGCTAAAGTAATTAAAACATAGTATTCTCATACATGAGTGAAAGTTTTATGGGTGTTACGTATGCTGGGATATATTAAGGTACATTACTAACATTTTAGACAACATTTCCCATCTTATATATTTTGAGATGTGTCTTGGTATTTCTTTTATCATTATATATATATATATATATATATATATATATATATATATATATATTATATAAAAGTAGGATTTACGATCCATGTTACGATTCCCTGATTTAAGATTTTGGAAACCCCGTACGATCTCACTCGTAATCTCGATTTTGGTAACCTTGGATAGTAGTAGTCAATGTTGTTACACTTTTACAGGTTTAAGTTCCTTTGAGAGTTTGATGAACAAGGAGAGTGGGGTTGTAAAGATCTTTTGGGCTAATTTGTTTTCTTTCCTTGTTTCTTGTGGTTTATTTTCCAAATTTTCTTCTTTTTTCTGTATCTGGTGAGGACCTGTTGTTCTTTCATTTTTTCATGAGATTTGTCTGTCTTTATGGCTTCCATGACTTCTCTAGGGGGTGGGGATTCTCTGAGCAGATGCATTTTGTATTTTCTTTTAGTTGTTTTTTCTTTTTCCTCCTTTTTTGGACCTAATTACAATTCATGTGGGTAGCAATTGTTTTTAGGAAAATGACAAAACGTGGAAGGAGTGTAAAATGTTTACTCATGAATGAACAGGAAATATATTTTCTAAAAATTCTTTCTGGTAATTCTCCAATAATTCGAATCTCAAGGTCAATTGTGCTGGTTTCTCTCAAATCTCCATGCATCTTGTACTTTTAATACATTGCTGCAAACTTTTCAACAAATATCTATATTTTACATGAGTGGATTCTACATCTGCCACATTTTAAATTGAAATTTGAAAAGCACATATTTTCATCTACTGTTTATCTATTATTCTGTTTGTTTTCAGAATGTGAATACTAAAACCTGGAGCCAGTTTGACGTGTCATTTTTCATAAAAAATGTACTGTATTTCTTATAATATCTTTACTGAATACCTACAGGCTTGTGTTGAGTTCAATCGCGGACGATACTCTGAGTCACTTGAGTTGTATAAGGTTGGTTGTATGGCCATATTCTTTGCTATTGAGAAGTGTATGATTAACAGTTTATATGTGTCCAACATTTATCTATATTCATTCACATCTGTGTTGTCATTGAGGATTTACATAAAAATGCTGAGTATTTGTAGGTTGTACTATTTGAAGACAGAATATTCCTTTTAGTTCTATTGTGTGTAAATACTTATATTTATTAGTTTATGTCTATGTGATGTGGCTTCCTTTGTACAATATTATTCAAAAAAACAATTTTTAAAACTCCTTTTTACTATTCAAGTTCAAATAATAACCCTTTGGAGCTAGATCAGTGTTTCTTACGCTAACTTTGATTGGATTTAATTTCAGTGAAACCATTCTCTTAACATGAAATATTCTGGAAAATTAGATTAAATGAAATCTTATTTTTTATTTATTTTAATACAAAGAGATCATACAAGATATATACAAGAGACCTAAACTATTTTTGGAAATATAATAACTCTATTTTATTCTAGGATCCCTTGATTTATGGGATTGTTCATAATTGTTCAAATCTGCACAGATTACAAATTTCCTAATTTATTCTTTTCTAAAATACTGTTTGATTTCCCACACTCCCCCTCAAGCTGGTGAATAGGTGTTTTCCATTCCTAGCTTGGATACAATCTTTTCAAAATTGTGGCAGCTCAGTCCCTTGGTAAGAATGTCTGCAATTTGGTCTTGAGAGGACACATATGGAGTGCATATTAAGCCACTATCAAGCTTTTCTTTGATGAAGTGTCTGTCTACTTCAATATGCTTTGTTCTATCATGCTGCACTGGGTTGTGGGCTATGCTGATTGCTGACTTATTATCACAATAGAGCTTCATAGGTTCTTCCCATTTCATCCTCAAGTCTTCTAAGATGATTTTAAGCCATAGCAACTCACATATACCTTGTGCCATGACTCAGAATTCTGCTTCAACACTGGACCGAGCCACTACACCCTGCTTTTTGCTTCTCCAAGTCACAAGATTTCCTCCAAGAAAGGTGCAATATCCTGTAGTTGACCTCCTATCCACAATTGACCTTGCATAATCAGCATCAATATAGGCTTCAAGCTTCACATTACCATTCCTTTTAAATAGAATCCCTCTTCCTGGAGTTCCTTTAAGGTACTGTAAAATTCTGTGGGCTGCTTGTAAATGGGTCTCCTTTGGGTTATGCATAAATTGGCTAATTAAACTCACTGCATAGGTAATATCTGGCCTGGTATGCGACAAATATATAAGTCTGCCCACTAATCGCTGGTACATATCTTTTTCAACAGCAACATCTTCTTTTGCATTTCCAAGCTTTAGGTTTGGTTCTAATGGGGTACTAGCAGGTTTGCAAGCTGTCTTGCCAGTTTCCTTGAGTAAATCAGTGATGTATTTCTGCTGGGATATAAATATCCCTTTCTTGGAGTGGGCAACTTCGATTCCTAAAAAATATTTTAGTTTTCCCAAGGTCTTGATCTCAAATTCCTTGCCTAAGTATTGACTCAACAATTGCTGTTCTTCTTTATTATCTCCAGTTAATATTATGCCATCCACATACACCAATAATATTGTTACTCCTCCTGACTTGGAATGTTTAAAGAACAAAGTATGATCCCCTTGGCTTTGTTTGTAACCCAGACCTGTCATAACTTTAGTAAACCTGCCAAACCATGCACGGGGGGACTGTTTTAGCCCATATAATGCCTTTTTCAACTTGCAAACAGTGTTGGCAACAACATCTTTACCATATCCTGGAGGTATCTCCATATAAATTTCTTCTTCAAGGTCTCCATGTAGGAAAACATTCTTAACATCAAATTGTTCCAAGTTCCAACCATAATTGGCAGTAAGGGACAATATCACCCTAACTGTGTTCATTTTGGCAACCGGAGCAAAGGTCTCCAAATAATCAACTCCATAGGTTTGGGTGAACCCTTTGGCAACTAGTCTTGCCTTATATCTCTCTATTGATCCATCAGCCTTGTATTTCAGTGTATAGACCCACTTACATCCAACTGACCTCTTTCTTATTGGTAAGGTGACTAACTCCCAGGTGTTGTTCTTCTTCAATGCCTCCATCTCTAGATCCATGGCTTGCCTCCATTTTCTGTCAGATAATGCCTCAGATAGGGTATTAGGTAGAAGTATAGTGTTTAGGTTTACTAGGAAGGTTTTATGGGTAGGAGAGTAATTTTTAAAGGACAAGTAATTTGAGAGAGGGTAGAGTAGTTGTTTGGTGCATTTTCTTATCCCTTTTCTAATGGCAATTGGGAGGTCAGGAACATTTTGGGTTTCAATTTCAACCTACACAGTTGGAGAAAAAATTGTTACCTTTTTTTGTGGAGTCGAGTTGGATTCTTGAACATGGCTTGATTCTGGAATGACCTTAGTCTTCCTTGAGTACACCAGCTTCTTACCAAATTTTTCAGCTTCAACATCTTGATCTGCTTCACAATTAATTTCACTTTCTTGACCAACTTCCTTTTTTTGACCGATTCCTTGACTTGTTTCATTTGTTACAACTTCAATTTGATTTCGTTTAGGTTCAAATATCAAGTCGATGGGAAAACCAGAATTACTACTTTCAATATGATCTCGTTTAGGTTCAAATGTCAAGTCTGGAAGAATGGGAAAACCAGAATTACTACTTTCCTTATCTTCCCTGAAACTCTCCCCCTGAAGATAAGGTTGATGGAAATAGCCCTCTTGTTCATTGAAGGTAACATCTCTAGACACAGAATTTTTTGGATGGGGGGTGGTAGCATTTATATCCTTTTTGAGTGGGTGAGTAACCAACAAAGACACACTTTAAGGCTCTAGGATCAAGTTTCTCCCTGTCTGTACTATGAATATGGACATATGAGATGCACCCAAAAACTCTTGGTTTAAGATTATTTGTAGTAGACAAGTTTGGATAGAAAGACGACAAAGCTTCCATAGGGCTTTTTGATCCTAAGACTCTAGAGGGTAGTCTATTGATAAGGTATGATGCTGTAAGGACAGCTTTCCCTAGAAATTTTTTGGGACACTTTTTTGGAACAATAATGCTCGAGTCTGATTTAATAGATGTCCATTTTTCCTCTCTGCGACCCCATTTTGTTGTGGTGTTTTGACACAAGAGGACTCATGAATTATACCTTCTTTTTGACAAAAAGAATTAAGGACATGATTAAAGTAATCTTTGGCATTATCTGACCTAAGCCTCTTAATATTAACATCAAACTGATTTTTTTATCATGGAGTGGAAGTTTAGGAAGACAGAACTGACTTCTGATTTTTGTTTAAGTAGGAAAACCCAAGTGACCCTTGTACAGTCATCTATAAAGGTGACAAACCATCGAGTACTAGACACATTTGGAATATTAGAAGGTCCCCATACATCAGTATGAACAAGATAAAAAGGGAAATTGCTAATTCTATTACTTATTGGAAAAGATATACGCTTGTGCTTAGCAAGTTCACACACCTCACAATGAAGACTCTCAACATCTAACTTGGTAAATAGAGAGGGAAACATAATTTTGATTACTCCAAAAGAGGGATGCCCCAATCGACAATGATAAAACATGATTTTTTCTCTGTTGGTCATCACGGATTCAGATATGAAGGAGTGAGAGATTCTATTCTTGCTGGGCAGACTTGGATCTTCGACATAATAAAGGTCATTCCATTCTCTAGCATGTCTAATCATCCTCCCCGAATCCTTGTCCTGAAATACACAATGATCGTTGAAAAAAACTTTACATGACAAATCTATTATAAGTTTTTGTATGGACACTAGGTTCGTGGACAACTTTGGGACATGGAGAACATCTTTTAAGGTTATTAAAGGATTGATTTGGATATTTCCTTGACCAGCTACAGTTATAAGGGTTCCATCTGCCGTGGCAATTTTCTTGTTGCTGGGACATGGGGAATATGTGGAGAAGTGTTTGGCTAATGGTGTCATGTGATCTGTGGCTCCAGAGTCCAATATCTAATAATGGTTAAAAGGTGTATCTGAGATATTTAATCCAAAAGAAGGTGGAAACTTACCTGAGTATGCCAAAGAACACACACGTGTAGGTTTTTCCAGCTTACTAAAAATGGTTTTCACCCTTTCTATCTCCTCTTCCCTTGACATTATAGCAAAAAGGTGCGATGCAACAGCAATGCAGACTGTCGTCTTAGGATTAAGAAAAAATGCAGCAGCAATGCAGGCTGCCGTCTTAGGATTAAGAAAAAATGCAGCAGCAATGCAGGCTGCCGTCTTAGGGTTAAGAATAAATGCAGCAGTAATACAAGCTGCCGTCTTAGGGTTTATAGTGCGCAGACAGAACTTCCTAGATCGGAAGCTCTGATACCATCTGGAAAATTAGATTAAATGAAATCTTATTTTTTATTTATTTTGATACAAAGAGATCATACAAGATATATACAGGAGACCTAAGCTATTTTTGGAAATATAATAACTCTATTTTATTCTAGGATCCCTTGATTTATGGGATTGTTCCTAATTGTTCAAATCTGCACAGATTACAAATTTCCTAATTTATTCTTTCCTAAAATACTATTTGATTTCCCACAAATATTAGCAAAATGCATGCTAAAACTCAAGTGGATTGGAGATAGTCATGTGATTGTTGCAACTTGTCATGTTAAGCTATAATGTCAAGGAATTACATGAATGATATTAAAGGTTATAAAAAACTAATACTGTTATCATGCCTGGCATATTTAATAGTTGAATTGTGACAGTTCTTCTGTACATTGAACACATCTTAATACCACTTTTTTCTTTGATTTGCAAACCTGAAGAGAGCGTTGCAAGTGTTTCCTAATTGCCCAGCAGCTGTGAGACTTGGCATAGGTCTATGTCGCTACAAATTAGGTCAATTTGAAAAGGCTCAGCAGGCATTTGAGCGCGTTTTACATGCAAGTGAATCCTTTGATAACTAGTGGTTCAACCTTTTTATTATTTTTCTGCTCCTGATGTTTATATGCTTCCTGATATTATTTGTTTCAGCTTGATCCAGAAAATGTTGAGGCTCTAGTTGCCCTTGCAATAATGGACTTGCGTACTAATGAAGGTTCTCTCTTTCTTCCTTTATCATTTTCTATAATTGTTAATTACTATTAGCTTCTCATTTAGTGGACATATTCTGATACTGTATAACATCACACAGCTACTGGAATCAGGAAAGGAATGGTAAAAATGCAGAGGGCATTTGAGATATACCCATACTGTGCAATGGCTCTGAATTATCTTGCAAATCATTTCTTTTTCACTGGTCAACATTTTTTAGTTGAGCAACTGACTGAAACTGCGTTGGCTGTTACCAATCATGGGCCGACAAAGTCTCACTCTTACTACAATTTAGCACGCTCATATCATAGCAAGGTTTGATGCTTATTTTTTCATAACCATTGGTAATATTGTTCTGAAACTCTACTGAGTATGTATGTTTGGTTGAACTGTGTCAGAGATTGAAGGGATTATGTGCATCTCTAATTTTGGTCATAAATTTATTGAACTTTATGGGAAACCTTATGATGGATGATGTAGAGGGTATATACAACATTTAGGCCCATGACCAAGTAAGTCACCCATATTAAAGGTATGAGGGTCTAGGTGAGCATCATGTTAAGGAGTGTTGTGGTTTATGACTTTGGCTCTCGGAGGAGCCTCAGCTCTGGTAGCATAGGATAATATTTTGTAATCAATTAAGTTATGAGTTAAAACGTTATGCTCTTCTACATATTCTAGTTTCTAATCAGTACGTGATTATTTACTAATTGCATCCGTATTCATTCATAACACTATTAGTCACTTGGTGATTCACCAATCCTCAAGAAAAAACTTAGAATGGAGGGAGATATACTCAACCTTCTTGTCATAGATTGAAGCTAGAAGTATAATAAACATAACAAGAAAGAACTGGTGTCTAAAAAGTCTTGTTTTGCTTATTAGTATGTATTCAAAACCTTATATACTGCGTTCACTTGTGACATTCATAAAAAGTCTCTGTATATAGTATGGTAGACATTATAAAGCATCGGCACCTTCCATCCTACTTTTATTATGCTCTCCTGCAAAATAGATGATGAATCAGCACCATGATGACCCTACTTCTGCAATAAATAGATACAGATCCATGTAATTTTTTTTTTCAAAGAATTACTTCCTTTTATTGCTTTTATTTTCTAGAATCCTATTCTTGACTTTCTTGTGATTTAATAATGATTCTGAAAATGTTCAAAAATCACTATCTTTTTTCTTTTTGACATTTCAACTTTCAAACTGTATTATTGCTGATGGTTGTAATTTTTTCTCCTCACCTTAGGGAGACTATGACAAAGCTGGGGTGTATTACATGGCATCTGTCAAGGAAGTCAACAAGCCCCATGAATTTGTATTTCCTTATTATGGTCAGTTGCTCATAATATTTTAAACTCTTTACCATTTCTGCAACTTTGTATGTACATTCAAAAGGAGTAAAGTTTTATTAGATAAAACCTTGCTGTAAAATCATCATTGCTTATATAGTTCGCAGAAGATATACTGATTCTGTACCTTCCTATTTTGACACTGTAATAGCTGATGTTTAATGTGTTATTTAAACATCCAATCATGTTTTGGTTATTGGTTTTGTGATATTATTAGGTCTATGGCCATGTTTCAGTAATATGAAAATGTAACTTGTGAATGACCATGTTATTCTTGATTCTATAATTAAACAGTTGGACTATTATCTTGTGTTTTAGTTGTGTTATGCTTGAGTCTTCTGTTTTTGTTTAATGATGTGATTAAGAAGTTATTTTCATTTTCTATAAATTAGTATATGTTTAATTTTTATTTTATTAGATTCTTACGATTTGTTATAATCTTTCAAATTAGCTATCTTTCGCCTGTTCCCAATCCTATCGAATCTTCATTTTGACACATTGCTTCAACATTGCTCACCTAATTCACTGTTTTAATTTTTAATTTTCCAGGTTTGGGACAAGTGCAGATAAAGTTGGGCGATTTCAAAAGTGCACTCTCAAACTTTGAAAAGGTCTTGGAGGTGTACCCAGATAATTGTGAGACATTGAAAGTATGTGCTTCAAAGTGAAAGAAATTTTAATTTCCCTCCTTTTCACATCATTTATCTTTCTATGGCCTGAATGCTTTTGCAGCAATGTAAGAGTCATTAAACATCTAACATCCTAAGTATGGGATAATGAAAGGTGCAAGATTGGAAATAATTGATTGAGAACTTGTCTTTCTATTTGAAGAAATTGGTTTAGACCATAAAATGTAGAACAATATTTAAAAGCATGCATTGTTTAACAATATTTATGTATGCTAACAGGCATAGCACTAATTGTTTTCTTCAAATCTTTTTGGGAAAAATTGAAAAAGGGAACTCATGGTAAAAATTTTAATTAAGGAGGGATCGGTTTACAAAATGTCAAGGACTTTAACATTTGTACTCCATGATTAGGACTTAACAGTTAGGTCACTGATTAACCAGTTAGGTTGTTAATTAATAATTAACTCAACATTTTTAACGGAAAATTGTTTTTATAATTTTTCCCCAATTTTTCAAGGTGTAATCATTGTAAAAAAAGTTGTAGACTAGGATACAGAAGAAATCAATGATTAGGTTGGTAAAAGCTGTTAGAACAACAAGATCATCTCTTTTTATCTGTCACTGGATGTCATTTCTTCTCTCGTACTGTTTTGATGTATTATCTTTCCTTATAGGCACTTGGGCATATATATGTTCAACTTGGTCAAACTGACAAAGGCCAGGACTTTATTAGGAGAGCTACCAAAATTGATCCCCGTGATGCCCAGGTGAATGTTTCTGGTATTTTTTTATAGTTTATTTAATACCCTTTGTTAGATATTTTTTTATTATTTATACATGTGCTGTGCGGTATAACGTTGCTACACTTGTTTGATTACTTGCTGAGTCCTTGTTCTACAGTGATAAAATTTATTAGGTTCACGTTGTTATTTATGCCTTTATTTGAGTTAGTGGGGATATTTAATATTATTTTTATTTCTAAATATGAGAGTAGAGTATTAGTCAGAATAAAAATTGTGTTTGCGTTGTTTCCTTTGTTTTTGGTGAAGTCTTGTTTTTTCCGATTATTATTGTTGTTAGCTCTTCCTTTTCCTGACGTGATTCTTCATTTCTTGGTATATAATCTTATTCACTAATTAAAATCCAATAGATTTCGAATTGATTGCTTTCTTGTTGCTAAAAGTGAAATTTATGATTGAACCAACATGCGTGATCTAGCTTTTGATTTGTTCTTATATATTTTTTTCCAATTGTATTTTAGGCATTTCTTGAGCTGGGAGAATTGTTAATTCTTTCCGATACAGGAGCTGCACTAGATGCATTCAAAACTGTAAGGGTTTAAGAGCTTATCATATGCTTCTTTAGTGGTTTGGAAATTTTATCTTTATGAAATTTAAACACTTTTGAAGTTTCATAATCTGCTATGATCTAGATATTGTAATTCTTGTACAGGCTCGTACTCTTTTTAAAAAGGGAGGTCAAGAAGTACCAATTGAATTACTCAACAATGTTGGTGTGCTTCAGTTTGAAAGGGGTGAATTTGAGGTTTGTACTCTTGTTTAAAGTGAAGCAAAGCTCATGTTATGGCTCCTTGCCCTGCACACTTACCACTGTTGAGCTCTATTTTCTTCAATTTATCAGCTTGCTCAACAAACATTTAAGGAGGCTCTAGGTGATGGTATTTGGATATCTTTCATCAATGAGGAAAATAAGTCTTCCATTGATGCTGCTACTTCTACTCTTCAATTCAAGGACAGACAATTATTTCATGACCTTGAAAGCAATGGTCATCGTGTAGAAGTACCTTGGGATAAAGTCACCGTACTTTTTAACCTGGCTAGGTTACTTGAGCAGTTAAATGAATCTGGAACTGCCAGCATATTGTATCGCCTTATCTTGTTCAAGGTATGTTCTTGAGTGTAGTTTCTTGTGCATCAAGATACATATATGATTATGAAGGAATGAATAGACTTGCAATATTAACCAATGTGCGTCTCCACAGTCTTGGTTCTGATATATTTGTAACTTCACAACAATTTTAACCAGTGGTTGAAAATTTATATTAGTTAAAGTGTTGAAGCAATCTATTGACATTTAACAATTGTAATAAGGTAAGCCCGTTAGAAACCATTTCGTCTCTGCGTGTGCACAATGCTCATGGTAGTTTTCCACTTAATTTTATTTTGGTATTGAGCAGAAATCTTAAATCATTATTGTAGCTGCAAATAACCAATTAAAATTTATTTGTCTCAACTATTTTTTGTCAATAAATAAATTATTAGTTATATATTGGTTTATTAACTTATTATAGTTTTACAAACTTTATTTTTTGGTCCTATACTTAGAAATTATTCATTTTAGTTTATATAAATACCAATTTAATATCTCTTAGTCCCTATACATACTATTTAATCTATTTTAGTCTCATTTGTCTAAAGTCGTAGGGATTAAAAGTGATTAAAAATAAGGACTAATATTAATGGTTTTATGTGTATGGACTAAAAGGTATAATTTGTTTAACTATAGGTACCAAATGAGTAATTTTACCTTCTATATTTCTCTCCATCATCCTCAATCAGATTTTTTAACTTTACTTTTGTTTTCTGTTGACTTGAATTGATTTTTTTCCTGTTGAATAAATAATTGTTATTTCTTGCTCATATTTTGAACAAATCTGGTGATGGGTTTGTTTAGCTTAACTTCATAATAGAAGAAAATAAGAAGGAAAAGGAAATAAGTGTCTCCAAAAGCTAAAATTGGATATTTATCTTGTGGGGAAACTAATTTGATATTTTCTTATTTTCTTCTCGAACAAGTCCTTTTGCAGAAGCTTATTAGAGAAGAGAAGGAAATGTGCTATTTTTCTGATACATTTTGAATGATGCAAACACTGAATTACGGATGTGTTAGTTCCAAAAAAGAAGCCAAATCTGCTACAATCAAGAAGCAAGAAATAGCCTATCTTCTATGATCTGATCATTATTCAGATCTTTATTTAAATCTGATTCTGAACAGATTTGTTACAAAATCAAATCAAGGCATAAATTAAGAAACAATTGATGCAAAAATATGGACAAACTTCTAGCAAAGTTTATCCAAACAGGCCCAATACCTATATTGTTGTAGTACATAATTTTATTATTTTGTATGGATCAATTACTGAGTGCTTCCTTTGTGCAAAAGTTCAACTGGACGATAACTAGCTTTAATGATTATCTTAATACATTTGAAACAATTAACTATTTGATTATTTAATTTTTTTTATTATCTTTTGTCTCCAGTATCCAGACTATATTGATGCGTGTTTGAGGCTTGCTGCAATTGCAAAAGCTCGGAACAACATTCTATTAAGCATTGAACTGGTATCCTGCAACCTTCTTGCGCTTGTTTGTATAAATTATGTATATTTACTATTTGACACTCTTTTCTTTAGGTTAATGATGCCTTGAAGGTGAATGACAAGTGTCCCAATGCATTATCTATGCTCGGTGAGTTGGAGCTGAAAAATGATGATTGGGTAAAGGCAAAAGAAACTCTCCGAGCAGCTAGTGATGCAACTGATGGGAAGGACTCATATGCCACTCTTTCTCTGGTATGTCTGCTGTTCAATGGACATTTCATTTTATTATTTTTGTATTCCAATGTAATCCTGTTCCTGCTGCAATTGTTAGAATTATACGGAAAGAATGTGTGGGCATGTGGCTTTTATACCTATTCTTCATCCCACCTATATATCTTCATAGTGATTATGCCCTCATACTCGTGTTACTATGATAGTTCATTTGATACAATCTGTGAATTGAATAGGGGAACTGGAACTACTTTGCAGCAGTTCGCAATGAAAAGAGAAATCCAAAGCTAGAGGCTACTCATTTGGAAAAGGCCAAAGAACTTTATACTAGAGTAGGTCATTTCATCTTTCTTACTGTCTATGAGAATAAGAGCTCTTTTTTTTTGTTGCTTCTCAATTTCTGATTTGTAAACATATATTTTCATCTCCATTAATCATAGCATTTCATTCACTTATGGGAAGAAATAAAATCAAATAGAGTCAGTTAGGAACAGCTTAGGCACCAGAGATATTTGGTTCTTGATATGTATTTTAGCTTCTATTAATAAGTGGCCAGGAATTTCATCCGTTCTGCCTCCATTCTTCATAATTGAAACTAAATTTCAGCTGCAGGCTTTTGCGTTGTCCCGGCTTTAAGCCTAAAGAATTCAAGCTTGATTTTTTTTAGTTATAACTTATAAATCATTTCTTGTTCTCAACGTGATAGCTGTTGAATAGTTGAATTTAGAAGGGGAAACTATTCACTTTATTATTCAAGAATGAGAATATAGTGCTGCAATAGTAGTTATTCAGCAACACTGTTCAAGAGAATGTAGTACGTAGGTTCTGTATATCATCCAAATATTTAGACTCTTAAAAACTTCTCCACAAGTTTTCTTATATTAACTTATCAAAATGCTATTTTTTTTTAATTTACGAATAAGTTAATTTTAAATTTTGAAAAAACTTATTTCATTTTTCCTTTTTATTTTTTTTTTCTCTTGTAAGTGTTTGTAGAGAGTTTATCCAAACAGATATTTAGTAAAGACTGTTTCCTAGGCTAATATTAATTGAGTGCAACTCCTTATACACAAATATCCATGAACATTAAAGATTTTATCATGTACTACAATTAAATACTATTTTCTAAGTGCACTTATATTACATCCAGCTATAGCTTGTCTGTGGGTGCATGTGTTTCTCTCTACTAGGAGGTGAACTTTATTAGCAACCAGTATACCCTGGGATTATTTGTATATCTTATCTAGATTCAACACTTGAATTACTTTTTGCTGAATTGTCGTATTTTGCCTATATTCTTTACATGTATAATTTAAATACTGTCCTAATAATGGAATTATATTATTTGATATGTATCCCTTTTATTTTCAACATTTGTAGGTTTTGATTCAACATTCTTCTAATTTATATGCTGCCAATGGTGCTGCGGTAGTCTTAGCAGAAAAAGGACATTTTGATGTGTCAAAGGATATCTTTACACAGGTTGTCATATGGCTGCTAAAGTTTGGACTAGTGGATTTAAAATTTTATCCATGTGAGTTACTTACTTTATTAATATTTGGTAGGTTCAAGAAGCTGCCAGTGGTAGTGTTTTTGTCCAGATGCCTGATGTTTGGATAAATCTGGCTCATGTTTATTTTGCTCAGGGGAATTTTGCTTTGGCTGTGAAAATGGTGAGGTTTCCTAATCTTACATTGTATTTGTTTTCAAGTTTCTACTCCTCAAGTCTTATGAAAGCACATTATTCTGACGACCTTTGTTATTATGCAGTACCAAAACTGCTTGCGGAAGTTTTATTATAACACAGACTCTCAAATACTTCTATATTTAGCTCGTACCCATTATGAGGCTGAACAGTGGCAAGACTGTATAAAAACTCTACTGAGAGCCATCCATTTGGCACCCTCAAACTATACTTTGAGGTTTGATGCTGGGGTTGCAATGCAAAAGTTTTCAGCATCAACACTACAGAAAGCAAAGAGGACTGCAGATGAGGTATTTAGTTTTATCCATTGAATATATCTTACTAGATCTGTTGAGGTTTTTATGATGTTCATAAATGATTGAAGGATGTCTATTTTCACCTTCAATTATTGAAGGGTTCTTGAAAGTAAGAATGCTGAATAACCCCATAAGGAAACACTTAGTTTGATCATGGAAAACTTTGTCTTTAGTATATCGATTAAAAATTTTGTTCATATCTGTAATTGATTCTTGCGTTATAAATAATAATGTTAGACTATGGATCAGGGTATTTGAGTTTATCCGGGCTATAAATTTTAAGAGAGTTCTATTTTTTACACAATAATAGCTTAAATTGTAAATCAATTGTTTTTTTTTTTTCTGGTGGATGGTTCTCCTTTTCAAAGTTTTTACTCAAGTGAATCCTTACCTACCTTTTATTTTTGATAGATGATTAGACTAAAACAAGATCTAGTTTGATGCATTACTTTCTGATTGATACTGGTTTTTAGGTGAGAGCAACTGTTGCCGAGCTGCAAAATGCTGTTCGTGTATTTAGTCAGTTGTCTGCTGCTTCCAACCTTCACATTCATGGGTTTGATGAGAAGAAAATTGACACTCATGTTGGATACTGCAACCACTTACTTTCGGCTGCTAAAGTTCATCTTGAAGCTGCTGAACGTGAAGAGCAGCAAGTACGGCAGAGACAAGAACTTGCTCGTCAGGTTGCATTGGCAGAGGAAGCCCGACGAAAGGCTGAAGAGCAAAGGAAATTTCAGGTGCGCTGTTTCTAATTACTGAGTATCTACTACATGCCTGTTGGTTGACATTACATGTTTTTTCTATATAAATAACTCCCCTTTTATTTTAATGTGAAATAGATGGAAAGGAGAAAACAAGAGGATGAGCTAAAGCGAGTGCAACAACAGGAGGAACATTTTAAGCGTGTTAAGGTAAGGATTTCTTGACATTCTTTTGAGTAGAGGGCTAGGATATGTTTCATGTTGTTTTCTATTGTTAGCTATCTTTCTATTCTTTTCATACTTCTGAAATAAAGTTTTCCATTAAGGTACGACAGTTTTAGCCATATAACATTTCCAGAAACCTTTTCAACATACCAAACACATTTAAGACTCCCAGTAACATGATTCCCTAGAATCATCATTCCTAGGAAATATAGTTTTCTAGAAATATTCTACATGTTCAATGCCCCCTAAACTTCGATTTGCATTTCTAGGAGCAATGGAAGAGCAGCACTCATTCAAAACGGAGAGAAAGATCAGATGATGAAGAGGGAGGGACTGGTGAGAAGAAGAAAAGAAAAAGTGGAAAGAAGAGAAAGAAGGATAAGCACTCAAAATCACGCTATGACACGGAGGAACCAGAAACTGATATGATGGATGAACAAGAAATGGAGGATGAAGAAGCTGACGTAAACTACAGAGAGGAACCTCAAACTCTGATGAATGATGATGGGGAGGAAAATGCTCAGGGTCTTCTTGCAGCAGCTGGGCTTGAAGATTCCGATGCAGATGAGGATATGGTAATTTATTATTTAATTGGAATCATGGTTGGAGTTCATTTTTCTCCATCCTAAATTGGACTAATTGGTAATAGATATCTGTTTGGATGTGATATATCAAGTATGTTGGTGGTTGATTAAGCCAATAACTAATAATGAATGAATAATTTCACTATAATCTATATCCTTAACAAAGTTTTATTTCCATCCTCCGTGTTTCTTCTAATAGTTCAAATTGCTTAACATTCTATATCTGAAACTTCAATTTTATTGGTTACTATGGATAGATGAAATAATTCCCTACTTATTTTTCTTGTTTAGGCTGCACCATCCTCAAGCGTAGCTCGACGAAGGCAAGCATTATCAGAATCCGATGATGATGAACCATTACAAAGGCAGTCAAGTCCGGTAAGAGAAAATTCTGCTGATATGCAGGAGAGTGATGGAGAAATCAGAGAGGTGGATAAAACAAATGGAGATGATGCCAGTGATGAGGAGAAACAATACTGAATTTTAAACCCTAACCTTTAGTCCTTACTATCAGCCAAATGATTTGTTGCGGTGATAACATTATTGAAATTTATGTATATATACTTGAAAAGTTAAAAAGAAAAAAAGGTTTTATTACATGAGTCAATTTCGGCGACTGGCCAAAAGAAGAAAGAAAAGCGTTATTCTTAAGTCAAATGTACGCTAGGAGCTAACAAAACGATCCAGAGGCCTAATAAATGAAATGGGCCCCTTTGGGCCCAACTTCTTTTGTGCTAGTCTTTTTGCTTCAAATATATTAAGCAGCTACCAATTGAACCTTTGATAAAAAGACAGGCGGATCAGAACCGTATTTTGATAAAATGTAAACTAACCACAGCCACAAATAGGAATAGACCATTTATGTGTCAAACGACTTGGTGTGTACACATGAAGGATATCCAAGGGTGGTACAACATGCATGGAACATGGAACAAGGATACGGGGATCTTCTGGAATGTGTTTACAAAGAAAAAGGAGATAGAAGCCATCAAGGGACCACGGAAAGCATTGGAGATAGAAGCCACAGCAATTAGTTAACCAATATGAAACCTCAAGAGAAATGGACAAGGTTGGTGTTGAAGTTCAAGTATGATTTAGAATCTCGTATTAGTTATACAATTGTTATAGTCATTATTCATATATCATGTTTATGTGCTTTTAACTTGTCTTCCTAACTGTAGGTATGATGAAAACATTCTTGGATGAATAACCATCCTTGGATTGATTGACGTCTTTATTAAGGTTGAAGTAAAGAACAAGTTCAATTTATCATTTTCTACTGTAACAAACTAATTTTGTTATAGATTGAACATGATGTGATTTTTTTACAATTATTCAATTGTGATTACCTACATTTAAATAATATTTTTCTTTATAGTCGTTCTTTTTTTCATATTTCACACCATTGGTTTGATCTATTATTTTCTCTTTCATGTGGATTTTTCCTTTTTTTCCATCCTTTTCAAAATCTAACGCTTCCAGAAGATTAATCAATATTTGTTGGTTTATTTTTTAAGATGATATCTTGAATTGAAGTATAGTTTCTATATAATTTTCAATGCTACTTACAATATCTGCTCATAAGCTCTAAGTGAATAATAGAATTTTTATTTATCAAAAGAAATATGTAGAGAATATAATAAAGTATGAGATATTTGAATATAATAGAATTAATTCACCACTAATTATAAATAAAAAGCTAAATAAAGGAAAGTTGATGCTAACAACTATATCTAATTGATAATTTATTTTATCTCACAAATTGAAGATTTAATATATTGTTTACAACTAATTTATTTTCTCTATTCCAAGACATATATATCCATTTAGGTATACAAAGAAGCAAGGGTGGATCTTCATGTAGGATAAAGGGGCCAAGAACCCCTCCTTTCCCAATTTTTTTTAAACTACTTATAAATTTATAATTTTCAAACTTTTTTAAATATTTAAATTTAATAATCTATTATTTAATCTGAGCAATATATATATATATATATATATATATATATATATATATATAGTTTTGACTTTATTTAACTTTTTCTTATAATAATAAAATAAACAATTAAATATATTAAGCAGATTTATATTAATTCATATTTTAATGTATTATTATATTTTCATATTCTTTTTTTATTATTATTATATATTAATTTGACCCCTCAAAATTATTGATGAAAATCTACGACTATAAAAAAAAAGTGTTAAGATACATTCAAAATATTTAACTTAAATATGATAACAAAATTGAAGTAATATAAGTTAATTTTTATAATAATGATATGCAAAGAAACACCAAATTGTGTCTCAATCTCCTACGGAGTATGAATATATATTTCAGGTGACTTAATAACCCAACAAACAACTTGATTAAGGAGAAAATTTGAAGATTCTATTAAAAAAAAAAGATACTATAATTATTTATTACCATGGATAAAAATTCAGTCGGTGGCGAAAGAAATAACATTTTTTAAGAGTTGAAGGGAAAACCGCTTGTTGGATTGATATCCATGATAAAAAAAGCATAGAGTACGCAAACTCTGAGATGGAAGAAGATGGCACGTGGAGGATGTATACACACGACTATGAGATAAGGTGATAAATAGAACACAAATATTTGGATATGGGGTCAGAACTGATAAGAACTTTCAGTACGAAGTCTGCATATGATTGTTTGACAAGAGAGAGCAACGTCGCAGAAGGAAGAAACTGGCGATGGATATGGATTCCAAATGGCAAAAACCACCAAGAGACGCTAACTATAGCTTTAAACATTGCAGGATGCAGTATGGGAGAGGTAAGAAAGGGAAGTTATGGAGGTTTATGCAGGAATTGGAAAGGAGACTTCAAATCAGGTTTGCAGGGTACTTGGAGCAAGCAGAAGCATTGCATGCAGGAATACATGCTATAAGAAACAGAGGTACAAATATGCAGAGAAATATCTTGGGAAGATAATAGATATCTTTGGAGATACTAGAAGAAGCACCAGTGGATATTATCAGCACTGTTGTTGCTGACTCCTTGGACTGATAAACCCAAGAGATCAGTGGTTTAAATTATTAATTTTTCTTGCTTTTTTGGTATGGTACCATATAAATAATCTGCAGCTACTAGTTGACATATGAATCACTTTAAATAATATTGTTGATTTGAAACATATCACTACAATTATTATTTTTATAGTGGAGAAGTTTACAATCTAAATATTCCCTATTAATCATGTGGAAAGATAAATCGAAATCTATTATAGTCCTTTATTATAAGTTACTTGATAGTAAAAAAATATTAAACAAAAAACGATTATGTAGATGTTGAAAATGTATTGTCACTCTTTATGAGTGATAAGTCATGTGGGGGAGCCACATTTGCTGAGTGATGAGGCATATGCAACTGGCAATGCAGCACACAGTGGTCAACGTTTTAGAATTTTGCAGATTTATAGTGGCCAACAGAGAGAGTTCGAGACAATAAGAATGGATAAAAACAAATTTAAGCCATGGTGTAGAAATATAGTGATAAGAAAACACTTTGGGCACACTTCGTGTCTTTCATGACCAACGATGTTTCACCTTATAACGTAATACATGCAATTCCTTATATTAATTTGGCGCCAATAAGTTTCCCTTTGTTGCAAAAAAAGGAAAAGAATTGGTTTAACAACTAGTGTGATTACAAAGAGGGTTCTAGGCAATGCACTTAAAATGGATGGATGCTCACAACACAAGTGAGAAACAAGCAAATCCTGTGGGCCATAATGCACCCAATTTCACAGTATCTATGAGGCAGAAAATGATGAACCAAAATTACAAAGATGTGCAAATTTTGAATGTTAGCTCAACCATTAAACAGCTTAGGCTTTGTCACAGAAAGTTTGGTACTATGTTTGGAAGAACTTAACAAGGAAAAAGCATTAGCATATAGCATTACACATGGATCTCTCCATGGAGACACAGATCCCTTTCAAGTGCCTTTATGGCAGAAGAAAAAGAAGGGGTATGGTTGAAAGAAGACCCCGAAGCATCTTAACCCCACATTCTAGGTACATTTTTGGCCTTTGATTCCGTACAAGGACCCATTATTGAAATCTAAGCTCAACCATCTGCAAAACATAAAGAACCAGATAAAGATGCCAAGTTGTACCATACCAAGAACCTATTTACATAAATTTCTCACTGTTCACGGATAAGAGAAGAAAACGAAAAATGAATGTTTTTCTAGTATGTAAAAGCTAACTTACACCATCACATTTCAAAGAAATTAGATGAATGAGTTACTAGAAAAATTAAAGGACAAAGTCATCAACCTATTAGAAAAAGCTCAATTCAATATGTTTTTCTCATTTTGTTACAGGTAAGTAGTTATATGAAGTTTAGGTTTATCCCTAAGTACAGAATTTAAAAGAATGGAATAAGAAAGAACCAGAACAATGATAGCAATCGGCATGAATGTGGAAGTTAAATTTAGCAATTACCATGGTGGGTTCTGGAACTGAAGGCTGGAAAATCATGAGCAGAGGTAGGAATGGAAATTGAAAGTTGAGTTGTTGAAGATTTGTCATCCAAATCAAGCCAAGATCCTTGTCTTCCTTTGTGGGGCCATTCATCAAAGAAGCGATGAACGGTTTTCTGAGGTTCTTCTTTTCCAAGTTGGCCTCCACCTAGCATGTAGCAACCACCCTGATCTTGTTGCTCTTGCTGCTTTGAGTGGCTCTGAAGTTGCAAGCAAGAGTAATCATTGGACAAGCCAAAGGAACTCCTCTGTTTGGCGGAAGAAGAGGAGCTCATAGTCAATGGTGTGAGTTGCCAAGAATCATCCATAGAGGAAGCAGAAAAGGTTTTCATGATACCACATGGCTCTGTGAAGAAAGCATGTTCATCCACCTCCTCTTTCTCTCCATAAAGATACCTACTCCTTTAATTTTTATTGAAAAAACAAGAGAGAGAGAGAAAGAGAATAAATGAATTAGGATTCACAAGCACTTGAAGAAAGTGCTTTTAAGTTTAAGCGGTGTGACTGTGAAAATGACACAAACCTGCAATCTGTGTTGGACTGAGAGCAAGAGCCATTGTCAAGAAACAAAGGAGCACTGTTGTCTTCAAAGGACAAGCCAATGCCAGAGGACCTTGACGGAGGGTGGTGATAGAGAAAGGAGCCATAGTGTTGAGGGTGGTGTTGGTGTGCTTCAGATGATGCAAGAGGTGAAAGAGTATTGGTAGTATTAAGTTTGGTGATTGATGAGATTGGTTGTTGTGTCGAAGCATTTGTGTTTGTGTTTGTTGTTGGTGTTGTTTTCAAAACTTCCACAGGCTTTCTTGAACGATTTTTCCCTCTGTGCATGTGCCTCTCACAGTACTTTGAATCTGGGTATGCCTCTTTGGAGCACCTCCATTTCTTGCCATCAGTTCTTCTACACCTACCTGGCTCAGGGTCTATTTTTCTCCCCAAACCCATCTGCAGGTAGTTCCATCCAACTGCACACAAGTGAGTAAGTCACAGCCAAACAAACAAACAAACCAACCAACCAACTAACCAATCCCTTTTCTCAAAGATTTCCACTCTCACAGCAAACACAGTGACACAGAAAAAGAGAGACACAGAAAGAGAAAAAGGAAAAACTCACAGTGCTGTGGCTGGTTAGGCAAAAGCCTCGAGGACAGAGGGGAATCAAAGTAGCTCCTTTTTATGGTGAAGAGAAGATCAGGTGGAATGGAAATCCCTGAAGCCATGTACTTGTATATGAGAGCTTGATGTTCAAGCTCTTGCCACTGTGATGGGGTGAAGGGGAACCTGTTCCTTCCATTCATCATCAAGCTAGAAGTGTTGAAGAAGTGGGACATAGAAATGGAAACCAAAGAGAAGGGATATATATATATATATATATATATATATATATATATATATATATATATATATATATTAATAAAAAAACAAGTGAGATGATATTCTAAAAAGAAAATAAGTGTCATGAAAACTATAACTCTATTTTCACAAAATCATAATGATAAAAGAAAAATGAGAAGAAGCATTTATGATAAAAAGAGTTAACTAAAAACTATAACATAATCCAATTTTCTTAAAAAAGAAAATGTGGTTTGCAAGTGAGAGAGAAGAGAGTGGTGTGTTTGTGGGCTAACAGTATTAATATTAGAATAGGGTTTGGAGAGTAGAGTAGAGTAGGTATATTTATTTGAGGGACCATTGGGTTACAGAATCTTGTGTAGATGGATAAAACTAATGGTTGTGATTAGAGAGGTGGAGCAGCATGGTATGGTAAGGTAATGCTGCTGCAAATGCTGATGGCTGATGCAGATTTCTCTCTCATCTCTGCACCTCTCTGAGTCTGATGCTACTGCTGCTGCTGCTTGTGCAGCTAAGCTGTCTCTCTGGCAGCTCTTGTCTCTGACACATCTACGGAAATCCATAAACTAAAGGGAGAGAGAAAGAAAAAGGGCATAAAAACAAAAGAGGAAATACTTATTATTGGTATTTATTAATAGTATTAGAGTTGAGTTGGTGTCTGAACCCAATGCAATGCCTATCTGAGAACATTGTACGCTTCACAGCTTTTACTGCTACTAAACTCTTTTACTTTTTCTGTTCCTTTACCTCACACCCCAGAAACCCCCCACTTACATTTTGACCCTTTTTTTCATTTTGGAAACGTAGAAAACCAGACATGCACCTGCACCCTGCATATTTAATACTCCTGTACTTCTCTTTTCTTTCTTTTTTTACTTTTCTTCTCTGCACTTCTCTCTGTAATAACACACTCAATCACCCCTTTAATCATCATTTTGTAAATTATTCGTTATTGACTTTCTCTCTCTTTTTTTCTTTTAATTATCAAATTAATCTTCAAACGGTGTATTTCAAAATAACATTACCTAAGACGAATTGGGTTCATCTTCATATTGATTTAGAAACATGAGATTTTGTGCAGATCTGTAATTAACATGAGACAGTCCCACATCACATGCTAAGCCATCTTTTTCTCTTTACAATAACAATGCGAACATGCCACAACGCAGGATTGTTTGCGTTTCACCACCATTCTAAATTAATTAATCCAGTTTATTATACAAACCACGTGCAATCTATGTTAACCTAATATTCATTATAAATAATAATAATAATAATAAATTATTATTATTATTAGATGGATTGGATTTTGGGATCAAGAATTTTAATCAACTTATCAATTTCACTAATAAATCCAAACTAAAAATTTGAAGATTTTTAAGATACATGAGTTTAGTATAGAACTTTATGAAAATAACTAGTTGATGATGTATAATAGTTCTCAGAAGATGATTTTTTTAATATGAAAACATATTTTAAAGAAAAAAAAAACAATGACGAATTTTAATTATGATAAAATACAGAGTTTGATAGGTCGTTCACAAATCATATTTTAAACGAAAATTTATTGGTGGTGATTTGTACATTGTGATGTATGTATAAATTTTAAAAAATTATTTTTTAATGAATTTTATGATAATTTTTTTTAAAAGTTAATATTATAAAAAATCATTATAAATTATAATAAAAAATTATTCAAATGAATTTCATTTTCTCAACATATATTTAACAAAAGATTCAAACATAAATCACATGTATTAAAATCCTTTATTTTTATCAAATTTACAACCTACTTTTGATTCAAACCTGTATTTGCAAACCTTAACTCATACACACACACACTGATGAATAAAATTATGAGAATATTTGTATGAAGGACATAAAATAAATAAGAATGATAATTGTAATAAAGAAGAAGGTGATGGTCAAAGGGGTGTTGGGGCAGATGAGTAAAATGAGAGAAAAAGTTGGTCTGATATTAAAATTGTTTGGTTGTATTAAATTCTCTGAGGTATTCTTGCAGTGTAAGTATTGCAGAAGGGTACAGTACTAATAGTGTGCTTTCTTCACCACACTTCATATCATACCTCTGCATCTTCCACTTGGTCCACACACCCTACACTAATCTCAATCTCAATCTCATTTCAAATATATTATCTCTCTCTCTCTCTCTCTCTCTCTCTCTCTCTTTTATTTTCTCACATTGATACATTCACTTCATCTTCATTTTAATGGCTTCAACCTTTCTGTAACTTTCTTTTTTGTCTATTTCATATACAATGCCCTCAAACTTTACTCTATACTGTGAGGTGAATAATGTTAAATATATTTAATATTTTGAAGATGTTAAGTGTGTTTAATTCAATGGTTATTTTATGGGTAATGGAAAAATTATTACAAAGACATTTTAAAAAGAAAAAATAGCCAAGTTTTACAATAAAGAGAGAAGATTTTGAAATATAGTAAATAATGTGCAGAGAAATGTACATGTACAAACATTTACTTTGCTTCAAAAATATTTTATTATCACTTCTTTTTACATTATATGTGCCCTCTTATTGATATAATAACCATTGCAATGATGGAAAACAGCATCATAAGCATAAGAAATATAATTGTAGTTTCATAATGTTTTAGTCATTTGTTTGCTAAAGTATTTGTATGAAGTGATAATAGATAAATATGTTACAGGATTCTATGGTAAAGGAAAGCATTAGTTTATTCAGATTATATTCTAAGTTGTTATACCTTTTCGTTTTAAGCACTTTTTTCTTTTGTCAAAATGTTCATAGAAACAAGAAAAACTAAAGTCTAAGACTTGAGTCAAAATCAATAAAGTGTATTAAAGTCAGGCAAAATATTTGCATGGGAGCAGAGTATTGTAGTTGGACATTGAAAGTTTGGTTGAAGTTTGGTTTGTTGTACAATGTATTTAACTCTCTTTTTTTTTTGTTTGATATTTAGTTTGTGCATCATTAATTTAGGTTTAGTCCTTTTATGATTTTTCTTTTACTTTTTTTTTGTGATATTTCAACATGAATGAGATTAGGTTGTTGTTGTTGTTCTTATAATCTCTTACAAGTTAACCATTATACTTTAAAAAGATCTTTGTCTATTTAAGGTAACCTAGTAAATCATATATCATGCATGAAGGTATTTTGTGACAATTACATTAATATTACTAGTTTTGCATTCTACAGTTTATCAAAAAGTAATAAAATAAAATTATTTTCATTGTTTACGAAATTATTTAAACTGATATCAGAGTTGAAACAAATTAAAGTATTTCTGTATGACTGCATAACTGCAACATTACTGATAATTTAACAAATCATTCAAGTATGGTGCAAATCTGAAGTGTCTTGTTTCTGTCTAGTCTTACTCATACATCCAATAAAGAGAAAGTGACTGAAAGTCCACAATTTCCCATTTTAAAAGATGTTGAGAGCATTTATAGTTAGAGGGAGTATTTCAGTACTTCAATTATTTGTTCCCCTTTATCAAAACACAACATCCATGGTCTCTTATGCATGCCATCATCTACAAATCCTTGTCAAAACACAAAGCTCCAAACAACCACCATGTTAGCTTAAACACTTGCATGTTTAAGAAATAAGGGACACGTAAATGTTTCCATTATTGTAACAGCTTCAAGGGAAAATGGTGTTATCTTGCTATAGCTATTGTTGGAAAATGGCAAAGTTGGATTTTCCTTTTTGGAAAAACAAGTGTTCACAGGTAATTTGAAATCTCAAGGTTCCCTTCCTTACTTTTAGGTTCATATTTCATGCAGCTAGTACTAGTGATTGCAACTTTTGTATTTTCAACAACTCATTCAGAATTATCAGTCATTAGTTTAAAAATTATGGAAGTAACTTACACGCATGCACATTATTTATGAGAGAAGTGTGACGTAACTTGGTTTCTGTTCACATTCTTTCCTCTTATTCATAAGAAAATCTGCAACTTAATGTAGAATGTTAATTTTTCACATCATTCTGGCTTTGAATCATGGAGCAGAGTGTCAGATTTTGGACTTGGACCACAACCTCACACACAGTCGTACACTCAGCTCACGCTTCTTGAATAGTGATCATTTCCCCAACTTGCAATGGGAATGCCAAGTAGGGCATCATCAATTTTCCTTCAATTTGTATCTCTGTAATAACATGTGGTTACTACATTCGCAAATTCAAATTGAATATCACTAATATTAAGAAGTTTTGGATATATAAGCACTTTTCAAAGAAAAAACTGAAATAATTTGTTTTATAAGCTAAAACAGACTAGTTTATGCATAAGTTAAAATTTTGATCTGAGAGAACTTACCCTAAAATAACTGTTATAAATATTCAAACATAAACTAAGTTTTTATCTCATTGGAATATAAAGATAATTAGGAATTTATTACATCAATATTCTGAGTCAGTATCATGTGGAAGGTTTTATTTTTTAAGATATAATTAGAGGTTTTAAATAGATTATTGTATTTCTTATTTGAGATATACAAAAAATCAATAAACGTATATTTATTGTTGATTTGCAAAGAAAAAATTCATTTTTTGAGATAAAAAATTTGTAATTTCCAACAAAACATCCTTTCTCTCATTGATGAGAAGAAACGGATAGAAAAATTTACATTAGATTATATATAATATATAAATAATAATAATTATTTTAATAATAAAAATTATAATAATTATAATTATAATAATAATCATATTAATAATTAAAATAAATTAAATAATTATAATATTTTAAATTATATAAATAATAATAAATTTAATTTAATTATAATTTAATTTTTTTATCATTTATCAATCAAATCAATCACAAACTTTTATAAATTTTCTTTTCATTTCTCTACATTTCTTATCATCTTTCCTCTAATCCCAGTATACCTCTCTTTCCACCCAAATCTATTCTTTTCTATTCTCTCAAATCCATCTTTTAATCCAAACACACCTTAAAAGTAAGTTTTCAGAATTTTTAGAAATTCTTTATTATCATAACTATGCTTAAAAACCAGACTGTATCAGCAAATATAGAATGAACCCTGATACATGGCTTTTTTCAAAGAAGAAACTTGTTACATGCAGCGGAAGTTGAAGTTTTGAAAAAGTGATATGCATATGGCCCATTTAAAAACATCCTTTTCATTGTTCCTTTCACATCTTTTTTAGAAAAACAGTAATAATGAGGAGCAGAAAATCATATGAAGAGGTTGAGATTACCACGTGACTTCCCTTTACGTGTATTTTCAACAATCCCATGGCAGCAGCAGCAGCAGGGACGTTTAATTGTTAAGCTTCATTTTTAACATTGTGGTGTGAAAGAACTTGAGAAATTATGCAACAAACGGGGTTCACATCCTCACAATCTAAGAACACGAGAAGGTGAGAGATGAAGTGGAGAGTGCATTGAACAAATATTTTCCGTTAGGAGAAAGTCATGTCAAGCAAGTGAGGAAAGTACCTAAAGCAGTGGGAGGGTAGTTAAATCTAATAAAACTTGGTCCCCATTAGCATGAGAGAAACCATGAAACAGCAGAAACGTTTGTTTCGTTCTGTGTAGGAAGGACCAGGGACCCAGAGACATGTCCATGTCTGCTAGCAACCACCCTTTTAGGCCACGGATCACCAAACAAGGAAGGAACCTTTACTATTACTGTCTTTGAATCGGTAAAGCTCTAACTTCGCACCCAATCAAATCTTGTTCTGCTATGTCCTCACTCCAATGAAACACTTATTTGCTTTCTTAGTTGTTCTTTAATTTAATTACTCTTAATTTTTATCCAATTAATGTCATTTATTAGAAGATCGAGGATATTTCAAAAAATCGTATATTTATGATGTTAATTAATTCACATGAATGCTAGTTGGTATTGAGATAGAAGAACAGCGAAAATATGAAAATAGTGATATGGTGTAATAGAAAAGGAAAAGTAATAGGCATTAACGAAGTGTTTAAAAATGTTCACATATCATTACTGAGAGAATAAGGTTACTATTAACTCAATAGAATCAGCTAAAATGAAATTTAGTCAAAATGCTTGAAATTGGAGGAACATTACAACAAAAATCAAGCATGCACTTGGTCTAACATTTACAGCGAATATTCATTGTTATTGGCAAATGTTTACGAGGATTTAATACACGTACTCCGCATTTCAGCTAGGAAGTTCTGCAGTATATTTAAAACCATTTAAACACATTTAACCATATCCACATTGTAAGGAAAAAGCATAACTTTTACTTTTGGTATGAAAAAAAAATTGTCATTTACATAGAATAAAACCTTGATAGCACTTATTAAGACTAAATATACTATCTCACTAATTATATACAAGTTCTGCAGCAAGAGCCTATGTGGGTGGAATTTTTCGTTACATGTATAGGGAGAAAATTTTAACTCACATAAAATAGAGATTATACAACACTGAACTTGCGTTCAAGCTTTGCAAGGCAGTAATATTCCCAAATAGCTCTACTCCTTTTGGAAGAAAGAGAGAACAAGATCTGTATGCACAGAGAAGAGCTGTGTATCCACGAAAAGCTGTTTAGTACGAGACAACAGAGGAGAAATCCGCATTAGTAAACTCAGACTAATACCCGAAAACATAAAAACTATGCAAAGATGGAAAACAAATGTGTTCAGTAAATTACATGAATAAGATAACGCCTAAGTATTTAAGCTCGCTGACGAATAAAAACTCTACTAAACATTTAACCATGACTACTTATGAATTATTGCTCACTGTACACATTCACTTGGTTTGCCAAACCAATAAGCAAGTATAAGCAGAAGATGAGAACTCAACAATCACGCGTGTTTACTTGACTTTTAGAACAAGTCAATTCCCCAATCCAGAACTACATGGAATCCAGGTGACAAGTAGCAACATCACCCATATGTTTTAAGTGTATAAGACACTCCACAGCCACATGGTAAAGGTTCCACATGAATCTCAATATTTTGGTGAAACCCTTCAACAACCCGACTTGGCCTGATGCCAATAGATAGAGAGTTGTCATCGCCTATAGACAGACAGATATCCCACAAACAGCTCCAATAGTTAAAAATAAATTCACCATGCCTCCAAAATCAAGCATTACACGGATTCTCAAGCAATTACACAAGTTAGCTGGAAAAATTACATCACGAAACTGTTTACACAATGCCCTAGTTGTGTTCCCAACGTGACAGTCACTAAGTTTGAGTTATGTTCATATGAATATAGATTTTGGAATTGGGCTTGAGTAAATGAAAATAAAATATATTTTGGGTGTCAGTTCCTATCATTTCAAACCAGAAAGTAAATAAATAAAAAAAAACTTTTAACATTATTAGCACTAATCATATATTGTTCGTGAGACAAACCTTCATGAATGGCCGATCACGATAAGGAAATGAGTCGATAAAACTCTCCTTCAAAAGCAAGGATACCTGAAGATACAAGCATTAAAATCTTTAAATTATTAGTAAAAATATGTTATGTGAGATGTAAGTTAATATTTGCAACAATGGCACGCATATGAATCAGAATTATTCAATTTACATAATCTTGTTTTAATGATTATTTTAATTCTGCTTATTGAGCTTAAGAATTTGATCATTCTCTATCTCAATGCTAGCGACTTAAGCAAAACCTAGATTAAATTTGCATGAGGAGACAGGAAAACATTTAAGTATAACAAACAATTTAAACTTATCTAGCTTGTGTACCATGTCCCTGAACTTTACATTATAGTCAATAAAGAACTGTCAGGAATAGAAGGTAATGTAGGTGTATGGAGATTATTAAAAGATTTCCCTCTAAAGAATTATGGTGTTTGTTTGATTAAAGGACAAACTATAAAGTAGAACCAATAATTTAAGATGTACCTTTACAACCCTACCCCCAGCCCCAAATCAATTGATCATTAAAAACTAAACACTATATAATTGGGTCCAATTAGCCCTTTGATTAAATCCTTGTTTTAAAAGGTGAAACATTAGAAACAAGGGGGCAAAATATATAGATAACACATAACAATGTAAAGCTCTGTTAGGAAAAAAAAAACACACACACACACAAACCTTATCGTCATTGGATTGTACATTGGTTATTGTATGAGAACGAATGTTATGGCAAAGGGAATCCAAATAAGACCTTAACACCGATAAGAACCCCTTGGCAGCATCTACCTGTGAGAAAAACAACACATGAAGACTATGTAACATTATGCTGACAATATGAATAACTGATTGTTTAAAATCTTGAACTTTTTTGACAATATGAATAAATGATTGTTGACAATATGACAGTATTCTATGAAGCTATCACAAACTACTCTTACTATTTTAAACTTCGATAAAATTATGAGTTATTAGGCAAATTGAATAACCAATTGTTTAAAAATGGGTATTAAATTCTTGACAAAATAATGAGAAAAAGAAACAGAGGACATAAGGAAGCGTAATGTGTAAGGAGGAAATCATAAATGAGTGGCGCACCTGCACTTCTGTGCATTCATACACTGGCCTTCTCCTACCCAAGTAATTTTCTCCCACAAGAGTTGCATGATAAGGACGTAAAGAAGAGATTAACTCTTTCTGCCTGGGCAGTTGAGGTATTGTTGATGACTTCACCTGTTGTGAAAAAACAGTATTTTGATAAGGGATCGTGTGTATCTAGCTGTAACTTGAAAGCAAAGTATGATAGAAGTTAGAATATAAGAATATAAAAAGTAAAATACTTGAGAAGCCATGACCCAACCATTTTCAAGGCAACAGCAAATCTGCACTCACAGTAATATCACACCATTACAATACCAATAATTGCTACGTTGTTGGTCGCCCTGGCCAGGGTAGTCGAGCTGGCCAGTGCTTTGGCCATGGCAGCCATGGTCGTTGTAGCAATATTCAATTAGTTTAAGCCATCGGGTTAGTTTACCTTACTCCACCAAAAAACATAAATCCAAGCATCCAAATATCCAACTCTCTCACTCTTCAGTAAGAAGGTATTATTTGACAAACTAATAAAACCTAAATGCAAATTATTAAATCAGTAAAATTGAATGTTTCCTAGGCCAAATCCCATCAATTTACCAAACCATACAACTAATAGAAAATAAGCTTAATTATATATGAGCAATTTGAGCAACTACCAAATAAATAAAAAACTGAATTTGATAACAAAACTTTTGAGGAACACAGAATAAGAAAACACAAATTTATGTCACAAGCAAATGAAAATAATCGAGCAGTATGAATTCAACAATGCGTAGAAATATTTTCGTTCATTTTCAACCAAGAATTTTGTAAGATAATTGGATAGAAGTAGCCATGCATACTATATCTCAATAAATACAATATTTTTTCTGGGGAAGGGGGTGGAGACTACAATTTATGGCATTGCAGAATAGGAAAAGAAAAAAAATAGCAGACCTGATTTCTGTTGGCGTCAACCATGATAACATTATTAGTTAACTTTGACTGAACTTCATTGGTCTTGGTTTTGATACCAACCTACAGTATTGATTTTATGGCAAGACAGTTATCAAATAAGATATCATCAATGTAAAAGGCCACAATAAGAAACGGTTAAAACCAACTTTAGTAATACACACTACACTAATCACTCTAATTTTAATGTTCCAATTTATAAAAGATATTATTAAATGGATTTCACAAGCTCCAATGCAATAAATCAGGTATTAATCTAGATAGTATAAGCAAGACCAGAATACTCACTATGTAAGGAACGGGTGCATCCAGAAACTCAAGCATGTCATTTGGTAAAACCTGGAAGAATGTACTCTTATCAAATACTAAGGTGGTGAAGTGCTACTAAAAACTTAGAAAATTCATATTCTTTTTTAATCTTAAAAGAGAGAAACCAAACCGGCATTAGCAAGCTTTGCCATTGGTAGGGTCGGATTAGTGAAATAACTGACAAAACTGATGCAGATAGGATTCCCTGATCATAAAAGAAGTAAATAGTTTCCATTGAGGATTATTATGAAATCTCAACAATTCAAGCGAGAACCTTATTTCTGACAATTACATTCTCTAAATCAGCAAACCCATCATTGGGTCAACAGCACAGTACAGCTGTCCATATTTCATAGTGAATGTAATCAATTTTGTAAACAGAGAATATGCAAGTACCAAAATACAAGTACCAAAACAGCTAATTAGTAATGAATGAGCATGTCAGCAAGGCCAAAATGGGAACATTAAAATTCAGATTCAAATAATAGGGCAAAACTTAAATACAAATATAATTAGTTCTGTTTCTAACAGAGCAGGGGACAGTAATAAAGGAATAACAATAAATCTGAAAAAAAAAACATATATAAGTGTCCAACAAATGGCTCAGATCAGATAACATTAGCATCAATACAAAATTGAATAGAGAAAATGAATAATACTCATAATATCATCACTGATTTAATCTGAGCCACTAGACATACCAAATTAGAACAGACAAAAACTATCTGCTTTTCCAGTAGAGCTCCAGCAAAGAATGTTAACACCTGCAGAATAGAAATAAAACCATTCAAAACAACATATAGCTGTAAAAGTCCTGGACAGAAATCACAACATTTCAACTCCAGGGCTCAATAGCTGAGCATTATATTAATGCCATCTACGCTTACTTATTATTTGACTATATGTCCTTTAACTGATTACTGCTGTGTTATTTTATTATATGTATAGACCACAATTTAAGGAATTGATTTCCTTTCCTATAAATTAATAATCTCTGATTTTTAAAGTTGCTGCCTAATTATGAAAATGGCACAAAAAACAAATCAGTTTTTTGCACATATATTGAGATATTTGGTATAAGTACATAGATTCAAGAAAATCACAAGATAAAACATAACTTACATTTTCAAGTCTCAACGTACCACATATGCATGCTACAGCCCATATAGATAATGCAGTTGCCTCCTCCTCAGCCAGAAGAGAATTATGTGCCTGAAAGGAACAAACAAAAAATGACCGTCAAACACAATACAACCCAGAAGACACATCCTATATCTTAAGGGCAGAAAAGGCAATCTAATCCAATGATAATTAATGTTACATACCTCTGCTAATTCCAGACCTGTACTGAAAGATTTCAAGTCAACAATTGAACCAGCAAGATGTAAAATTGCCTCATCTGGTCTGTGATATTCTAAGGGATGCAGGTGCTCCAAAGGATGAAACCTAAGTGATGAGCCTCTTACAGGGCAATTTAAGCAATAATACTCACTTATAATTTGTAATGGCCCACAATTATTTGCCTGGGAATAGATAAAAATAACATCAGCTATAATATCAATACACAACCCAGACAATATTAGAACAGAGTGCATTTAATATTACAAACCTTAGCCCATTCAAGAATATCATTTCGATCATTTAAATCATCTTGGCCAGAGAATGAAGCATCTTCTGTCTCAGTATCATCGACGTCGCTCCTAAAATTTCTGTCATCGCATGGAGAACCCTGAAAACTGCATGAAGCAGATGTTTAAGGTGCATCATTTATAAGAAATGGACGAGAGATCATGACTATAATATACATCACAGGGTGAACTTTGAAAACAACATAAAAAAGACCACATATTCTATATAACCACTTGAAAGAGGCAACAAAAATATAATATCCCACAGCATATTCACTCTAAAAGATAACTGCAAAAATACATCAGGATTTGTTTGGATAAGTAACGATAATTTATTAGAAAGAAATACCTACTGTGAAAGCAAAAAAGGAATAAGAATTGGATGTACACTGTACAGTAAGAAACCTCAAAGAAAAAGAAACTACAGAAGATATGAATTTAAAAGCACAACAGGTATATACTGTGATTCACTCTTCCTCATCAACTCATGCACAAGAATGCACTGGAAACCATCTACCAACATATCCGCTTGTCAAATGATGTCAAGGAATAAGAAAGTAACAGAATTATTTGAACCTATAGAGAATAAAGTACATCAAACGAGTCCTACAGGACTTTTTATTATTAGTACTTTCAGATTTGAACACAAACAAAACACATCCATAACACCAGTGAAGCACATTAAACACCACAACATAATGTTGAGTTCACATAAATACATACTAAATGCACTGTACAATCACAACATCTTGTACCTGCAGGAAGATTCAGAGCTTTCATACTGGCAATAGCGCAAGAGTGGAAGAATAGCATTGGGTAATCGCCTCTCTTCTGACTGTTTGTTTGAAACAAAAGCATCTCCATACAAATCACTATCAACAGCATTTGTGAGACCAGATTCTTCTTTTAAAGTTTTTCTATCAGTTTCAGGATCACAAGGCACAGCATTATCATCACTGACTCTGTCATTAAATGTATGCAGCTCCCCGTTAACCATTTGTTTCTTGGGATAATTACTATCATCCTCAATGTTTTCATCTGAGGAATTTCTTAGGCTTGATATAGAAATCATTGCATTGTCATCATGTCTCTCTTCTAATTTATCATTCTCCAACAAGCACTCTGAATCTTCCCCCAAATTCTGTTCCTCACAGCTACCTTTAACATATTCAAAATTTAAATCTCCAATGTTTTTCGTCAACCGATCTAGCCGTTCTTGCATGAAGATGCTACAGAGATATCAGCACAACAAGTTGAGCAAAAACAATAAATTTGTAGCATATATTGTCAGGTATTATTGCAGACAATTCTAACATTCTAAGTATCACACAATAAATGTAATAATGTAAAATGCATAATTCAAATAATTTACCAAGTACCCAGACAACAAACAACATCCAATAATGTAAGCTACCAATATAATGTAACAACAAACCAATCTTATCCCATGAGGTGGATTTGCTTACATGGATTAATCAATTCCATTGAGTTCTTTCAAACACAATGTCATTCTTACTGATCTCTCCCAACCTTTTCTAAGTCTTGCTCTATCCTTTTTTCTTCTGACACGAAGAATCTAAATGGTGGAAAATATTTCAATTTATCTTCCAAACATAACTATTAATTTTATCCGAGAATCCATAGAAAGAGATAAGAAAATTAATCACAAGCATTGATATCTAAAGGTAAGAGACAAATGAATTACTTAATATTTTCCTATGTATAACAGACAAGTTTAAAAGTTTGTTCCCTAATGCAAAGTTCAAAAGTTTGTTCCCCTATGCAAAATAGTAACGTTTCCTCCTCTGTACAAGGACAAAATTTATGAAACAAGAACCTACATCTTCACTCCTGAGAAGATTGAATCATTTCGAATGACTTTTCCGTCAATATTTTATTTTCTTCAATTAATACCATCTGGAATCAATAAAACAGGCTTATTTGCTCCAGCAACTAGTATTGGGTGTAAACTTTTAACACAAGCACATGAAATCCTCTCAAATATTAAACATTGTTTATTGTATGTGTTTTTCAAGCTAGTTTTTTGGTTCATTAATTTAAGAAATGCAGATATTAATTTTATCTGTTCATTGGAAACTGAAAAATGTTCATATTAGCAAATATACTAATATTTATGAAATCATACTGACAAGTCTATTTCAATAAACATCGAAAGTATTAGCACATATGTGTTTCAGTACCGCACATTAATCCTATAAATCCTCACCAGATCACAAGTAGTTATTTCACACTCTTGCAATGTAAAAGACACGACAAACCCTATTTAATACTAACAGAACAGTTCATCCAAAAATTAATAAAATAAATGACAAGATATAGCAAATATCATCAACTCACCCCTCATAAGGGAGGGAACACAGGAAGGTTATGAATACCTACCTGTTCAATACCCCAAAGTGCAATTCAAAGAATGGGAGCCTTGAGAGAATGCAGTAACATCTTTGTGTGGTTAATATATGTCGTTTCAAAGAAGAATAAGTCGACTGTTTATCTGGAATCAGGGAGACCAATCCAGAGGGCTTTTGCACTAACTCTTCAACTAAGACACAGCACCCATAAAGAGTTGAATTATCAGCACCCTGTGGCAATAAAAAATGCCCAAAAGAAAGTAGCATTGTTAGTACAGGACACGAGTACAATATAAAATATAAAAGCAATAAGATAAGAGAGACTTACAGTTAAAGGTGAAGCTATTAACTATTCAAACTTAAGGATCATCTAAACAAATGACCAGTCAATAGGACCTTCAGACAGTTTACTTGGTACGTGAATTTGAAGAAAAAAAAAGAAAAGGGCACTCGAAGGTACATCGAAAATGACAAGGCCAACAAAAATTGGTTTCCTTGGGAACTCAAAGGGAGATTTGAAGTTAGGTTTAGGATGATATAAAAATATATAAAGCACAGGAAAATTGATGGCAGAGGAGGAAACTTACAATCAAGAAGCAGGAATTAGTCTATTTCAAATGAGGACATTGGTACAACATTTGGAAGGATTAATGATACAACATAACAATGAACTCCATGAAAGATTGAACCGGTTGGAGAATAGAGATCCCAAAGATGAAGAAGAAAAGAGAAATAGGAGAAGGAATAATGAAGTAGCAAGACCAAGTAGGTTTGAAGGAGTCAAGCTTAACATTCCTCCATTCAAAAGAAAAAGTGATCAGGAGGCATACTTGGAGTGGGAGATGAAAATAGAGCATGTTTTCTCATGCAACAATTATGAGAAGACCCAAAAGGTGAGGCTTGCAATCACGGAATTTTCTGACTATGCTCTTGTTTGGTGGAACAAGCTACAAAAGGAGAGAGGTAGAAATGAAAATCCAATGGTTGATACATGGACTAAGATGAAAAGGATCAATGTGCCGGCTAGTTATTTAAGGGACTAGAAATTTAAACTCCAAAAACTTACTCAAGGTAACAAGAGGGTTAAGGAGTATTTCAAGGAAATGGACATGCTCATGATTCAAGCAAAGATTGAAGAAGATGAAAAGGTAACTATGACCCGATTTATTGGTGGTTTGAATATGGATATACGTGATATTGTTGAGTTGCAGGAATTTGTTGATATGGAGGGTTTACTTCATAAAGCAATTCGAGTGGAGTAACAACTCAAAAGAAAAGAAGTGGCTGAGAAGAGTTCTACAAACTTTGGATCTTCAAGTTGGAAGATGGGGTTGTTACTTCTAGTAGTTTCACACCTATTCCTACAAAGACTCCTTTAAAGTCTGAAAAACAACCCTCTAAAAGAAGTAGAGATGTGAAGTGTTTCAAATGACAAGGTCTAGGACACTATGCTTATGAGTGCCCTAACAAAAGGTCTATAGTTCTTAGAGAGGGAGAATATATAAGTGAATTTGAAGTTGAAGAGGAGGAGGAGATTCCAAAGGAAAATTTATTGATGATTAGGCAATTACTTGATGGCCAATTGAAGCCTATGGAAGAAAGGCAAAGAAATTACATTTTTCACACTAGATGTTTAATCAATGACAAGGTGTGCATAATGATCATAGATGGAGGTAGTTGCACCAATGTGGCTAGTCCTAGATTAGTGTCAAAGCTAAATTTACCTACTAAACCACATCCTAGGCCTTATAAACTTCAATGGCTTAGTCAGGATTGAGAGGTGCAAGTGAGGAAGTAAGTTGAAGTTAACATTTCCATTGGAATATACAATGATAAGGTACTTTGTGATGTTGTTCCTATGAAGGTAAGTCACTTATTTTGGGGAGACCGTGGCAATTTGATAAAAGAGTCCATCATAACGGGTTCACTAACAAGATCTCTTTCATGCACCAAGACAAAAAAATTGTATTCAAACCTTTGAGTCCACAAGAAGTGTGTGAGGATAAAAAGAAAATAAGAGAAAAACTTCTTCAAGAGAAGAGAGAAAAAGAAAGCATTAGTGAAACACTTAAGAAGAAAAAGAGTGATCAAAAGAAGAGTGAAACACTTGAAGTGAGAAAGACAAAAAATGAGTATAATGTTAGTTCTACATTCCATTTGTCATACTTATTTCTTTTTTATGTAGATGACGAATCCGATTTAAGGACAAATCATTTTCAAGAGGGAGAGAATGATGTGGATATGACCTATGACAAGGGCTAGAGCAAGGGAAACAAATAAAACTCATCAAGTATTGTTGGTTGACCAAATTGTGTTTTGGATTAATCAATTAATGAGCTTTAGTTTGGTTTTATTGCAAGTTGTAATAAAAGCCCAATTGAAAACTTAGTTATCAGTATTTAGGAGACCAAGAGGGTGCATAGCTGATTGACTTTTGGTTGCTACAATTTTAGTTACAATCAGTCATTAAGTAGTATCAATTCCTAGGTTAATAGATCATTATTAGCCTTTATTTGTCTCCATTAAATAGTTTTCAATTCCTAGGTTAATGAATCGTTATTAACATTTATTTCTTTATTGAATCTTTGTAATTATGATGACAAAGCTTCTATATAGGCTGAACCATATTTTTATCAAATATAACAATTTGAATTTTACTTAAAAATATTAGAGTTTAGCTCTTTTATCTTGGTGAGAGTGATTCTCCTAAATTCTTGAGTGATTTAAGAACAGTTGGTTGTATCAAAGGACTTTTACATCCTTTGTGAGTTGCCTCCCTTGGGAAGAGTGATTCTTTTCTTCCACCTTATCACTAAATTCCTAAATTTTCTACAAAGTTCTAACCCTAAAGATCCTAAATCATTCCTTGTGCTATTGAGATTCATATCAACTTGGTACGTGAATTTGAAGAAAAAAAAAAAAGAGGACGTTGGAAGGTACATAGAAAATGACAAGGCCAACAAAAATTGGTTTCCTTTGGAACTCAAAGGGAGATTTGAAGTTAAGTTTAGGATGGTATAAAAATATATAAAGCACAGGCAACTAGAAAATTTTTCAAAGCCTAATCGGGAGTAAATGAACCTTAATGAATCACAAGAGTTAAAACTCAAAACTTACAAATTTAGACAAAGGTAAATTGAAGTCCAAAACAACTAAAAACGAATCCAAACAAATGCTGGCCCAGCCATAAACCTCTTGAAATGGAGAAAACAAATTATAGATTAAAATATTTGCACCTTAAGAACAAGTTACTACTCGTTAACCACTCTATTAATATTGCCAAAATTTGAGTGGCTAAATCATCCTAAACAGTGACTCCTTTTCAGTATTTTTCCAAAAAACATTTTCCAAGAATAATTTAGTAAGATGCATTGGGCTTAAGAATGAAATGAAAGACAGATGAATTAGCATGTTCCGTTTGAGAAATATATAATTCCAAAATACATTTCTAAAAGTTTCCTGCAATCCAGTTTTCATCCTTAGAATATGTTGATGTAAGGAATACAGAGAGAAAATTAGTATAAAAAAATATAAGAAAGTTTAAACAATAACGGATATGATCACTTAAGTTACCTGTAGCCTAAATACAAAGGACAGATCCCTTTGTTGGAGGTGTTCCTGCAAAAATCAATATACTAACACAGGTAAGCTTCAGTGTCTAAAAACTTGGACACTCTCAAACTTCATCATTCAAGTTGTTAATCTAATATAATAATAGTTGTGAAGACTCATAGGTAGAACTCAATGATTAATAGAGATGGGTTGGATTTAATGTGCATTGGAACATGTGATAACTATAAAACAAACTTGCTATGTGTCTGTTTACGATGAAGTTGCAGATGCAAAGTAACCTGATTGACAAAGAGATGCATCATTTCAGACTGTTTGTTGCTAATCGGTCAAATAATTAAAAAGGGAAGGCAAAAATTTTCTAATATTAACAAAGAAAATTTCCGTAATGCATGATATTAATGGAAGCAAAATATTTCATAAATACCTGCCCAAAAAGAATTTCATTCAACTCACTCATGGAAGGGGTTCTCTCAACGGCATTAACCTAAAATCAGATCCAAGAGAAGGCAAAACCAAAGTATTAGCTCCACATAAGTTAATGACATAAAAATAAAAATATCTAACTCCCTGCAGAGATTCAACAAAAATTAAGTGCTAAAATAATTGATGCAAAATTTAAATACAAAATGCTCTTTGTATACTAATGTACTGTGGGTAGCTAATCCAAGTAAGTTTTTATTTGATATTCTTTAGCCTATTTGAAAGAGCTTACTTACAGCTTATTTTGGCTTACAACACAATTACTCATATAAGTGTTTGGGAGAAATTATGCAAATAGCTTATGACAGTTTCATAAACTGTTTCTAGCATTTTTCAATAAATTCTGCATGATAGCCTATGAAAACAACTTACAACTTACATAAAAGTAGCTTGAGCCTATTTCCCCCTTTGATTATAGACAAAAGGAAGATAACAGTGATTGTTTCCACGATATCAAACTGGGATGGGGGAATATCTCTCAAAAAGCTACAACTTTTTCCTGATATATTTTATTTTCAAAATAATTCCCAATGACAGAAGTAATCTGTTCTCAATATTTAACTGAAAATAATATTGATAATAATGGTGGTGAAGATGTTTATATTAATAGTAATGGCATATAATGGATAGGGGAAAATTAGAAGTTCATTGTGCATACACCTAACCTCCAAGCCTCCAGGGAAGCAGAAAGAGAGAAGATCCCTGTCTTTAAGAGGCAGCTGTCTTTCAGGAGGGTACACAAATAAGACCTGGAAAAAAATGAATATAAAGTTTTCATGATACCAATACATCTGAACACAAATTAATATTCAGAACAGCAGCAAATGAAATTTGTAGTGGAGATAGCAATTAAACTGTTGAAAAATAAACATTAATAGGACAAGAGGCAGTAAGAATAATTATCACAATTGCATTAGTAATAGTAATTCAATCTATTTAGCCAATGATCAAAACCTGAGGTTCTAGATTGGGTTCCACACGGGATTGATTCGGATAACCAAGAGCACTTCTCAATTTACCAGGGCCTTCAGACTTTCTTAAGACATATTGCCTTTGCAGTGCCTGAATATCACAATTAGGATGAAGTCCCACAACCACCATGCTTTCAAACAGTTTCGTAGGCTCCTTCAATGACCTATGGTCCTGTGAACTCAAACACGAGGGAGTCTATCAGTGTATGAGAACAATTATATTACCAGGACAAATTGAAGTATGATTTTGTGTGCTGAGTAAAAAAGAAGGCACAAAACTAAAAACACTGATAATGACATGTAGCAAGAAGAAACACTTGTAGATATGATGGTTTATGGTGAAAGGGGAAACAGCTGACCGTTCAAGCAACTGACGCTTGGACCAAACTGCTAAAGGAAGAACAAAGGGGAAAAAGGCATTTAAAACCAAGGACCAAAAATATAACAGTATCAACCAACTTAAACTTCTTTACAGTTTACATTAAAAAGTGTGTAACAAACGTCTAGTTCTCACTTCTAATGATTCAATAGGGAGAATTTAGTTTTACCATGTACTGTAACTGAATGTTTGCAGCCCATTGACGCTTCTGAGTTGTCAGGATCTCTGGATTGTAATTAGTATATTGAACTTCAGACGGGCGAGAAAGTCCTTTTATCATTTTTGTAACTTGATACTGCAGCCTTTGAAGTTGACTGCCACCGTGATCATTTTTTGATGAATATACAACAGAGGGCCTTGGAGAAGTTGCAGCCGCAGCAACAGCTCTGGACACATCCTCTGGTGTTTGCATAATAATTGTAGAACCCCATCTAGGACTACCCACCACTCCCTCCTTTGACATTCCAGCCATTATTTCCTTCACAAACATAACAGAGATTTTGACATGTAAAACTATATGAGAAGCAAGATGAATTAAACGAAAATATCACTCAAAACAAATATTAAATCCGTTCTAAAATGTGAGTGCTTGATTATCATGCAAGCCAACATAAAATAGTGCCAGCTATATGAACAAATATAGCAACAAGACGCCAAAAACTGATTCTTCATGTGTGCAGAAAACAAGTCTTTTTCAAGGTAGAACTTAAAATTTATCCATTAAACATGGCAATCCACACCTAAAAATGTGCGATATTGAGCTTTTCAAAAGGGTCATCAGCAAACTAAATCGTTAGTAATAAAGAAAATCAAACTATAAACCCAGCATAAACTGGGTCCACAATTTATAAAAATAAAAATTTACAACAAAATAAAAACCCCTTGAACAAAAAGTTTCCACGTATAACTTGCCTTCAATAAACAAGCTTAAGACGGATACAAAAAATCAATTTTAGCGCTCCGATTTCAGACTCATAGCTCCTTCAAAGCTACACCATTAACTATCTAAAGTTTCATGTTTACATAGTCTGTTACATAAACTGAAAAAACACAAGATGATGAAACCCCGATGCACAAATTGAATGACATACATAAAAAAAATTAAAAGGAAATATAAAAAACAGAAAACCAATTCAAGCACCCGGAAGAAGGAAAAGGAAAAAAATAAATAAGAACAGAGCAGGGTAGAAGATGACAAGAAAAAGCGATCAAATTGAACATATACACAGCTGAAATCAGAAAACCCACACAAAAAATTAGAACTTACCACGGAATGTAGGAAACAATAGAAAAGAGCAAGAATTGAAGCAGAGATAAAGGCTTTGAAGAAAAAGTGGCGAAAGGGAAGGGATTGAGGTAGGAGAGAGAAGAGATATTTAAGATTAATCAATTCATCAACTTCTTCTTCAGGTAGTTTTTTTTTTTTCTTCCTTTTTATTCTTTGGGTCTGGGAAGGAAATATTACCAAAGAAAAATTGATTTGCAGGTGAAATGGTCCATGCAATGCGAAGCAATAGAACGAAGAAGAAAAAGGGTTGGCAATAGTAATTAGGGTAATAAATTGAATGTTGTGGGAGTGGGAGTAGCAGAAGCTTCGTGAGCGTTGAAACGACAATCTATTGCTCGCACATTCAGTGTTGTTTAGGGACCAACAACGAGGAACATTGGTTTCTCTGTTTTCGTTCCAATCGTTGGATTGGATTGGGACGATGCGTCGTGCTGCTTCCAACCTTCGTCGCACTCCACTTTCACATTGTCTATTGTTTTTTATTATTTAATAACACAATAATAATATTTTTATTTTAATTTCACTTGAAATATAGAAAACGTGACTATAATCCATTTCCAAAAAAATCATTGTTATTTAAAAAAAAAGTAAATTTAATAAATATGTAAGTATTAAAAATTATACAAAACGTTGTATTTTTAATGATAAAAACATGATATTGTAAAAACTATATTAGATATTAATATTTTTGCATAAACTATTCTTACAAACTATCTTGATTGTTTATTTTATTTAAAAATATAAAAATTCATATTGACTATAAGTTTTATTGATTAAGTTATATATTTTGATTTAAAATATTATGCAATAAAAATAAAATAATTCCGAAATGGAGGCTACTCTCTGACGTTATATAAGATGTAAAAAAATGAAAAGTCAAAATAATTAAAAACTACACAAAGCATGGAGAATATGATGTGAAAAAATTACTATGGAGAATGTGCATTGGTAACAGTGCATTTGACACAAACATATGAATAAAACAGAGTTTTTACGTTGTTTAATAGGTGTTTGCTTTAGATTTGTTACACTACCACTTTACGTTCAAGAGAAGTGTCGTAAACACTTTGTGTGTATATTTCAGAACATGTAATTAAGAAACTAAGTCATGTGCGAAGGTGAAGTCAGAAAGGCACGTCACAAATATATATATATATATATATATATATATATATATATATATATATATATATATATATATATATTAATAGTATTTATTATAATAATATATTAAGATTAATTACAATATAATTTAGGATTTAGGATTTTTTTAAAATATTATTTTCAACTTATCTTAATACTATAAAGCTACTAACAATTTACAAATCAAAAACATAAACTCAAAAATACTTTTATCCTATTATATTATAAAATTCAAATTTATCTTTTATTACAAGGATATCAAGTTGTTAAAATGTCTATATTTATTACAGATAACCTCGATACATAAAATAAAATAAAATAAAAAAGACACATCTATTTTAAGTCTCACATGCAAATTTAAAAATAAGAATATGTATTCTTTGTTCATCTCATAAATATAGACTTAAATATTGAAAAATGAGAAATGAGGTTAGAATTTAGGATAAACGGTTGAAATTTTAGAGAAAATGAAAAGAAAAATTAGTTTAATATAAATAAAAAATAAAATAAATTTATTTTTCATTTATAACCTTTTAAAATTAAAAAAATATATTTTATTTGTTATTATTAAAACTCTACGCTTACGAACTTCATTCCATATATTTGTACAAAATTATAGTTCAAATAATTTTGTCAATATTGGAAATAATAATTTTTAATTTTGTTGGTTAAACTCACATTTAAATTTTTAAAACTGTTTTTGTTAAAATAATTTAAAATGACACTTTTGATAAGATGCAAGTTCTAATTGGGTTAAAATCAGATCAAAATTTATGAAATGTTATAAAGAGAATATGATACTTAAGTCAATAGCGAAATAGAAAATATGAGATTATTAAAAATAAAATATATTTTTTATTTTATCAGGTATGCTCATATTTAATTTTTTACAACAAATATAATATTTGTGTTGTTTGAGTTGGGTCCATTAACTAGTGTGACTAATTACAATTTGATTTTCAATGGTTTCAATATTTGTTTGTTTCTTTCATGGTCAAACGAGGCACCTAGTGAGAATTTAACAAACTATGACCTCTTAGCAACTGTGCCGTTGACTTTAGGAATTGGAGAATATTTCGAACACAAACAATAAATGTTAAGAATTTAATTTTGGGTTAGTTTGTGTTTTTTTTTTTTAAATTGTTTGCTTTATGAGTAGATTTCGATTTTTTATATTTGATTTTAAAAATAAGCAGTTTTTTTAAACCTAAAATAACTTTTCTTGAAGTAAGAAAATTTTGAAATAATCAAATCTTAATAATTATATTTTGAAACCGATATTAATGAATATATAAAAATATAATTAATCTCAAACATTTGTAAAGTAACAAATATTATGTTAAAATCATGTCACAAGCCAGGAAGAACTATTTAAGAAAGAAAAAAAAATAGAGCATAAAGTGAAATTAAATTTGATTTTTTTTTAAGTAAAATTTGTAATTTCAGATTTGTGATTAAACATATATATGCTCAAAATTTAGCACGTCGTAATTTAAAAATGTAAAATTATTTTTTTCCTTTATGAAACTGGGTTTAACTATAAAAAAAAAAAAAAATCTAAACCCTCCACACTGATCATTACTGTTTAAATGTCAATGATTTTTTGACGAAAAGCATGCAATGTTAGGCAAGTTGCTTTGAAAAATGGAACGAAACAACCACTTTCTGCGACATGCGGTCCATTGACTAATTACTAATGTGTCACTTTTTCAATAGGTTCCATAATTGAATCTAAGTAAAAAAGGGAACAAAAAAATCAAATAAATAAATAAGGTTGGTGTTTTAATTTTTCAGTTACACCACCATGCATCATACCTAGCACATGATATTTTTGCACTTAACTCTATAAGTATTAAAGTGTTTATGATTAAAAATATTATTTTATTATAGATTTTAAATTTTTAATAATTTTGTAAATAAGATTTGTTTTACATTTAGTTATTTAAGAATAAAGATTAATAGTAATTTATATATATATATAATATTTTTTTAATTTATTGAAATATATTTTAAGAATAAAATAATAAAGAAAAGAAAAATACTTATAAAAGAAGTGATATCTTTAATATTAAAATTCATAACATTCTAGAAATAAGATCTATATTAAAATAATATTTTTTATTAATATAAATACCTCAATTCTTAGAAAAATAAATAAATAAATCAGTATCAAGTTCTTGTGATTCATGATCTTACATCAAATTGGAATTTGCGTCTTTAAGCAAAACTTTCTCTTCCCCCACATAATGACTCAGTTGACAAATTATAGTTTTTCCTTCAATGTTTCGAAAACCGATCATTTAAACTACCGAAGAGAAATATATTGAATTAGGGTTAATAGATCTTGATAACTATGAAAATTATCAACTTAATTAATTGTTAAATCATATTATATTAGCATAACAACCACGTGTATCAAATTTTAATTATATTTAAACATCGATAAATATGTAGTTTAATGTCAGAAGTTTATTCTTATCTTAAATAACATATTATATACATTAAATAAAAAGGATAAGATAAAGTATTGATTCATGTATATACACACACATAGTTGACCTGAATATATATAAGAGGATGATAGTGGATCAAATATAGATTTTTTTTCTTATTAGTACAGTGTAACATTATTTTGATTAAAAGAGATAATATCTAAATAGACTTTTAGTCTTTAATTTAATTTAACTAAACTTTTTATAAGTTATCATTTTTTTAATATTGGTAATTATTCGAAATAATCAACTTAAACACACATTCTCTGGTTTCTAAAACTCTAAAAATAAAAATATATTTTAAATCTGATAATGTAAATAAATAAATATGTTGTCAATCGAGTAAATTTAGTTCGAATTTGATAAATAAATAAATAAATAAAATCCATGAAAACACAATTACCCACGTAATTAAGAATACTTCCACCGAAAAAAGGTTTTTGATAACATTATTGCGACGGGCTTGTTGGCGTTTGGGCTATATATAGAAACTCACACAACATCAAAATGGATTGGACGTGTGTGAAATTTGGGCTTTGCTTGCTTTTTTCACTTCTAAGATTTCTTCATGCACCTCCCATTAAACTGGAATGAATGAGAAAATGATTTTTTACATATTTTTTAGAAAATATTATTCAGAATACATTGAAATCTTTAACATGCTAAGGAAATATGTAGATTTTTCTCCATCCAATGCTCTTGCTCTGACACATTCTATGAGTCTTGACAAAACTTACCTATACAATCAATGCGACCAAAATAGGAAAACGCATTGAAGCTGTAATCTGTACGCAAATCTCAATCACGATATGCACCTTTCTCTAGAGACGTCGATTTCTGCTTCAAAAATATCTGCGAATCCAAGACTCACGCAATGGTTAACTCTGATGACTCTTGGTAACATCTCAGACACAAACAACACAAAAGCCTTTGTAATGGCAATGATAGTGACGTCGATGACACACCCTTTTGGCTCTGAACGGAATGAATGGCCAATTCTGATTGGTGAATCAAAATCTTATCCTTTGCTGCAGTGTGACCCTCCAACAGAATTTGTATGATATAGGGATGGAGGATCCTTTTGCAAGCACCAGAGTTGGCAGAATATGTACAGAATGATCCTTTTCATGTCAAGAGAAAAAAGTTGTTAAGACCAATTTTATGGTCTCACTTGGTTCAGTAAAAACTATGTTCCCTGCAAGATGGGGAATTTATGATGACCACAGACATATAAGTCATCAAGACTTGCAGAGGGTCCTTCTAGCTGTCAAAACGTCTTCTTATGCCCGATACCATGTGCTTCTGCATGGACCACGACCCTCATCTTCTTTACCTTCCCCCACTGAAATCCCAAGAACAATTTTGCTGGAATATACCCAGTGTTTGCCTAGTGCATATCCGTGATCTTTTGTCTTGTCGAAACTATGAAGCATATTTTTTGAATTCGAAGGATGAATGAAAGTCCTACATTGTGTATTAAAAAAGACCAATTATTTAAAATAGTACTCCTCTTATTGTATCATACACGTATAATAATTGATTCGTGTATTGTATTGTATATATGCATCATAGATGAAATTAGAGCATGAGAAGATTAGAAGAAGATCCTGTTTTTCTTATCCATAGCAGAAGACACTTGTTGTTGTTATCCGGCAGAAAAAGTTGACATTCACATGCCCAACTTAGCTCAAAATATGTTCTTTCCACGTACAACACAGGTAAGAAAAATCTATCCACACACACATGTTTAACCTATTGAAAGGCGATGGTGAATATATGCAGTTACCCTACCACTCACATATATAGTAGAGCTAAACCCCCCACCTTATATCCACTCTGATAAGACACAAAAATCAACAACGATGAAGGTGATTCTAACCATCTTCTTCATTTTATCCCTCCTCTCTCTCTCCCACGCTTCTGTGGTAGATTTCTGTGTGGCAGATTACACAGCTCCCAATGGCCCTGCAGGGTACTCATGCAAGAAGCCTGCAAAGGTAACAGTGGATGACTTTGTCTACTCTGGCCTTGGCACTGCTGGCAACACCTCAAACATCATCAAAGCTGCAGTGACTCCAGCATTTGATGCCCAATACCCTGGTGTCAATGGACTTGGCATTTCCGTTGCACGTTTGGACTTGGCATCTGGTGGGGTTATCCCACTCCACACGCACCCTGGAGCCTCAGAACTTTTGGTTGTGGTGGAGGGTCAAATCTGTGCTGGATTTGTTGATTCCGGCAACAACGTGTATCTCAAAACCCTAGAAAAAGGTGATGTCATGGTGTTCCCTCAGGGCTTGTTGCACTTCCAAATCAACTCTGGTAAGTCTCCGGCTTTGGCTTTTGTGAGTTTCAGCAGTGCCAACCCTGGCCTCCAGATTCTCGACTTTGCTTTGTTCAAGAGTGACTTCCCCACTGAACTCATCACCCAAACCACTTTCATTGACGCTGCAGTGGTCAAGAAGCTGAAGAGTGTTCTTGGAGGGTCAGGTTAAATTGAAGTGTTAACGGTTTATCCATGAAAAAATATATGAGTATGTGGTCGAAAAGTTGTGTCAATTTTGTCAAATTTAATTATTTGTGTGGTTTTCGTTTTGGTTCTAGTGTGTGTGCATGCATGTAAAGGCATGATGTTCTTCTTCTTCTGTAGTAGGTTTTGTTAACAGAACCCGCAGTGATATTTGGTCTTGGTTATGTTGTTTATTTCTTCATGTTGTCAAGTCAAGTAATTAAGTTTCTCTTAGAGGCTGATGACTACCCACACTTCAGAAATTCCTGCTACAAGTTGAATGAATGCATGCTAAAATGATAAAATGTACATTTTGATTTATTATTATATTATATTTATTAGGTAATTTCATTACATTATAACAATAATAAAATTTACATTTTGATTTATTATTATATTATATATTTATTAAGTAATTTCATTTATAATGAATGTTAAATTAAAATATAGATGACGACATTTAAGTTGAAATATCACTATATCTCATTAAAATGTTATAAAAATATATATTATCAAATATACCAAATTATATATATATATTATAATAAATATAGTTTATTAATTTTTTTTATTAATAACACATTTTTGTGAGTGTAATTGTAGTAGTAATAAAAATTTATCATATCTTATTTAAAAATAATATACCAAATATTAGTTTATCGATAATTATCTACTATTATTCTTATAAATTTTTTTATCTAAACAGTTATTTATAAATTTTTGATGGATTATTCCTTGAATACTTACTTGCATAAATTTTATATGATAATATATGTATAAAACTGTTTATCATTAAGCGCTTTAAAATCCTACAACATTAATTTTATCATGAAAGTTAAGAATAACCAAAGTATTTTTTTAAATGCATTTAATCATACTTAAAATACATTGAACAACATGGTTAAAAATAAAATAATAAATTTGAATGAATCATAAAAATCAAGATTGACAAGGTTATTATGAGAATAATCTTGGTTGTGTTATTGTGCTGTTGTTGTTGATATTTAGTTTGTTGAACAAAGTTTTGTGCATGGAATAGTAAGAACTTGAGGACAACACCATTGAAACTTAATACTTAACCATTCATTATGTAATATTCTCAAAATAATTAACTAAAATAAGCATACACTTTTCTCGATGTTAATTATGAAAAAGAAATAGTAAAATTACATTTTTGTGACATTAATACCCAAAATGTAATCATATACTCCATTCTATATATTTTTTTAATATTTACAGTACATATAAATAGAACAATATTACACACAAAAAAATACTTAAATTTTATGACAAATAAAAAGGAAAATCATATTCTACTTAGAAAAAAGATATAGAAGAGACAAGAATACACAATGATAATCAACATAGAGAAGGGGTAAGTTCTAAGTTGTATATTTTGTTTTTATAAAACTATGATGAAAAATCATATGAATTTTAAACTAATTAATTAATTATAGATCATGCTTGAATTTTGAAACAATATGCTAGGTAGAGCCTTAAATAATATATCCTATTTAATAAAACTATAGTTTTGATGTCATCGTATAGCATGCATCATTAGTCACTAAAAAAGAAGTGGACATTATACTAACAAGAATTGCAATTTAAGTTAACATTTCAGTCACAAACAACATAAATTAACATGCATTAGTCACTAAAAAAAGAAGTGAACATTATACTAAAATAAATTGCAATTTAAATAACATTGCAGTCATAAAAACATAAATTAGCATGCATTAGTCACTAAAAAAAGTGAAGATTATACTAAAAAAATTGCAATTTAAGTTAACATTTCAGTCACAAACAACATAAATTAACATGCATTAGTCACTAAAAAAAGAAGTGAACATTATACTAAAATAAATTGCAATTGCAGTCATAAAAACATAAATTAGCATGCATTAGTTACTAAAAAAAGTGAAGATTATACTACAAAAATTGCAATTTAAGTTAACATTTCAGTCACAAACAACATAAATTAACATGCATTAGTCACTAAAAAAAGAAGTGAACATTATACTAAAATAAATTGCAATTTAAATAACATTGCAGTCATAAAAACATAAATTAGCATGCATTAGTAACTAAAAAAAGTGAAGATTATACTAAAAAAATTACAATTTAAGTTAACATTTCAGTCACAAACAACATAAATTAACATGAATTAGTCACTAAAACAAGAAGTGAACATTATACTAAAATAAAATTGTAATTTAAGTAACATTTCAGTCATAAAAACATATATTAGCATGCATTAGTCACTAAAAAAAGTGAAGATTATACTAAAAAAATTACAATTTCAATTAAATTTCAGTCACAAACAACATAAATTAACATGCATTAGTCACTAAAACAAGAAGTGAACATTATTACAATTTAAGTAACATTTCAGTCACAAGAACATAAATTAGCATGCATTAGTCACTAAAAGAAGAAGTGAACATTATATTTTAAAAAAATTGCAATTTAAGTTAACATTTCAATCACAAACAACATAAATTGACTAGATTAGCGATCAAATTTGCGACCCATTTTTGTGGTAGCAAAAGCAATTACAAATCCTTTAAACACAAATTAGATGTGAATTTTAGTTGTGAAAACAAGTGACTAATTGGATGATAAAACTGAAATCAATAGGGCATAATTGTTTGATAGCTAAATGTTTAATTTATTTTGAAAAATAATCATTTTTAGTCGCAAATATTATAACATATATATTAAATATACTTTCATACTTTATAATTATAAACACTAAATTTTAAATCACAACACTATCAATTTGAAGTCACAATAAATAGTGATAAACTTCGAAAAGGTAAAATAAACATTAAAAATGGTTAAAGTTTTAAATATTCAAAGTCTTACCCTAAAAAAAGACATACTCATTAATGATCTTCTATTACTATGATTTGACATAAAAGACTTAATCTATACTAGGACTTAACATAGAGGACTTAATCTAAAAATATGTTTTAATACAAAGATTTGAATATTAAATTAGATAACATAATGAAAATCAAATTAAAAAAGAAGGCACATAATTTTTCATAAGTAATCACAACAAATTTTATGTGTAAAGTAAAACTATAGTATCATGAATGATCTCATTCCATTTAATACCTATAAATTATAGATATAGTACTATATATAAAGTTGGCATCAAGCTGTAAATGATTGGATGCCAGAGAACCTTCAACATGATTTTGACAATTATATTTTGCCAAAAAAAATAACATAAAAACAAGGCATTGCATTTTTAAAATTAAGAAGTTATTAATTAAGAAACTTGTCAAAGACATTTAAAAATTACTTCGTTTCTTTTTCCTTCTAGCATGTGCATAATTCAAGTATGTGTATATATATATATATATATATATATATATATATATATATATATAATATTTCCATTTATATACTAAAAAATAAAATATATATTTAACATTTTACAAAAAAAAATTAGGGCAATATATTTGGAAGAGAAAGTTTCAAACTTGAACCCAGCATTAAACCAAAAAAAGGGACACCACCCCAACCATAGAATTTTGAGAAGGAATAAAGAAGGATATCTCATTTTAATACTTCCATTCACCATTAATTTGATGCCTAAATTAATGTAGAACTGTTATAATAATATCCATTCATGGAACTCTTAAAATTGTAAGAAGCAAAAAAGGAAAAAATACAAAAAGAGGATAAGAATATATGCCAAAAATAAAAAGGGGTGAGAAAAAGGTAGAAAATTAGGAGAAAAAAAGAAGAGCATGAGGCAGAGCCAGCCAGGTAAGCATGATGCAGGTTGGCAAATGGAGTTTTTGGGTTTCTCTCTCCATTTTTGGGGAAGAGAGAGAGAGAGAAACGGAGGAAATGACAGACTGGCAATAGGGAGGGTAAGCATTCTCTGTCTCTCTGTCTATATATATGAACTTGTTTTACTTATTCTTCAAAGTCTTGTGTTTGTAACTGTGATAGGACGACCCTTTGGTATTTCGATCTTCAAGAAAAAGAGACGCTTGGGATTGAGTCACCATGAGTCTCTTCGGTCTTGGAAACAGGTTCTTCATTTCAATTCATCTCCTTCTTCTGCTTCATCTTTTAAATTTGGATTTTTTTTTAATTGTCTTTTAATGTTTTCTCGTTTTACCCTTTTGAGGATGAACTGGGATTTTGATTTTGAGGCTGCCCTGGATTCGTTTTAAGATGTGTTTTTATCCCCTTTGTTTGATCTTAGTGTTTTCTTAATCTGTTTTTTCATAAATTGTTTTTTCTGTTCTGTTAAATGGGATTGTTGATCATTTGATATACAAAACTACATCAGACATCATTCGTGACCTGTGTTGGTAGTATGGCTATGGATTTTTTATGCTTTAATTTGATTATTGCTTTTATTATATTATAGCAATGGGAATGTCTCATTCTGAAGCTGATAATAGGAATGATCTAGTGATTCAGGACAGAGAATTCAAATAGACATCTAAATAATGTAATAAGGGATGTTTGGATCAGTGGATGGGGGAGGATGAAAAATATAATCTCCTAATGTTGGGGGAGAGGCAAATGTTTTAAAATGGATGTGATATTACTAGGTTTTGTCATGGCAAAAATTAAATTTGGGGCTTTTATGGATACTATGATACCAAATAAAAAAAATGTTGATGATGAATACTATGCCATCAAAAATTATTTGTGGTATCAAACACTTCACAACTTAAATACTGGCATGTGAAATGGGACATAGAAACCACGTTTCTTGACTTCCATTAGGATGTAAATCTGCCTTGAAAAGTAATTGTTTCAAAACATTCACGAAATTCGAATCCCTACGTATTTATTGGGCATAGATAATTTGTTGAAACAATTATTATCCAAATTACTCTAATCTGCAATTTTTTTCGTGCAACTTTCTCTTCAATTAAAATGATTGTCTGTTTTATTAATCTCTCTTTCATTTTCTTCTAGTATAATTTTGTTTTGTTTCTGTCTATGACTACTCATGTAATCAACTTTGATCCATGCAGAAACCAAAAAACATTTCGTCCAAAAAAGAGTGCCCCATCGGGAAGTAAGGTTGGTACTTTCACTTGTGGAATGGTTAATGGATTCTTTTCTATTTTTTTCTTTATGGTTTATATTCAACCAATTGAGCCTTGTATGCATTTTGATTATAAAATGCAGGGTGCTCAACTTCAAAAACACATCGATGCCACATTGGGTAGTGGGAACTTGAGGGAAGCTGTTAAACTGCCTCCTGGTGAAGATATTAATGAGTGGCTAGCTGTAAACAGTAAGAATCTTTAATATTTAGCTTTTGACAAATAGTGCTATAGTTTCCAACAATAAATTGTGTTCTTCCCTTCCCTGTTTCTCTTCCATATTCTCGAGACTTATTTTCTTAACCTCTTCTATATTATTGACAATGCTTGGTATTTTATTTATGCATAGCGTGCTAACTTTTAGTCAGTGGTGATTACAAAATTTTGCATATTGTTATTTATATTTTTGTTTTTATGTGCAGCTGTTGATTTCTTTAATCAAGTGAATATCCTGTTTGGTACACTTACAGAATTCTGCACGCCAAATAACTGCCCTACAATGTCCGCAGGACCCAAGTATTTTTTTTATCCTTCAACCAACTCTTAATTTACATACCTAGTATTGTTACATAGTATGTGTATCTTTTCTCTTTTTGGCTTGTCTGCACTTTATTTATAGCAATTGACTTAAGGAACTTGTACCTTCTAATTATATGGGTTATCTTAAGATGTGGATTTGGTAAATATGTACAACTTTCTGTAGCTTTTGAATGTTTGAGAAATGGGTTATGTCATAAATTTAACTGCTATGAACTTGAGGCAGAGTGGGTGATTCTGGTCTTGAATGTGCTGTTTGTATAGCTAAATATATATTTTCTAAGATGATTTATGGAGCTATATGTAGCACCCTTTTTCACATTTTCTATTCCATTTTTCCTTAACTTTTTCATTGTCCAGTTAGTCAATTATCCATTTCATATTCTTAAATGGAGAATCTAAATCATTGTAAACAAGTTATACATATATGAGACAAGTACTGAACATATTACTTATCAAACCTACAGGTATGAGTATCGGTGGGCTGATGGTATTACTATAAAGAAACCAATAGAGGTGTCTGCTCCAAAATATGTTGAGTATTTGATGGACTGGATTGAATCTCAATTAGACGATGAAACAATTTTCCCTCAAAGATTGGGTATGTTTGACATACTGATGAAGCCAAGTGGTCCAGTTAGCTGAATTTTCTGGTCTGTTATTAGCTAACTGTATGCACCATAACACACTTTCTATCAATTTCTGTAGGGGCTCCCTTTCCATCCAATTTCCGAGATGTTGTCAAGACAATTTTCAAACGATTATTCCGTGTATATGCTCACATTTACCATTCACATTTTCAGAAGATAGTGAGCTTGAAAGAAGAAGCTCACCTTAATACTTGCTTCAAGCATTTTGTTTTATTTACTTGGGTAAGTGTGATACAAAGTTAGAGCAAAACTCACTAATGCATTTGTTTCTTCCTGTTTTGGTTTTGTTGTGTGGCCTTGTGACTTAGACTTTTATTGAAATGGCCTATAACCTTTCTATTTTCCTGATGAATTTTCTGACTGATATGGTGTTTTGTATTGCAGGAATTCCGTTTGATCGACAAAGCAGAGTTGGCACCTCTTGAGGACCTTGTTGAATCTATTATTCAGTTATAGGGTCGTTGATGTTTTCTTCCCTTATTTTTTGGGGAGGTTTAAACACTGGAATGTTGGCCACAATTTTGTGCCATTGTAAAATACTTGCTAAATGAAAAGTCTTCATCAATGTATTAGTCTCTACATTGTTGTTATTATTTCTACATAAATAGTAACCACCGTGTGAATCAAACAAAATCTCCTTCTGCTGCAAGGAAAAGAATGTCCTGCAGAAGTTTCAAAAGTTCTTTATTTTCTTCCTTCCCACTATTATCCATATTATATTATCTATACTATATATATATATAAAAAGAGTTTTTCCTTCTATATCTGCTTTTTTGCCATCGTTTTTAACATCATACATTTAAATAATAGTAGAAAAAAAATACTAATATATTATTTGTAATGAATAGACAAAAAAAAAAAAAAACAGAGACGAGGGACATAAAAAAAATGGAGAGAAAAAAATAAAATGAAATTTAAAATTTAAAATAAATTAATAAAAAATTGGAGAGATATAAGTATTTTTAATGCATGTATTTTTACTATTATTAATAACAATAATAAGAAAGTATTTGAAAGAAAAGTCTTTTTAAATGAAGAGTTTCATATAGGGTTTAAAATACTTTACATGACAAAAATATATTGTTTAGCCATAAAATTTTAAAAGAAATTGACATTCTAAAATTTTTTAAAAATAATTTGACTAACTATCATTATTGAATTTTATATTTACTCTTTTACTCTAAAAAGTAATTAGATCGAAGTTAAATATTATTTAATATTAAAATAAATTTTTGCATTTGATGATAATTAAAATATTTTATAAAAAACAAATTAATTATAAATTTTATTTATCTTATAAAAATAAATCATTTGAAAAATGAATAGAATTAATGTATTTTCATTTTTTTTAAAATTGTAAAACTCTCATGCCAAATACATGTTAATAGAATATTATTTTTAAGGATAAAACTTTGATGTGGTATATTGTGTTTAGTAATAGATATCAACATTTAAATCAATTTTTATTATTAAGATTATGGAAGTAAATCTTTAAATTTAAGTTTTCTCTTATAAATTATAAATTTCTAAACTAACAAGCAATTGGAACTTTTATCCGCCAAGGTAAAAATAGCATTAATATTTAATTTATTTGTTGAATACATTTTTATCCAATTTAATTTTTAGAAATTTGTATGAATATATTTTTTTTCTTCATTCTTATCAAGATATATATTAATATACCAAAATTTATGAAGAAAAACTAAATTGAGTCATAAAGAAGTTATATGATTAATTCTCAAATTTTATATTTTATGAAGAATAAGATAAACCTTTAAATTTAGTTTTTTTTAAAGAAATGAGTTAAATTGAAAAAAAAAATCTTTTTGTTAAGTTGAACCTAATTTAGTTGGTATCAATTGAAACACTTTTATTTTTAAACGGAATATTGAAGTTCATCATAGGGTCGAGAATAGAGTCTTATTTCACTTGTGCGTACCTTTATTCTCGATCGAAACTTATGTTCAGTTACGTTCACAAGTTCCATATTACTCAGAAGTCGGGATTAATAATAGTTTATATTCATCATCTCTTTTTAACCCACTAAACACCTTTTAATGATAAAACCATCACCGATAAAAATTTTAAAACAGACCATAACGGTGAGAATTAACCTAAAAGTGACATATTTTGAGAAATCTATTAAATATAAGTTCTCAATATATTTAAAATGCAATTTCTGAAAAGAAGAAGATACATGACAAAGGCACGTGTGTTCTTATATTATACAATTTCTTAATATTCAAATTATCTTTTCTTTAGGTTTTTATTTTATTTTTTCCCTCCAGAATAAATAGTTATGGATATAATAAGAAGAAAATATTTTATTCTTTATTGATATTGTAAAACTACAACCAATCAAAATGTAACAGTTTTTTATGCTAAAAACATCAAGCAAGATGAAACTGAAAAAGCCCCACAATAGAGATGTATTTCAAACTTTAAATATTACATTTTTTTAATAAAGACTTGTCATTTAAAAGATTAATGTTATATTCTCTTACAAATTCTATTACTACCATAAGAAAAGTATATGTAAAAGTAAATTAATTTTAAGGTTTCATGAATATATAAATTGCATAAAAAACTCATAATACAATGAAAATAGGAGGATTAGTAAGAAGATATAAAATTATTCTATCTACAATGGAAGAAATAGTTAATAAGAAGGATAAAAAAATTAGACTCAATTGTGATAGAACCATTAACACCTAAAAACTACTACTAGCTTTTGTTCTACAACAACTGGTTCAGTGAGAAAATGTGACTTTTAAAGCAGCCAAGTTGTATCAAAGACTCTATCATTAGCAGACAATATCTGTTAAAGGGGTGATCAAAATGAGCAACATTAATGTCTTTGAACACCTGCTTAAAAGAATTGCTAATGCACAAAACCAAAAATTTTGTATTATTGAATAATGAACCACACCAAATACAGCTTTTCATTAGAAGTGTGACTAAGGATGAGGTTTTACCCTCAAGGTACTGAATGTAATGTTTCATGTGTTGTAAATGGTATACAGTATGCTTGACCTGCCCCAGCTTGATCCTTCAACTCGAAATGCAGCACCTGGGTAGCTCAGTTCTTAACAATCTTTCTTGGCCCCATGTAAGCATGTCCACCTTTTCAAGCACACAAGTGTTGAAAATAGCATGCAGCATGCCCCAATACATAGCAGTTGTCAAATAACCACGCTTTTGAACAATCACATTCTCAACTTCCCAAGACAGAAGTATTGGAAATAACATAGGACAGGCACAATGCTCAGTATATGCAATGCAACCCTCATCATGGCATCGTATGAAAGACAACCTACTGTGAGGTCTCTAATCTTGTTTCACATATACATCCTGGCAGAGGATTTGCATAAAAACTTTCCTCTAGCTTAGGAAATTCTCCACGCTCCCTAGGATATGGAGCACCATTTCGGTCTTCGTGAAGCCTTTTTACCTTGGAGCTGAACTTCTTCCAAGAAATTTTTCCTTCATCCAACTTATCAAGGAGTTTAACAAAATTTACCCTGCACCAACCATCAAAATCAGCAATAGTTTCACATTTCAGTAGTAATGTAAATATGACGAAACAATCAAGCTAGAAGTAATGCAGAAGAATGGGTGAAGAATATGTTACTTGTCTGGATTGATGGTCTTCTTGAAGTTTTCAAAGCGCCTATGACCTTGTACAGCCTTTGCCATATTTCCATCATAAGTATAGAGAAATATATCACTCTGAAGTGCAACAATATAGTCTATACCAGCTAACATGTTCTGGTGATTCTTATAAGGATTCAACTCTTCTTCGGAAGACAGAGAGGAATGAGAGAAAATGTTGGGGAAATCATCCTCAAGGTATTTCATACTTCCTCTACCATATGATTCACCAGCTACCAGATAAATCCTAGTTTCTGATGGAAAACCCAGTGCTCTAAGCAATAGGGAAGTTTCCCTAGGAGTTAATGGACAACCTCCACTCAATCTCCTCTCAGTCCCATTAATCTCCTTCTCCTTCCAGTGACCAACTTCATATCGCATCTGTCGTAGTTCTTCATCTTCCTCTGCAGTCAAATTGTGACTGCAGCCTGTAAATGCAAGCATATCCTTCTCATACCTGTTAAAAAAGGAGACAGATATCTGATTTAAAGAAAATTATTAATTCAAAACTTCTAGACAGGAGCGAAAAAATATAGTTTATCCGTTTAGATAAACTGAAACTAGCCTAATGACTCGTAAGTCTTAGGGTCTTACACCACCAGATAACTACTTAAAGGGTAGGATTCAACCTGACCGATAAATGATAAATGAATATTTTATGATCAAGTTATCCTCAAAGGAACTTGGTGGTGATTGAGCTATGTATTTGTAGATCGAAGCAGAAAATCATCATACTCATAATTAGCCCTTCATTGTTAAGAATACAGACGTACTCAAACACAAATGAAATTGAGCAAAATGAAAAAGTAAAACGGAAGAAAGTTGAGTAGAGCAGAAGATCCACTCTTCACATTGTACTAAAATATTAGAGTTGCAACTTGCCTCAAATGAAGTGCAAGATAAGGATTTTCATTCTGTCGCATTCTGGATATTAATTTGTTACCAAATTCTTCAATTGGAGCTGAATATTTCAATGCTCTATAATTTACACGACATCTTAGTTTTTGTATGGAGCTTGGAATTCCATTATTAGCAAGCCTAGAATCAGTATGGGTGAAATAGATCACTTTGTGCTGCTTTAGGAGGGAAAGAACCTCAGTCTTGTAATAACTTACCTGTGAACAATGATGTAAATTTATCGACTGTCACTGAAACATTATTGAAAACCGACATGAAAATTGTAATTATATTATACAAAGAAACTGAATCAACATGAATGGCAAATATGTCTCTGTAACAAGTCCCACATTGGGGAGGTCTCCTTACCAGGGAGGCCTTATAAGGTAGGAGGTTCTCCAACCTCTTGAGCTAGCTTTTGAGGGATGGTTCCCCTCTTAGCCTTATGGTTGTTACAATGGTGCTTTCATTGAGAGCCAGCCAACTCGAGAAGGGCTACCCACGGAGGGTTCTGACCGGTAAGAAGGCCGAGTGAAGTGCCAATGAGTGAAGTGTCGTGGAGTGCAGCCATCGAGGACGCTGGCTTACGAACGGGGTGGTATTGTAACAATGGTGCTTTCATTGAGAGCCAGCCAACTCGAGAAGGGCTACCCACGGAGGGTTCTGACCGGTAAGAAGGCCGAGTGAAGTGCCAATGAGTGAAGTGTCGTGGAGTGCAGCCATCGAGGACGCTGGCTTACGAACGGGGTGGTATTGTAACAAGTCCCACATTGGGGAGGTCTCCTTACCAGGGAGGCCTTATAAGGTAGGAGGTTCTCCAACCTCTTGAGCTAGCTTTTGAGGGATGGTTCCCCTCTTAGCCTTATGGTTGTTACAATGGTGCTTTCATTGAGAGGGTATTGTAACAAGTCCCACATTGGGGAGGTCTCCTTACCAGGGAGGCCTTACCAGGGGGGTAACGATTGGTTTCTCATTTTTCTCTCTCTGGACCTTTTCTCTCTGAACTTTTTCTCTTTGGCATTTTCATTCATACGTGTTGATCATTCTCTGTAATTCTCTTACCACCATGAGTATTTTCTGAGTTTTAATAATACTGCTGCAGAGAATTACTTTCCGTTATCGTATTTTGTTTTCATCCGTTACAAAATGGTGCTTTCGTTGAGAGCCAGCCAACTCGAGAAGGGCTACCCACGGAGGGTTCTGACCGCCGGAGGGTTCTGACCACTGGAGGGTTCTGACCGGTAAGAAGGCCGAGTGAAGTGCCAATGAGTGAAGTGCCGGTGAGTGAAGTGTCGTGGAGTGCAGCCATCGAGGACGCTGGCTTACGAACGGGGTGGTATTGTAACAAGTCCCACATTGGGGAGGTCTCCTTACCAGGGAGGCCTTATAAGGTAGGAGGTTCTCCAACCTCTTGAGCTAGCTTTTGAGGGATGGTTCCCCTCTTAGCCTTATGGTTGTTACAGTCTCTCATTTTGATATAAATTTCAACTGGCTACTAAAAACGATCATCCGGGTTGCTTGCCTTCCACAAGACTACAACAAATCAATTAACCAAACATATCATTCTAAATTCAAGAAGTAATCAATATAGACAATTTATGTTGACCTTAGACCAAGATGTTGGAGTTTTTGAGAAAGGTTCAATTTCAGCATAAGCAGGTGGTAATGTCTCAACTACGTGGATATCATCCTTCAGTGTCTCAATAAAATGTTTCCAGTCAAACAAATCCTTGAAACCACTGCAAACATATGAAAACAAATTAACTACAAAGTATTAAATGTTGAATCTTATTTGCAACTTAAAACATCATCTGAGACAATTATCAAATTTAAAAATTTTAGCTGATGGAAAATATTAATTGGGGAAGTGAAGAAGGAGAGATTCAAAGGACTAACTAGATCTAACCCATCTCGACTTTTTCTATTTAAGGCAGAACTTGGTTTTAAGATTGCAATTGATGGCACACTTCTAAAAAATGTTAGCATAATGCGTAAATTTATCCCTACTTCACTTCTTACAGCAATTAGATAATCTTCATTTCTTTTATGTGCTATGCCTCGATTTGGACAAGTCTAACACTACACAAATCAGAATCTATTGAAAACTGAATGAAGTTTGGTTTTGCAAGAAACAAGGGTATAGTGCATACACTAATCGGACCAATTTTCCAATATCAGGTAAAGATAAACCAACCTTGCATCACCCCAGTAAGAAGTGTGATCAAGAGAAGGAAGAACAAGTGTTGCCTTCATAATCTTAGCAACAGCAACCATATCACATATCTGCACTCAAAATATATTGACATGTTAGATTATGTTGCTGCCTGCCTAACTTTGTCAAATATTTCACTAGAAACCAACACATCCAGACCCCAAATCTCATTTGATTCAGGCCACCATTAGCATTTACAAGAATGTAGCCATTGGTTTTTGCATCTAGCTCTGCAAAACAGAATGTTAGAAGTTAAAAGAGAAAAATCTGGGAAAATGAATAGGAGAAAGGAGTATACTTGATAATCAAATTACACACTGTTATGATTTCTTGGCAGCTCTATACATTGGGTGAAATTCTCATAGTTGGGATTAGACCAGATTCCTGATTCCTGAACAAAAAAAGGAAATGTTGATAAATGGAACAGGAAAAAGTACATCTGTGAATTTATGCACCAAAAAATCACCATGTGATGTTTATTCCAAATACCTTGTAATTTTATTTGACAACCTAACATAATTAACTGAACATAACACACCTGAAAACATAATGAGATATAGATTAGAGGCTTACTTCAGCCATGCCTACCTGGCTGTCAACCACTCCAGTAGTTACCATCTTCAGAATTCGTTCAGCCTCACTTGCTCCCTCCCTATATGCATAACCATGGGAGCTTTGATCCATTAGATTTCGACTAGTAATGGAGTCAGATAGTTCCTGATAAAAGGGTAAACTAATATACTTAGTGTGATCTATCATATTCTCAGTCTAACTACCTAATCTTTAAAATTTAGGTGACAGCTCAATTATTGTTCTTTATGTGTTTTTATGTTGTTTTTCTCTCAAAATTGAAGTTTCATTCAATAATTTATTTAATAAAGGTTTAAATTAAGCATTGGCAAAGGCAATCATCATGATGAAATTGATTATCATTGAAGACCAATACTAGAAGCACTCAAGAACTACACTATTTAAGTATTGATGTAGTTAACCTACTAAATAAGCATATATTATCATCAAAGTGGAATTAATCATTGAAGCAATTAAGAAATGCATTAAAAACACTTAATAAATGCATCATTGGAGTTTCATTTCAATAACTATACAATAAATGTTTAATTTAAACATTAATATATGTTATCATCAAAGTGAAATTGTAATTCTGATGGAAAAACAAAACTACAAAGCTAAAAGATCTGCCAGTAAGTTTTGTCCTCGGTCTCTACAAATTGGTGAAAAATCTATCATTACATCAACAAACAGCATCACACGAAAAACGAAAACAAAAGACTTCCAATGATAGTTCTTCCTCCCAACAAATGATTAAATGGTAAGCATCATCAACTTCATCACATCATAATAAGATTAAGGCGTGGCATAACTAGAACCTGAAGTGATCCACGTGTACTGCGTACTGAAGATCGGAACCACCAGGCAGTTGCACAAAGCTTGAGAAGACCCAGAAACAAACATACCCCACAGAAGAGAAAGAACACCCAATGCCCAAACTTGTTCCTTTTCTCCTTGTGGCCCACGTGATGATTGTGATGATGGTGAAGATTACTCCTTTTCAAAACAGACCCTTCAGCAGGAACCAAGGGAGATCTGGGTGAGTTGATTTGAAGCTCTATTTCATTATTGTTGTTGCTGCGTTTGAATGAGTGGGCTCTGCGAGTCATGGAACTGGAGTAACGCGGACTGTTAACTCGGTGTGGAGCGCCATCCACGGCGGCGGTGCTGCTATTGTGCGCCATATTATTACTATTCACATATAAAGCTTTTTTTTATGCTGCCACTTATTAAAGTTGCAGTGAATGATTGTATTGTAGATCTATGAATTCCAAATTTTTTTTTTGGTTCTTTAGGCTTCTCTGAACCTGAAGTATGCGGCGCTTGGTCAAGTCTGTATGGGTTACAGTCACCTAGTATCTGTCTTCTTCTACTTCTCTTGAAGACGAAAAAAAAAAAAAAAAGACAAAACAATGAAAATTTGCAATTTCTTTTTGAGATTGTATTCATAATAACAATAATTATGATTTATAATTATGTGGTTAGTGATAATTACTCGAAAAATTTAATCACATTCAGATTGTGAAGATGCATACATGCTGAAATACTTAGAGAACCTCTCCCAGGAGCAAGATAACAGCAAACAATTTCTGAGTTTTTTGTTTTGTTTTAAATGTTAGAGTATATGATATACTCATAGTATTATTTTTTCAAATAAAAAATTATTTTTGTAAAACATTAAATTTATTAAAAGTGTAAATATAATAATAATTATAAATTATATTTTCTACTATATATATATATATATATATAATAAAAGTATTTGTGATATTGAAAATTTTTATCACTTTTTTCTGTATTTTTAATTTCAATGTTTTATTTGTGATATTGAGTTTAAAAAATAATTCTTTCTTAATATCATTTTAAATTTCAAAAAAATATTAATTATTTTTGTCAACTATACTTTTATTATTCTTTTTAATCCATTAATATAAGTAAGTCTTGTAAGAAATATGAATTAATTTCAAACACACTTCAATTAAGTCAAAATAAATTAAGTTGTGTATTCGAAACTTCAAACCCACTCAATTAAGTCAAAATAAACAATTTCAAAATTTATAGATAAATATGAATACAATTACATAAATTATAAAACATAATTTTTTGGTTAAATATTGAGTACAAAATTATCATTTTTAAATTTTATATTAAAATAAGTGATTACACTTCAATAATAAAAAATCATTTTTATTATAACTCTTGATGTCTCAAAAGTAATATTAAAAATAAATTGTGTGAAGATATTATGGAATAATATACAAAATTTTAAAAATAAAATGTGTTCTACATTCTTTTTTCTTTGCTTCTTTTGCTTTCATTCTAACACTAATGGTCTGGTGTGAATTTTTTTCTGATCAAAATGTCCATTTTGTCCCCTATAAAATCATGGTGAATCATTACAGATTGAGTTGAAAAAGACTTTTTTCTTTTTTTAATTCATAAATTTGTTATACAGGTGTCTTCATTCTAAAATGAGTTTTTAAAAATATAAATATATTTAATAAATAGAAAATAATCAAAAAATTTGTGCAACAGTGGACTAAATATTTAAATAAAATAAAATAAATTTCAAATACACACATAAGACAAATTCTAGACTTCAATTTTTCTTTAAACTTCTAAACTTAAATCAAGGCAATAGCCAAAATTGATTTAGGCACAAAAATGAATGAAAATGTAGAACTTTAACTCCTGAAATGATAGTATTAAGAACAGTAATTTTAAAACTAGAATTTAAATAATTAAAACTGAAAAATGATTATAATAATTTTATATTTTAATTTTAATAAATATAATTTTTCTCTCGCTAAAACCGTAGTATTATCGTAAACACTTAAAATTTAAAACTTTCTTATATTTTAAAATAGAAACTAATAAATGAATCTCGTATTGGAACTGAAGAGACAACATTTATTAACGTATTCCATATAAAAAGTAGATAATTTATATATATACTCTTTGTCAGTTAAATCACTCTACGTCACATTGACGTCATCTTAACTAAAAAAGTCAAGATTATTTACTCTTCACTTTAATGAAGTAGATTAAAATAAAAAGAGAGGACTCTTATAATGTAAAGAAATTATGTTTATTTTTTTTATCAGTAAAAAGATAATATAGAAAGTAATAAAAATTATGAAATTGAAATAAAAAAAAAGAGATTAATTATAATTTTGTAATTAAAATAAAAAAAGGGTTGGCGGGAGAATTTATTGTGAAATCTAGGGACGAAGTGTATTTGAGAAGTTTCTCAATAGTCTTCTCTCTCATCAATATCCCAAGTTCTCGTCTTCTTGCATAATAAATACACTCTCTTTCTCTCTCACACACACCATTTTCCCTCCAAGTCTCTTCCCTTTTCCCCTTCTCTTCCTGCTTCAACTATTCTCTCTCGGTCTCATTTCCACATATTTTTCAGCCACATCATTTCCATTTCCAAACCCTATTATAGTATTTAGTGTTTCTTCTTCATCTTCCTTATCAAAATGGTTCAATCCAAAACCACTCCTAAACCCAATGCCATTCACCCCCTCACTCCCGCCCAAACCCGCGAACCTTCCTCTCTTTCCCCGTCACCCCCTCTCCGCCGTCGCAGCCTCCGTCTTGCCTCCGTCTCCTGCTCCTCCATCCCCGCAATCCCCGATCCCGCTGTTAGGGTTTCTGCCACCAACAGCAACCCAACTGGTCAGACCTTCCTTAACTTAAGATCAGGAAAGAAGGTTCTCAAGAGAGCGATGACAGATGATGCAGCAGAGGAGCAAGGTAATAAAGCAAACTTTGGTGCTGATGATGTTGCGGTGACAGTGCATGCCAATGTCATAGCAGGAGTATCCAAAACGGAAAACTCAGCCGTCAATGTCAATATTGTAGCAGATGATTCTGACTGTAGGGTTTCTACCCGGAAACGCAAGAGTGACTCAACTGTTTCTCATCCCAAGGAGTGTCTCAACTTAAGATCGAAAAAGAAGGCGCTCAAGAGAACTGTGACTGGTTCAGAAGAACAAGTCAATGATGTAGATGGTGAAAAGAAGATTATTAAGAGAACAGTGACTAAATATTCAGAAGAACAAGTTAATGATGCAGATGAAGATGACGGTGATGTGGAAGTGGGGGTTGATGGAGAAGTGACCATACCGGAATCCAGTACGGAGAACTTGGGTGTGGATGATGAATCTTCACGAGTTCCAGAACTTGCTAGTGCTAGAAACTCCAATGCAAGGGAACGTGTTTCTGGTTCGTGGAGGAACAATTTTATGGAGCGCTTCCACGACATTGCACGGGAAAACGCATCCCGGTTCGCTTTATTTGCACAGGAAGAGGAAGTCGATGATCAGTCACATCCTGTTCCTGAAGACGAAATTGAGGACTGGCCCTGGCCCGGTCCTTTCTCTACTGCCATGAAAATCATCAGGGGTCGAGGGACGAATCTGCAAAAGGATCAAACAAGTTCACAGACTAACTTATGTGAGTCCATTAAGTGGGTTCCCAAGACAAAGAAAGGGAATGTAGGCGACTGTTCGGTTACTTCGTTGCAAGATATGTGCCTTCAGATTCTTGTGAAGAACGTTGATGCGATTGCTTCGCTCGAGAATGTGCCTGATGCGCTAAGGCACCGGCTTAGCCAGTTGCTCTGTGATTCAAGGAAAATCAACAGTCACTTTCTTGAGCTTCTTGTGGGTGGAACTCCCTCAGATATTCGATTAAGAGATTGCTCGTGGTTGACCGAGGAACAGTTCATAGAGTGTTTTCAAAATTGTGACACGGAAAATTTGTTGGTATGTGGTTGAAGTTATTTGATTGCTTTTGGTATTACTTGCTATTTTTGTTGCACTGGACACGCCCACTAGGTTATCATTAAGTTAACTGATGGTTTTGTTTCTATTTTTTGTGTTGGGGGTCTGTGGGCTGATGTTTAATGTAACAAGATAATATTAGTTAAGCTGGTTTTATGATACAAGAAGTCTGATTAGTAGCACCTGTGTATGATCTATGGACTGCATGTCGATTGTTTGTTTATTTTTCTGGTACACCCCGCAAGGAATGGTATGTTATGTGTAATTTAACATAATTTCACTTTATATTGTTAGTGGCTGAAATTTATTACCTTTTCATGTGCCCTTGTTTGCTACTAGTATTAGTGTACTACTGCATATATACATGTATTTGAATTTCTTTTCTATATTAGTTAGCATGTTAAGGAACCACTTCTCTGACATAGACCTAAAAGAGATGATGGAAGTGATAGTGTCCTGAACCTAGTAAGATATTATTCTTGTCTTGGAGAATCTAAATTAGGTTTTATGATTTGAATTTAGCAGCAGAGTTTGAAATATTTTTGTTTTCCTTTTATAATCTTCATTAAAATAATGCTGTGTTTGAGGAAAGGATATATTAGAAAAGATACATTTAACAACATTGAGGAGAGACTTTGGGTAGAGATAATGTATAAAAGGTGGTAGAAACTTGCTTTAAGTTATTTGATCATTTGTGAAGAACTGTTTAAACCCTTTTGAGAAGAGTAGATATGATGAAGAGTATCTAGATTGCTAGAGATAGAGAGATTGGGACAATCATTATGCAAAACCATTAGAAAGGATTTAGAGGTTAACAGTTTGTCTATAAACATGATACTTAAAATTGTGATAGGGTTTATGGTATCATTTGATACATGTAATTGATCTTTACCTAATGGGAAAAACTTTGTTTGTTTGACTTTCTTGCTTTGATAAATTTTAATTGTATATTTTCTTGATTATAGTTGTTTTTTGAAATTCTTGTTTGCTGTTTGAAATTTGATTAGCTTCTTTATAGGGTTTTTGTTTTTAAAATCCTCTTAACCAACTTCTGGTTTTTATTTACTTGTGTTGTAGGTACTGCAACTTGACCAGTGTGGGCGATGTTTGCCTGATTATGTAATAGCTGCTACTTTGGCACAGACACCAAGGCATTTAGTTAGATTAACTACTTTATCACTCAGTGGTGCATGCCGACTTTCAGATGGAGGTTTGCGGGCACTTGTTTCTGCAGCTCCAGCACTTAGATCAATAAATCTCAGCCAGTGCTCCCTTCTGACATCTGCTAGCATATATATTTTGGCTGAATCATTAAGATCTCTTCTGAAAGAGTTGTACCTTGATGATTGCCAAGGCATTGATGCTGCACTAATTGTACCAGCACTGATTGAGCTTGAACACTTAGAAGTGTTGTCAGTAGCTGGTATTCAAACTGTTGGTGATGAATTTGTCAAGAATTACATTGTTGCACGTGGACAAAACATGAAAGAGCTTGTTTTGAAGGACTGCATGTAAGAATCACTGTAGCTGTCTGTTTCACTCAGGAATTTCCTTAAGATGTGATTATTCACTAGAGTATTTTCATTGAAAATTCCATTTGAGAATGTTTGGTAAACAAATTTCCAATTAAAGAAAAAATTAAAACAAGTTGGGATTTGTGGTTAATTTTGGTTAATTGATTAAGTGTCCATCACTTTGGCTAACTGTTAACCATTCTTTGAACATGGTTTAATTGTGAATTCAGTTAGTTCTATTGAAAGGACACATTCTCCTGAAATTGTGATCTCTTTTTTTCCTTCATTTTTGAAAGTTTTGTCCTTAAGTTTGTTGATTTATGTTTCCTAATCTGCAGAAATCTGACCGATGCATCAATCAAAGTTATTGTCGAGCACTGTCCAGGATTACGGGTGCTTGATCTTATGAACCTGAACAGATTAACAGATTCATCCGTGGGATATCTTACCAATGGTTGTTGTGCACTTGATACGCTGAAGCTTTGCCGAAATCCATTCAGGTGCTTTTTCTATTCTCCATTTTCTTTCTTGCCTTGCCACAAGGAACTTGTTTTACACTCAGTATTGATTGTGCAATTGCTTGTTTGTCTATGATTAGTCTTCTCTGTGCAAGATTCAATTCAGGAGTTTTAAATTTTTAATAGGCTTTTTGGAGTACTGGTTTCTTTTGTATTCAGATGAAAATCTGGTAGATTCACTGGTTTACAAACCAGGCAAGTCATCATGAATAGTGTGGGACTTTAAGGTTGTCTTGGTGGTAAAAGTGGATGGAAGGGAGGGACAAATCCTCTTGTAAAAAAAAAAAAAAAACTAATTAACAACTAACATTTGTCTCTAAAAAAATCCTTTTTGAATGTGTATACTAGGCATGGGAACAACTGAAGTAACTTCTGGGTAACAGTTAATAGAACATAATTCGTAAGAATTATTAGCCATACATGAAAAGTAATTAGCTGCTTAGTTGCAGTTATGTGTTGAAAATAAATTACAGCAGTTTGTGGGCATAGATTACTCGCCTTAGGATAATTTTTTATAACAAGCAAACTATCATGTGTTCAGTAACATATTTTATCAATTAATTACAGTGCTCCATAATATTCCGGATTTGAGAATTAATTATTCAGTGGTATTGTCATGTATGGTATACTTGGATGATTCTCATTGGATCGAATACTGATGCTATGGATTTTGTTGTAGTGATGAAGCAATTGCTGCATTTGTGGAGACCACTGGAGGGTCCCTTAAGGAACTGTCTCTTAATAACATTAAGAAGGTACTTTGTTTTGTAAACTCCATGATTTTATCACCATTGATTTGCTGGAGTATGCATACTCATGCCGATAGTTCTTATTTGGGTTTTTCTGTTATCAGTTTAATTTCTGTCTGTTAATTCTTTAGTATATTACTGAGTGTCTCATTTTGTTTGATCCAGGTTGGTTACCACACAACCATAGCACTTGCAAACCATGCAAAAAGTTTGCATTCTCTGGATCTATCTTGGTGCAGAAATTTGACAGACAATGCACTGGGTTTGATTGTGGATAGCTGCTTGGCCCTGAGATTACTCAAACTTTTTGGATGCACTCAGGTATGTATATGTATAAGATGCCGGTTAATTTATTGTGTGGTCTTGTAGAAATATCTAGTTCACTGATTTGTATTTTTGTGCATTTTGTTGTGGTTGTGTGCATATTCAATTAATATGATTCACCACCATTCACCTGAGTATACATAAAGAAATGTTTTTGTATTTTTTTACAGATAACAGATGCATTTCTTAATGGCCACTCAAACCTACAGCTACAGATAATTGGTTTGAAAATGTCTCCTGTCTTGCAACATGTCAAAGTTCCAGATCCTCATCAGGGTGCTTTGAATTATTCTTCAGTCTCCTTAGATTTTGTATGCAATTAGTATAAAAATCGAAATATATAGGGGGCAGACATTTAGCATAACTATGCCTACGATATATTTCCAGTAGATCTTTTGACAAGCGTTTGACTCAAACTGAAGTGCAAATTGGCCCCAACTTGCAATTCCCCAAGGATCACATTTAGGATTTTTTGTCTTCCTGAGAAGAGCAAGCGTTGACCATGCAAACTATATGTTGGAATCTTCTCAGCAATTGCATGGTTAGTCAAAGTCCTGGAAGGATTTTATAAATTCAAACTAGCTCGATCTTCACAGGACATGACATTATTTGTCTGTTTTCATGCATTCTTACTACTGACATGTTGCCTAATTTATTTTAGCATATGAATTGATGATACAATCGATTTTGTCTTTGCCTCTTCAATTTCTTGTCAAATACTGGTTTCAGTTCTCTATCTTTTAAATTATGAGTTAAATTAAATATAAATTGTAATAATTAGTTTTATAAGGTATGCTTTGATAGTAAAACTTAACTAACTTTCTAGAACATCCTTCTATTTGGTACATATGAACTTTAACTATATTAGTTACGTCATTACAAATTAATTTTAAATTAAAAAAAGAACTAGTATATTTTTAGTTTTGTAATATTTAAAAAGCAATAAGATTATTTTAATTGTTGAATAATTTAAATCATTAAATATCAAATTTAAAACTACATTTTACTACAAATATAACATTATCTTCAATTTCTTTTTTAATTTATTTCTGATATATTTGAATTTAAATATAAGTAATAATTTGATATATTACTTATTTAGAATGTATGTATAAAATTATGATAGGTTATCCATCATTTACCCTTATTTGATAAATCTCTCCCAAAATGTATACGAATATTAAAATTTAAAATTCATCACTTTTAAATTCAAAACCTTCTCCAACTTGTAAAATGACATTAGCTTCTAGATGTTTTCATTCTAAAATGACTAGCAATATTTCCATTCAAACAGTAACTCCTAAAACAATTTCCTAAGAGCATGTTATTTTAATAAAATATTTCTTGACATAGTTACTTCACTCAATTCAATTATTCTGTGTATATTAAATTTTAAAGATCTAAATGTTGAATACTTTAATATCTAACAACTAAAAGAGTAACCAAAAGTAAACAAAATAAACAGAAGATATTGTTTGATATTATGGTTAATAATATCTAACAATATCTTAACAATATCTAAATAATATTTAACACTCCCCCTCAAGCTGGAGCATACAAATCATATGTGCCAAGCTTGTTACAAATATAATCAATTCTAGGCCCCCGTAAAGACTTAGTAAAAATATATGCTAACTGATCATTTGAGTTAACAAACTCAGTCTTGATGTCTCCCGACATAATCTTTTCTCGAATGAAATGACAGTCAATCTTAATGTATTTGGTCATCTCATGAAAGACAGGATTAAAACTAATATGAAAAGCAGTTTGATTGTCACACACAAGTGTCATTTGAGTGACATCTCCAAATTGTAACTCTCCAAGCAATTGCTTGAGCCAAACAAGTTCACAAGAAGCTGAGGCCATAGCTTTATATTCTGCTTCTGCACTAGATCTTGCCACAACACTCTGTTTCTTACTTTTCCACGAAATCAAGTTACCACCAATAGAGACACAATATCCAAATGTAGATCTTCTATCTGAAGGAGATCCTGCCCAATCAGCATCTGAGTAGCAAACAACTCTTCTATGGTTATTAGAACCATATAATAATCATTTTCTAGGAGATCCTTTAATATACTTCAAGATATGAATGACTGCATTCCAATGATCTTCACATGGGGAATTAAGAAATTGGCTTACCACACTTACTGCAAAGGAAATGTCAGGATGAGTAACTGTAAGATAATTCAATTTTCCAACCAATCTTCTATACTGCTCAGGATCAGATATAGGTTCCCCTGATTTGGTAGAAGTTTAGTATTAGGATCCATGGGTGTTTCAACAGACTTTGAACTCATCAACCCAGTTTCCTCCAAAATATCCAAGGCATACTTCCTCTGAGATATAACAATACAATCATTGGACTGTGTCACCTCAATATCCAAGGAAATATCTAAGTTTGTCAAGATCTTTGGTATGAAAATGGTGACATAAATGTTGTTTCAACTGAGAGATTTCATGGTTGTCACTACCTGTAAGAACGATGTTATCAACATATACTATCAAGTAAATACATCCAGCACTCGAGTGTCGATAAAAGACAGAATGATCTGCTTCACATCGAATCATACCAAATTGTTGAACAACCTTGCTAAACTTTCCAAACCAGGCCCTAGGAGACTGTTTTAGGCCATATAGGGATTTGTGAAGACGACATACCATCCCAGAAGACTCCCCCTGAGCAACAAACCCATGAGGTTGCTCCATATAGATTTCTTCTTGCAAATCACCATTGAGAAAAGCATTTTTAACATTCAGTTGATAAAGAGGTCATTGTTGTAGAGCGGCCATGGTGATAAATAAATGAATAGAAGCCATTTTCGCCACGGGGGAAAAAGTATCTCCATAATCCAACCCAAAAATTTGAGTATAACCTTTGGCCACAAGACGAGTTTTGAGGCGATCAATAGTACCATCAGGTCCAAATTTGATAGCAAACACCCACCTACAACCAACAACAGATTTTCCAGACGGTAACGGGACCAATTCCCAAGTTCCACTATTATGAAGAGCACTTACTTCATCTAACATGACCTGACACCAACCAGGATGGGCTAAAGCTTCACTAACAATTTTTGGAATGGTGACAGAAGAAATAGAGGAAAGACATATATAAAAAGGTAATGACAGTCGATGATAACTCAAAACAATATAATGGGGAGAGAGATTACGTGTAGAACAGATACCTTTTCAGAGGGCAATGGGAAGGTCAGACTCAGGTGTCAGATCCGGAGGAGACAAAGTAGTTGGCACTTGAGTGGAGTCACATGGTGGTGGTTGTAATTGATTTCGACAACTATAAACCTGAAGAGGCGGTGGAGAAGAAGCTAATTGCAGAATAGGAACTAATGGTGAAAAAGACACAGTTAGAGGGTCACACACAACAGGAACATTAAATGTGCTAGGAGTGTTGACAGGATTGGATGGAGAAAAAAGTGAAGATTGACTTTTAAAATTAAGAGAGAACTCATCAAAGGTGACATCTGCAGACACAAAATAACGATTAAGAGAAGGAGAAAAACATTTGTATCCTTTTTTTGATCTTGTAAACCCTAAGAAAACATATTTATGTGATCGAGGAGAAAGCTTATTAAGACCAGGACTTAAATTATGAACAAAACATGTAGACCCGAAAACTCTTAGAGGTAAGGAATGAAGAGGTTCATGAGGGAATAAAATGGAATGGGGTATTTTATTATCTAAAACCGAAGAAAGCATGCGATTAATGAGATAACATGCAGTAAGAAGAGCATCACCCTAAAAATGTTGAGGAACCTCTCCATGAATTAAAAGAGTGCGAGTCGTTTCAATAAGATGTCTATTTTTGCGTTCAGCTACACCATTTTGTTGAGGTGTATAAGCACAAGAAGTTTGATGCAGGATACCGTGAGAAGCCATGAATTGTTTAAAAGAATGAGAAAGATATTCACGACCATTATCACTGCGCAAAACTCTAATAGAAACACCGAACTGAGTTTGAATTTCATTGAAAAAAGTTTGAAAGATATGAAATAATTCAGAACGATTTTTTATCAAAAATAACCAAGTGCATCTGGAATAATCATCAATGAAAGTAACAAAGTATTGAAAACCTAAAGTAGACTTAACGCGGCTAGGTCCCCAAATGTCAGAGTGAACCACGACAAAAGGGGACGAAACACCACGTGTGACACTACGAGGAAAGGAAGTACGACTATGCTTGCCTAATTGACACGACTCACATGCCAAACTAGACAAGTTAGACAAGGCAGGGACAAGTTTCTGTAACTTGGCAAGACTTGGATGACCTAACTGAGCATGAAAAAGAGAGGGAGACTCCATAATTGCACCAACATGTGTAGAGGGATGGAGATGATAAAGACCATGAGACTCATATCCTGTGCCAATCACCTGTTTCGAACTCCGGTCCTGTAAATACAGAATTGTTGGTAAAAGAAACAATACAATCAAGAGAACGAGTTAGACGACTGATGGACAACAGGTTAAAAGGAGACTCAGGGACATAAAAAACATTATCAATGGTTAAAGAAGGGAAAAGTTTAACAGTTCCAACACCATGAGATGATACTCTAGAGCCATCAGCTAATGTAACAAAAGGTAAAAGATTAGAAGAGGATAAAGAGGAGAACAAAGATTTGTTGCCAATAATATGATCAATGGCTCCTGAATCAAAAACCCAAGGATCAGGAGAAGAGGATTGGGTCAGACCAGCAAAATATGTATCTGTGTGTGCGAAAAACGTAGTGGAACTAGAAGATTGTTGATCCTTATACCATTTGAGAAATTTGTTGAGCATAGCAGGTGTGTCGGATGCAACAGAAGAAGGAGGATCCCCAGCAGACAAAGATGGGGAAAGATGGGTCTGAACAACTGCAGCAGATCGAGGAGGACGACCATGTAATGCATAACACTTGTTAATCTTGTGACCTAGCTTGCCACAATGTTCACACTTAGAACGCCACTTTCCCTGTTTGCGAGGACGAGTCTCGTCACGGTGAGATGCCAACACAGAAGAATCATTAACAGAATTGGAAGTAGTAGAAGGAGTGGAAGAAGTCATGAAGGGCAGGAGAACAAACCCTAAAAAAAAATCCAAAGTAATCCAATCCACCCACGAAGCACAAATCCAAAATGAGAATACTAAAAATAAGTTCGCTAAGACTAAACGGCGCAGGAGACAACTGGACGACCAACTCCGATAGTGGTGATCTCAACGGTACGGTGGTCACCTGACCGAGACAAGCAAAATCATATGTTACCGGTCAAAAAAATGAAACTCCGGCAAATTCTCTGGCAGCGACGGATCCGGTGACTGCTCCAGTGGCAGCGGTGACAACAACGTGAACCACTACACCAGGTAAGTTCCCAGGAAAGAGAGGTGGGTCACTAATGGACACACTTAAATACCAAGTCTTTCCTTGCCAGAACTTTCCTAGACATGCACTTTCACACTACCAAATAAAATTCAGTAATAAAGATAATTTTTTTCTGATGTGGAAGATCAATTTACCAGCAGCGATGGGGCGGCTCTAGCAGCGGTGGGGCGGCTCCAACAGTGGACAAAAGGCGAAAAAAATTTTGAGATAATCTTAAACTCTAGATACCATGATGAATATAAAAAAAATAGAGTTTGAGATTAATCTCCCTTATGTATAAATCACACATAGGGTAATCTATTTATAATAGAGAGAGATACAACTAAAAGAGTAACCGAAAGTAAACAAAATAAACAGAAGATATTGTTTGATATTATGGTTAATAATATCTAACAATATCTTAACAATATCTAAACAATATCTAAATAATATCTACCAACTTGTAATTTAGAAAGGTATAATATACAATAATTTTTTTGTTGGAATATCAAATAGTTTTTAACTTCTTTTAAAACTTGGTCCATTTAACAAGAACTCTTAATTAAATGTTAAATCGTTACAATTTAATTATTCGAAAAGTCATTGAAGTGAAATATCCTACGAAACATAATGTTTTAAAGTAATTTGATCTCTGCTCATTATTAAATACTATTATGATATGCAATTTTAAGTCAACATATAAATTAAAATAAGTGTAAAATTGATTTGGAGAACAAAAACATCTGATGGGGTGGTATAAAAAAAAGACAGCTGATGGATCTATAATGATATTAATAAAGCTTAAGAAGTTTGCTATCACATAGTTTTGCATTGCAATCTACTACTGCATTACATTAAAAAAATACTAGTTGTAGTTTTTCCATAATTATTTTTTCTTGTTTCAAACGAGATGAAAGTCCTGTTAACATTGGGCGAGGAGAAGATGTTTTGGGAGATATATTATTATTGCATGTTTGGTTCAAATTTTGCATTAGACCTACACCAAACACCTCTTCGTAGCTTAAATTAAGTAAATCCAGGGAAATATGATCATGTCACCACGAAATTAAATCTTGGACAAACAAAAAGAAGATAATGTTGCAATAAGAAATAACTTCATTTTTTTCCAAATCGAATACATCTGAGATTGTTTTTCAAATGACCCCAGTTTTTTTTCTTCTCCAATACATATAATTTCAGGAAGAATACATGACACCAATAAATACTACAGAATTAAATACCCATGCATCGAATATGAAGAGGGAGAAATAATGAAACTTGTTACCTTAGTTAGGTACAAGCATGGATAGATACCTACACGCATTTACATCTTACAGCTCTATGATGGTTACAGGAACTATTTAAATTCTGAAATTCAAACTGTTCTGAAGCTATCCTTGGTATTTTATGTCAGTAAACGCAGTAAGTATGTTTCTTCCACCAACCTGGAGTTTGCCATTTCAACCATCTGAGAAGGGCATGGAAACTGCCACAGTTATTGCATTTCACAACTAGCAATATTACATCATAAATAAACCATCAATTTCATCCTTAAAGGAATATCCTCTCTCCTAAAAGTAAAAAATTATATAAGTAATTGATCCTGAACATTATTTGTAAAATATATCATCAACATTGGGACTAAACTCAATTTTTTAATAAATGAAGAATTACTCATACAGTGTTTTTTATTTTGCACCAAGCGTATTTCAACTAATAGTTGGAAGCTAATAACTTTTTAGATGCAGAGATCACGAAAGTGAGTCTTATCTCTTCCAACAAAGTCTTTCACACACAGCCACAAATCGAACCCTTGATAATATAATAAGAAACCCAACTACCTACCAATTGTATTGGACCATATTCTTATTACTTACATAGTTCCATTAGTTTAGAAGTTACTATAGAGGTTAATATTTTGAGGAGGACCATATTAATGACTCATAGACAATGGGAAATGCACACGAACTAACAATAGTACCTCAAAGCCCATCTTTTGGTACAATATCTGTGCAGGCCTATTATTTTTGTCCACATGCACATACACCTGTGTCACACCTGCTAAATGAATCCAGGGATTGTGAAGTTTTAGTCTTTTTTCATGAGTTATATCAGACAAAGAAAAACTACTCTCATTACAATGTTTGTATTACCATTAGATTTTGCAGCTCCAATAGCAAAAGACAACATGTTGCTTGCAATTCCCTGGCGCCGAGCTGATTTGATGACACATAAGTTCGCAATGTAACCATATCTGCTTGGTGGTGTTCTGTTGATGCAGCAAAAAAGGGGAGCCTTTACCCGTTCCTGAAGAAATGAACGAGGTGAAGAATGCATCAACACCATTAGTCTTGTAGAGAAAGCAACAAAAAGAGATGGAATGTGCAATACCCCTGGATATGTCTCCCCTTGAAGCAAATATCGGATATTCAAATCAAGGGTTCCTACAACACTTTTTAATATTGAGTGTTTTGCATTCTTCTGCTCCTTCCTCACCTGTTAAACTTGACTCCAAACACCATAAGTTGAAACATTAAGGACAATCAACCATCAAACTACTAGGAACTCAACAGACTCAACAGGTATCTTTTAATTTTAATCATCAAATCAGAGCTTTCAAGTATATATTATAACTTGAATTCTCAAGTAAACCAGAATCCAAGATGAGATTGATTTACCGTGATGATGCATGTGCAGCTATCACCATTTTGCACCTTGCACCGCCTTTTTAACGCATGAAATTCCTAAGCAGTAGGAAGTCTTGTTATTTTTCATGAACTACACTCTAGTTATACAGTACATGAACAGAAGTCAAATCAACTTCTACCTGCTCGGAAAATTTCCTTTTATAGTTATCAACATATCTGGATAAAACAGAAGGAAAATCAGCTGCACTCATCATCTATTGTGAACATAAGCAAAAAATTTAAACCCACCATCATCTATGGTCACAGATTTCTACCTATAATCTACTGTTATCATTAAATCAATGCTCAACATCATACATGTTCATCTAATTAATTGTTTCCTCATAATTCAAATGTCACTCAATCTGCTATAACACATCATGCTGAAAGGTAAAAGCTAAACGCAATGAAACCAACAGACTGTTTCACGTTCCTTGTTATCGTACCAAAAGATGCCTATGAAATAACATTTGACCTTTCTGATGCGTGTCATGTCATACCTTTCATATGCTCGATTCTCCCAGTGACTTTCTGCTCTCAACCATGCAGCTGTCTACCACAAAATTAAACAAAACAAATAAATATGCGAAAAGGATAGCAGCATCATAAATTATAAATTGCCAATACACACACTTCACATATTTTCTTTTTCTCTATCCTACAATTTATCATAGCATACCCAATACTCTTCATCAAGCACAGCTTCTCGTGCAACAAATTGCCCAAACTCAAACCTATTTACTCGACCCAATTCTTGATCCGATGGCTGCAAGCGATCGAATTGGAGACCGTTGGACTTTAAAGTTTCCACTTTGGAAATGGGTGGGGTTGAAAGCTGCACAGAGAGTTCTTCCTTCTTCTTCATACTATAATCATTATCATTACTATTCTTTTTTGCCGGAGAAAATTTCGAATCCATTGCCCTGTTCAAGTCAAACATAAGACAGAAGCAAGCTAAGAAGTATACAGTAAAGAAAATATTAAAAAACAAAAAGTGAATAAGAAAATTGAAACTCACATGGTCCATGATGAAGTAACTCTTGGGCACTTATAAGGGCTTGGAGACCCATTGAAGAATAAGATACGAAATTCAGGTCTCTGAATTGGAATCGTTGACATGGGAGGCATGTATATCTTCTAGATTGAAGGGCTTAAGGAAACCCCAAAAGAATGAAATGAAAAAATATCTTACGTTTTAAGACTCTAAGAGTTGAACAGGAAGAAGCCCCTTTTGATGTTCCAATATGGTAGTGATGCAACATGAAAGAAAACTGAAGCGAAAGAGAAAGGTGAAGATTTGTGGCTGCAAGTGAAGGTTGAAAATTACCCTCTGTTTTGTTTCTGCTTCTTGTTTCACAAGTTTGAGAATTGGTGTAGGTGGTGAGGAGAGGACAATTTGATGGTTCTTCTGAGCCAAGAACTTAAGTTTCAGATTGATGGTGGAATTGGGGTGTGTGTGGTGGTGGGGTATGCTATGACTCGAGTCATGAGTCACGACAATGGATATGTCTATCCAATTTATTTTTGTTTCACTTTTATATGATCGAGAGAGTACATTTTTTTTTTTTTTTCATATATCAAATGAATCCAAACTAATCTTTTAAAACAATATTCACAATTGAATTTTGAAGAAACTGATTAAGGAAAAATAGTTTTCTCGATAGAAATTTTCGTTTTTATAATAATATGAAATATTAAAATATGTTTTGTGATTGTAAGATAGTAAAAATAATATTGACAGTGTAAAATGGTTAAAAACTTAAAGTGAAATTAAAAATAAAATAAGAATACAATTTGCAATATTTTCTTAATCTCTTAAAAAAAATTACCTAGTTGGTAGATAAAATGAGTTGATTTATCTCAAGTTACACGAATTGAAAGAAAACTATTTTTTTTATTTTTCAATTGAGATAGGGTGTTAAAAGTGTAATGTTAATACAGGTATTACTATAATAAGTTTAATCCTGATTAGTCTAGTGTTAGAAAGAAATAAAGAACCTTTTTTTTTTATTTTATTGATCAGACTCATTGAATAGAAACTAATATCATATTTAATTTTTTTCTGCTTAATTTTTTATATCTTGTACAGACATATAGGTTATGTTAATGAATTATTGTTGGTTGGAAAGATATATGTGATGCAGAAGAAACCTTGTATTTTAGTACAGACGCTGGAAGAAGAATGGATCAATGAGAACAACGCATCTTCAAAAAGAAAAAAAGTGAGGAATAAAGGATAAGATGGATCCACAATCAAATTTCTGCCATTTAGAAGTGAGTTTTACGAAAATATTACAAGATTTTGCAATTTTTTTATGAAAATAAAACATCATCTAGAAAGTCCTCATCCATTAGAATAGTTTTCACTTTTTCTTTTTGTTACATCATATTATTTATATAAATATTCTTAAAAAAATGTTTACAATGTAGATATATTATAGGTTAAGTAAACCAGTTTTATATATAATATTAAAATTTACTTTATAGAAACTAGTATCCCTAATATTTTTTTAATAAAAGCTATTTTTATATTATGTAAAGTTACATTTATGAAAACTTGTTTTTCTATGTTATTCACAAAATATTTATCAAATTATTTATTAATCTTTGTAAAAAAAAAAATAGTTTACTACGATTAGAACTAAGACCTTTATCTAAATTTAGTTTCAATTGGTCAGAACAAAAACAATATATTAAAAAGAACTATATTAATCAGTTTCTATTACATTTTGAAAATATATATAAAAAAGGGAATGATTAGTGTTTAGAGTGCAAATTGGGGCCGAAGCAATGGGCTTATGAACGTCAAGCCCGGCCCAATTATTGAACGCCTCTTCGAGTTTGTCAGAATCAGAAAGAGCAGGCACAAGCAGTAAGAGTAAAACCACCAAGCCACACAGCAATGGTGGCCATGGCGGGCACCGCCAATAGAAAAATCGAAACATACGAAGAGTTCGCGGAAGTTCACGCGCTACTACTTGCGGCGTCAGGTTTGCCGGAGTGTCTGCACCGGCGCCTCTTCGAGAAGCTCTCCGGTGAGTCCTTCGATGGCGGCGACTACTTCCAAATCGAGCCATGCGAGGATGGCCGTCAGCGGCGCCTCATTCTCACGTCGGCGTCCATGGCGACGGACTCCGACGTCTTCCTCGTCGATCACGCATGGACATTCAGACTATCAGACGCATACAAGCAGGTCTTCTTCTTCTTCTTCTTCTTCTTCTTCTTCTTCTAATTTCTTGTTTTAGGGTTGGTCTCTCTTCGTGACATTGGTGTTTGGTGTTGCAGCTGCGTGAGGTTCCAGGATTGGCTGAGAGGATGGGTTCTCTGATGTGTGTGGACGTTGATGTGAGTTCGGATGGTGGTGAAACTGAAGCGAACAGTGAACGTGGTGTCGAAGAAACTTTGGAGAGTGAAGTTGGTGAGGCAGAGAAAGGAGATGGGACGTTACAATGGTTGGAGCTTGAAGGGCTTAACATTGATGATGATATGCTTGTGTCTCTAGCCTTACCAACTAGGTTTCCGGTTAGAAACTCTCTTTTTCTTTTTCTACCTATCCATACTGGAAAATATGTTGGTAAATTATATAATATATATACTTGAATATACTTAAAAAAAGAAGAGGAAGAGGGAAAAAGACTTGATGTTAAACTCAATATGAGAGTGAGCAGAGATGAATTTGTGGTAGATGCATAAGAAAATGTAAGAATAAAAAGATGTAGCCAAAAGTGCACATTGAAATGGAATTTCTGTTATAACATATATTCCACTATTTTTGTCTTTAGAAGAATTTTAAAAATAATTTCATTTTATTTGAATGGTTCGAATTAGATAATTGTATTATTATTATTATTATCAATTATTTATAATGGTAAACATCCCTAAGCAATTAGATTATAATTATAATTCAATTCCTAGCTATTTTGTCATATATAAACAAGGCATGCACATTCCAAAATACTGTAATTAACAACCAATTCTTTCGAATATCATATATAGTTTCCAATCAATAGAGTGTAGATCTAGGAGAGATACAAACACATACTTCACAAGAAATGCATTTATCAAATTATAAAGACATCGAAAACTTTATGATGGCATTAGTGTGATTTCTGGGTGACTATAGTGTGTGTGTAGAAATTAATTTTTTCTAAATTTTTTAAATAAAATAAAAGAGAAAAAAAGCTGCGATGTTACGTAAAGATAAGGGTGGCAATGAAGAAAAAACTGAATATAAAGTAAACAGTTACTATAGTTCAAATGAGAATAATGAAACCTAAGAAATGATTCAAAGGTAAAATTGTCTGCGTACACCTAAAGTTTCCCTTTATGGTATGGATTATTATTTCAGATTGGTTAATCACGTAAATGTCTGGATATATAAACATAGATGTCAGTATATTAACAGTGGAAACAAAGACGTTTATTGTCACATTTTTTCTTTCTTAAAAGGCAGTTACCAAAATAAAAATACAAACAATAGTTATTATACAATAATAAACAGTTATCAAAATATTATGATATAAACTTAAAATTGTACAGAAAATGTGTACGCCAAGAAAAAGTTGGTATCTCCTCTATATGTTAATATATTATTATTATTATTATAGTTTTTTTTTTTTTTAGTTGTGCATTCATTTCGTAATTTGAATACTCACACTCTCCTTCCCCTTCATTGTGTCAGGATTTAGTGGCACTTAGCCTGCTTGGAAACAAGCTCAGTAGCGCCGAAATGGTTGTTCAGGAAATTATCAAATTTAAACATCTCAAGGGATTCTGGCTCAACAATAACCCAGTTCTTAAAAATTGGTAACTTTTCCCATATCCATAAATTAATAACTGGACTATATGTTCCTGTAATAAAGAGAACTAAATTACTTTACCCCTCTCTTCCAGTGGTGGTACGCTCGCAGGGGTGATTCTTAAGGAGTTGCCAGAACTGGAGATTTATAATTCAAGTTTCACAAGCAATTTTGGGGAGTGGGCCTTGGGCTTTTGTGCAGGGATATATGGAAAGGATAACCCTGTAAATGCCGATCAGGCTGACACTCTACTGCACAATGTGTCTTCTCTTGACCTTTCAAATAGGAACATTCACAATTTAAAGAATAAGGTCGAACAAATTCTTATGCTTATTATCTATTTGCTTTCTGCATCCTTTTCTATATAGCCTGTGTGTCAATTTTAAACATAAGAGACTTGAATGTATTATTTCAGTCGAACATCATTTGATTGCAGGAGTTAAAAAATCTGATAATTTCGTATCTTACCCTGGAGATGCTAAATGAAGCCCTTTTTTTTTTTTTTTTATCAATTAGAAATGTTAATATTTGATATTTCACACCAATTCATTACTTGTTTCTTCAATATAAATCCCTTGGTGATTTTCTCATTTCCCCAGGCGTTTTCACCCATTTGTTTGCCATCTCTTACGGACTTGAAAATTCAAGGAAATCCATTGGAGCAAAACTCAGCTGAAGACTTGTTAGCTTTGCTTCGGAGATTCCCTTGCTTGCGTTCATTGGAGGTACTTTTGATTTATGTTGTCATTTTTTTTACCCCTCAAAATTTCCTTTGTTATTTATTTAATGCTTCTTTATTTCCATTCTTTGTGATTGGTGCTTTGGCCTTTGATTGAGCAATTTTCAGGTGGATATTCCAGGTCCGCTTGGACGAAGTGCCACTGAAATTCTGGAATTTCTTCCAAACATTTCTGAGCTAAATGGTATCAATGCATCCAAAATATTGGAAACAGGAAAGCATGTTATTGATTCAATGCTTCTCCCTCGTCTTCCTGAATTGGCTCTTGATGAGCCTCTTGCTGACCGTATTATAAATGCAATGTGGCAATATCTAATGACATATAGACTTGCAGATGAAGAAAAGTTAGATGAAACATCTGTATGGTATGACCTGCATATAATTTTACTTTGTATATTTTAATGTAGCACTAACTTCCTTTTGATCAATAAACTCTTTTTCTAATTTTTTGTAACATTTCATCAAGGTGGACTGGTTTATGCATTACTATTTTCACACAACTTGAATTCTTGGATCTTTTTTTACTACTCAAGTTTTTGGGTTAAGTAATTTAAATGGAATAAACAAAATAGAAATGTCACACGGTTCATATCGGTTTTTCTCAATGATATACACTACTTGAACTGCACATTCTTTTGGATATTTTTTCAGGTATGTGATGGATGAGCTAGGTTCAGCTTTGCGGCATAGTGATGAGCCAAATTTCAGAATGGCACCATTTCTGTTCATGCCAGAGGGCAATCTAGCATCAGCTGTGAGGTTATCTTCTATATTTTCATTTTGAGATTTGTACTTTTATTTGGAAGTCATATTTTCACGCTTTACAGGGTACATCTGGTACTTTGATATATAAATGTATTTCACATATTATTCAACAGCTTTGGTGTGATAAAAGATCCTTTTATTAGTTTTGATTCTTATTTCTTTCTCTTCCTCCCCTCCCCATATTAAAACATTGTCTTGTGTATGATCTCTGGATTTGTAATATGTTAAAATTAATCACATACAAGTAATAACTCTCATTTTTTCCAGCTTTTCTATTCTATGGCCAACACAGAATGTACAGAAAGGTGATGAGTGCACGCGTGATTTTCTTCTTGGTATAGGGGAGGATAAGCAACGTTCTGCCAGGCTTACTGCCTGGTTCTACACTCCAGAAAACTACTTTATCCATGTATATCTCATATTGCTAAGATAGATTATGATTCTGTTTTGTGGATACTGATCTATCAGGAAGTTTTGGAGCTAATTAGTTTCCTGCTTTCAGGCATATGAGAAGCACCATCAGAACTTGTTGTCCACAAATTTAATACCTCCCACCTTTCAGGATTCTAAGACTCGAAGTATTCATCAACGTGGTGGGTGTCCATTACGTGTATACACAGATATACCTCAAGTAGAGGAATACTTGACACATCCGGAGTTTATAATCAGTAAGTTTAATGCATGGATGCTTGAACTTTCTCTCAAATTTTCTTTTGTTCTCTGCAGCAGTTTGTAGTCAATGGTTAAATGTGACTTTGAATATATTGACTATTCATTTGCGGAGCCTAATTCCTTGTTTGATTTGAACCTTTTAGAATTGCCACCTCGTGGCTGTCAGAAACTCTTGGTTCATGTATAAAATATTATACTTTGTATTGTTGACCTTTTTGAATGTTTGTATGCCAACAGCAAATGAGCCAAAAGGTGCAGATATAATATGGACAAGTGTGCAGGTAGACGAGGACATGAAGAAGGCTACGGGAATCACGGATCAGCAATACATTAATCAATTTCCTTTTGAAGCATGTCTTGTTATGAAGCATCATTTAGCAGACACAATTCAAAAGGTGATAATAGTTAACTTACATATAGATGACCGATCTGTGTCCACTGGCATGCAACATTTATTTTCTTTTCCAAGTGAGGCTTTTTTATAACCTTGGCCTTTTTCTTGGAGCGGTGATGGTGGTGGTTTACGTTGTTGCTACAGGCACATGGATCTCCTCAATGGTTGCAGCCTACTTATAATCTTGAAACACACCTATCTCAACTTATTGGTGACTATTGTGTACGCAAAAAGGAAGGACTAGACAATCTTTGGATCTTAAAACCCTGGAACATGGCTCGAACCATTGATACTACTGTAACTGATAATTTGCCTGCAATAATCCGGCTCATGGAAACTGGTCCCAAGATTTGCCAGAAGTATATCGAACAACCTGCATTGTTCCAGGGGAAAAAGTTTGATCTCCGATACATAGTACTGGTTCGGAGCATGCATCCTCTGGAGATATTCTTGTCAGATTGTTTCTGGGTACACCGATTCTTCTTTTGAGTTCTATGTTTCTAAACTAGTAAAAACTTAATGTTTTGAGTGTGAAGGAAATGTCAAGCCTCTTTATTTATTTTTTATTCTCTTGAAAGATTCTGATGGAATTATATTTTATATTTCATTTTCAGGTTAGAATAGCCAACAACCAATATTCTTTGGCCAGAAGTAGTTTGTTTGAGTATGAAACTCATTTCACCGTCATGGTATGTCTTGAGTATCATTTTCTTCAGTAACAAGATATTCAGATGAAAACGATTGAATATTTAATATTTGAGTGCTTTCCTTTTCTCAACAAGTTTTAACAGTCATTTCATGGATTGCAGAATTATCGCGGAAGAATAAATCATAAGAATGCTAACGAATTTGTGAGGGAATTTGAGGAAGAACATCAAGGTAATGTCGACTTAGGATGAGAATTTAGTGGTTTCCAGTGATATGGTCTACATTTCAAATGAATTCTTGATAAAAATTCCCGTCTCTGTATCTCTTTCAGTTAAATGGTTGGACATACACACAAGAGTAAGGAAAATGATTCGATCAGTGTTTGAAGCAGCTGCTGTTGCTCATCCTGAGATGCACAGTCCAACATCAAGGGCAATGTACGGTGTAGATGTGATGTTGGACAGCTCTTTCCAACCCAAGTTACTAGAGGTTTGTAAATGAATTCCTTTTAATCCTAGAAATTTTATATTTGAGATAATGAGTTATTTGTGTGAATTATGTGTAACATGTATTTCTTTTTATAAAAGGTGACTTACTGCCCGGATTGCACAAGAGCAGTCAAATATGACATGGATATTGTGGTTGGAGAGGGAGGCGTTGCCAAAGCTTGTGATTTCTTCAACAATGTGTTCAGTTGTCTCTTTTTAAATGAAACATCACAAGTTAGTCAGTTGTAATTCACTCGTCATAATGCATTGAAAATTTACGTTTAATGCATTTTTCTCGTGGACCAACTGTTTTCTGTAATTTTCCTTGGTTATTGATGGTGAAAGTAAACAATTTTGAGCACCCTTCAAATGTGCAGCTAAGACTCATTCTCATTACGTAGTGGAATTACTTCCATTAACCATTTCCAAAGCTCGAAATGACCCTTTTAACCCCCCTTCCAAGTTTTGAACTAGGTTTATAAATGTCACTTCGTTTGGATTTTAATTTACCATACATCAATGAACACAGTTTTTTTTTTCGAGGCATGAAAGAAAAATTGGGTACAATAACTCTAATCAAATTACATCATTATGCATTTCTTCTCAACAAACAAATTATGTACATCATATCTCTCTACAATAGTGACGGTAACGTCCAAGCGCCTTTTTAAATTGTGAGAATAAGGTTAAGTGCTCAACATGAACTGTGTTATGTACCATATTTGGCTGCAAATTAATTACTAAGCTCCATGTTCGGTGGCTTCTGCTGATGTATACGATTGACTTCTTAGCGTTGTAACTTTCCTTTGTAATTCAAGGGTTGACATCCGCTCAGCCTCCAGTGCCCGCTCAAGCTTTAATCATCAGAATAAAAGGTTTCAGCAAAATACACTCTAACAACGACAAAACCCAACCAAAAGGCATAATATTATGTTCGTATTTATTGCAATTGTGAATAATACCTTGGCAGCTCGGGTGCTCCATTCCCCTAAAATAGCTCTGAGTCTTTCATTCTCTTCCACGTACTGATTATAACAATAATTCTACAGTAAGTACTCAAAGCACATACACCATTTTAATATTCGTAAAAACAGCGAGATATACCTGGTTGTTGGTCGTGCGAACATGTTGGATCTCTGACTCCCTTTCAGCAATCAAGGACCGGGCAAGCCTCAACTCCGATTGCACCTGGTTCATCTGAAATTCATTTTAGGTGAGAGTCGTTTTAATTTGTTAAAGTGGAGTAGAATGATATTTGATGACTGCCAAAACTTGGGCCAACCATCAACATTTGCCGAAAGGATAAAATGACTAATCATTATAAAAGACGGATTACATAAATATTCATTTTGAAGTTTTAGTTGCCTGCACAGACAGGAACTACCTCTGCAGAAAGTGTCCGTAACTCTTGATCACGAGCCGCTAGTAGATGGGCAAGGTCAACCTGTAAGATAAGAAATTTATTACAAAAAAAAAAAGAATGAATAGCCATGCGTAGAATATTTTTACTAGTCAAGATAGTTCATGTGTTTCTTACTTTACAATTATGTAAAAGTTATTTGGTTACAATTAAAGCCTAGATCACAGTAATTTAGCCAAAAATTTCATGGGCTTGAGCAGCCAGTAACTCGATCAATCATTTCTGACATGACATTCTAAGTGAGCTGAGCCTTAGTCTAGATTTCAACTCAACTAGACTCATTCAACTAGGTTCTCAAGAAAATGGATGAGCCATTAGGCTCAAAGTAATTGAAAGAAGATTAACTACTTCCCTCAACTATAGATATCTCGCCAAAGATATTACTTCAAATGAGCAAGGTCAATATTCGACCATGCATCAATCATACACCGAATTTGTCCACGATATCGACAGATTACGTATTACTATCTGCCTCAGATCATTGACTCAAGTATTATGTGAAGTTAAAAATTAAATTTGAGACTCACAGCTAACGAGGCATAAATATTACAAACAAAAAACTACCTAGGATCATTAAGGTACCCGAAAGGAATTAAATTGTAAGTAACATTAAACCTATAATAGAAAAAAACCTGTCATTGCAAGGTATAGAATTTCCGATGAGAAGCCTGGGCTATTTAACTACAACTTCCTTATAAATTACAAATCATATTAGCAACTTTGTTCTGATTTCGAACAATGCAAAGTGGGGTAGACTCCTCATGACAGTGATTCACGTAGTAACACAGTACAATTTCTTCTCAAGTGAAAAAAACTATTGTTGATGTGGTTATAGTAGCGCGTGTGGTGTGGTGAGGAATAAAAAAAAAAACTTTATGGCAGAGAGAACTTTGAATGCTAATTGAATAAAGTACATAATAATTAAATAGGTTTTGACATGATGTACTCTGGTTTACATCTCGGGATATGAATTCAGATTGAACTTCAACTGTACTCAATCAGTAAAGATATTTGCTAATCTCCCTGATTATAAAAATAATATATTGAATATTATACCTTTACACAACCATGACACATGTCCATTGTAAGTGACAAACATGAAAATTTATAAATTAAACATAATGGTAAAGACTGGGAAGGTTTTCTTATCTGTGTTGTTAATTATTACCTGTGGTGTGCTCCGATCATCTGTTCGTTCATATTTGCTTAGACACTCTTGCAATCGAAGAATCTGCAAGACCAATGTCAATAAAGAACTAATAAATGAAATATCATCAGTCGAATTTCTACACTATAAGTATCATTTAGAGCTTGTATAATCAACAGTAAATGAATGCTTCAAATCTTTGTATACCTCCTCGCTCAAAAAATGAAGATTTTCACGCTGATATTGCAGCAAAGCCATTTGCTGATCAGAGAGCCTACCATCATGGTACCTGCATCAAGATATTATCTTTACAATTCAAGAACCCACAGAAAAGCATAAATCATGCATTCAGAAATGATAGTTTCTGAGCAGTTTTTTTTTTTTTTTTGGGTTTGAAAATCAAACATGGACATTATGCCATGAAGTTTATTATAAAAGAAACCAAATTACAAAATGATTGCCTTAGACCCTCCAGAGAACTTGATGGTTGAAGTGGCGAGTATAAGGATTTCAGAACATCAGGCTGCGAGTTTAATGAATTGTACTGGTGTATGTAACCTGCTTGCACCAAAATGTAGTTAGGAAGGGCAAGGTTAAACTAGTACTATTTCTACTATATACGAAGAAGAGATCATATAATTATAAAAGTGGTGAATTTAAGCAAAACATGTCAATAATTACTTTAAATAATAAGAGTAGATAGGTAGAATGCAATACATTTTTCCAGTTTTTTAATCCAATGGAGGACAGGAAGGGGACAGAGTCTGCCCAAAGCACAAGACATCCCTATAATTCCTTCTAAACAAATTTCTTAATATTGTTTTAAATTTTGTATATTATAGTATCTACTGAAATACATTTATAAAAAGAAAAACTCCTTCGGATTTATATATATAGGAAAAATAAATAATTCCACACAAATCAAAGTCATTTAATATCATTCAATTTCACTGATCTTTATTCAAAAATAACTTTCTTTTGGTAAAATATCTCATTGAAACTTGATATCATGAATAGAAAGGAATGATATCATTAAATAAGCTTAAATTAGTTTGATTTGCTTATATTTAAATCTACTATACATGACAACTTTTTTGCTTATATTTGAGTTCAGAGGAGTATTATCTATCAATACATTTTCTCAGGTTTTTCATCCAAAGAGAGGCTTTAGCACCTGAAGGTTCAAGATATCCCTTTACAAGATCTTAAATTTGTTTAAATTTTGTTCTTGTGATATTTTAGTCCTATCAATATAAACAAATCATAAATGAAATTCGTAGCTTCAACTCCCCCTCCTCCTCATAAAATAAATATTAAACTTACCAATGTAAAGACTCATAAAACATCCTGCACATACTGCTTCAACTACCATAATAATCCTGCAGAATTTTGAATCAACCAAAACGAGACAATCATCTTAGTAGAGTAAAAAAGTGAACTAATTTCCAGCCATTCGCTAAAGGAAAAAGGTAGAGGGAAGAAATATGCCACATGGAACAATAGCTTGATGATGAACAATTTATCATTGGGTAAAAACCCAACCTTGGAAGATGTAAGCATAATAATTTATGAAAACATTATCCCGAGTTTTGACTAACAAAATTTCATTAGATGGTGGCCATGCCAGAAGTTCGACTGTTAATTCATCTAGACAAAAGGAAGCGGACAGGGAGATAAAGACATGCTATATGCTGTGAAGTATCCAACAGTTCAACTGCAAACCAAACTCCCTGTCTCATACTAAGCATATATAGCTCAGCTAGAAAATCTATAAACTGAAATATATTGTACCTCACTTATCTAGTCTACTAATTAAATTACTCTTAAAATAATGCTGTTTTAAGTTTAGTATACTCATTTAACCAAATATACAAAACAGCCTCAATGTTTATTCCCTGTACCTGGCGCCTATTATTGATGTCAAAATTCAGATTAAGGATGTAGTCCTTCATATTTTGAATTTGCATACTCCTGCTAATATTCCATTTTTTTTAATTTCAATTTAATCTACCCTATAAAAATGTATAAAATGAACAATTATAACCAAATGGAGAATATACCTCAATACTGCAGAGATTGACAGAAAACCAGTGTAAGGTTTCCAAACTATAACAAGGAGCATTGCAGCAGTTCCTGACATAAAATCAAATTGCTGATAAATTCACATAATATAAACTTGCAACGTTGTTAAAAAATATCACAACATCCACGTGCCTCCACCAAACAATTTATATTTTGGGCTTGAGTTGGTTTTTGACATTATGACATATCTATCAATTGATATAATATATTAAGTATAACCTGAAAGGAAATTTTAAACACTCAGATACACACCATAAGCCGTAATGGAAAAGGGTATTCGGACGATAAATTTCAACTTCTGGCTGAAACTATAGTAGCCCTGAAAAATCATGTTGGTGATAAAGGAAAACACAATCAAACATTAAACAACGTGAAACATAACCACAACTTTCAGAGATATTTGCAGCAAATTTGATAGTGTTAATTATATTATTTTATAGGTCTAATGTCATTGCAAAACTTTCAAAAACCATTGTGACAGTGAAATGTCATAAAAAGAATTACCTGCAGGCGTATCTTTTGCACTTGATAAACCAGGTATTGTTGAAAGATTCCTGAAACAATAAAAATATAATAAAACTGTATGCACAGAATATTAAGCAGAAGTAGAAGAAGCTTATTAGTTATAATGCTTAGTAAAATTAAACTAATATTTATTTAGCTAGAAGTAATTTTGTTAACTTTATACATTAGCATTTATGAACATAATAAAAATGTAAAGTCCAAAGCATTTGTCTGCACTTGAGTTTAGATTCTATTAGGTTCCACAAATCTCAAGATGGTTATATTAAAATTTAATTAGTAATGGTGTGTTAATACATAAAAAATTTCAGTATTCTATAGGGATCTGATTTGGGCTCGTAGAATCAATGCAGCAAACAGTGATGGATTGGGCTTAACTTTCTTTTCCCCTTGGGGGAGGAGGGGGGTGTTTCAGATTGTACATTCTTATTATTTCCACTTTCCCATGTCATCTTGTTATAAAGTAGTCTATTCACTGGGTACAACTCTTTATTCGAAAAGTTATTTTTGAATCTCAATTGATTAGGAATATCACCAAATTATAATATATAAGTTAGGACAAACCTAATCTTACAAGTCAATTTTATAAGATTTAATTAAATTTAAATCCAACATTTAAAATTGCTGGGTCTATCATGTCACTTGCTAGCAAATCACCCACAAATATTTTGGAAGTTATTCATTCTCATGTTCAAATCTTTGACAACATGGCTATAATGAAAAGTAATAGTGAAGTCATAAGTTTTTTCTCCTTATCACTAACCTCTCTATCAAAAAATCCATAGTGTTTTATGTTTGGTTTTCACCATTATATTTCCAAAACCCAGACATACAATTGTACACCATATGTAAAATCAATCAATATAAAAAAAAAAAATTGAACTACCACTGAGCACTAGCTAGTAGTAGCCATATCAACATAACAAGGAAATTTTGGCATTCTTCTGAAGATCTCAGGGGAGACAAAAGTGGAAAAACTGAGTGCAATGAGTAAAGAAGGACTGTTTAAACAAACACAGAGAACTGAGGACCCATTCAGCAAAGACATTCGTTCTACAACACATTTAGAAACGCGCTAGCTTATCAGATAACAACTAAGAAACCCTAATTGAGGACAGTTCCAAACCTGTCAACAGCAAGAGAAGAACATCACAACTACAAAGCACGGGAGAGATGAGTTCTTGCACGGGAAGAAATATCCACCGAACTCCAATGGCCAAAGCAGCATAACCTGCCTAAAATGGAAACAACCAATAAAAAAGCAATTCACACCACAATCAATGCCAAAATTGAATTCAATCAAAATCATCACAACATGTTGCGAAACGAGCCGTTAGGAATTGAACTTGCCAATAGAATGCAATAGAAGACGCTGCCGATAACCCTCGCAGCCTTGCGGTGAGCGAAAAGGGGAGCCTCGTGCAGAATATCGAGAAAGCTACGAAAACGAAATCGAAGTAAGTTGTTATGCATCGTGGAACTAAGCAATTGAAAATGAAGAGTGATTGAAGTGTTGTGTGTGCGTGACTCACAGAGCGTTGTCCTCTGGCGATATGGCTGATGGAGAAGCGTATCTGTCGGTTGCCATGGCAGAAGAGAAGAGAGAAGGTTCGATTCCAGGGTTCAGTCACGGAGGTTCTCTGATCCCTGCTCGCAAAACAAACTGTAACGTTCTCGTGTCTACCTAATACTAGTTTTTTTTTTTTTTTTTGTATATATAAATAAATAAATAAGTTGTTAATTATATTTGTTTCATTTGCTTTATTTTCTTAATGGCTTGAATAAGTTTTGGTGTTTGAATTTTCGTGTATCTATACTTTATCTTAACCTTTTTTCATAAATTTTTGTTCATTTGCATTATTGGTTCTTTTTGTCCCGTAAGTTTGTTTCGTATCTGTTATGCAAAATAATAATTTTGTACAACTGATTTTTTTTCGTTGTTGATTTTTGTAATTAAGTTGAGGCATGATCTTTGGTCGCATCATTTAGTACGATTTGTGCTCAGATTTTCATGTCATATAAATAAGTTTAAAATTTATTTCATCTCTAAGAAAATAATATTTTAGAGTTATCTAATGTTAAAATAGTTAAAGTTTTCAACGTTTGAAATTATAGTAGACTCACTAAATATGTTATAAAGACGCGTATGAGTGAAATATTAAAAAATAAGAAGGAAGCTGATTTAATAGAAAAATCCTAAATATTTAATGATGTAATATGTATTGATATAAATAATAACTTACGAGTAATTTATCTAAATAGAAAAATATTATAGATACAATTAAATGAAATCTTATTTCACAAAAATATCTCATTTAACCCTGTCCCATCTTTTTTTTTCAATTTATAAAAGATTTTCTTTAAATAAAAAATTTCAATTATCAATTTTCCAAAGAAGCTTTTTTAACTTTTAACAAAATATCAAGATAAATTTGTTTATATTCTCATTCTCACAATAATAAATTTATTCCAATTGAAAGTACCACATCACATGAGAAATGAAATAAAGAAAAAGAAAAAGAAAAAATTAGGCAAACAAAGTAAAGTGAAAATTCGATGATGTTTTTATTGAGGCTAATATGTATGATTTTGGAATCAAGGTTTATTTTCTTTAAACCATAAATATTGTTCTTCTCTGAAGTAAAGTGAAAACTAAATTCTCATTTCATCTCTATAAAAATTTGACTTGAGAAACTTTACATTTACTCTCCTACTTTAATACATGTCAGTTGCTATGTTAAACTGCTATTTATAACATAGTAATTTAACTATAAAGCTTAACTTCTCAAGAATATAGTATTGAACACTTTCTCACATTATAGTAATAGACTAAAAGTTTAGATTATTTTAAATCAATTGTGCAAACAGAATTGATAAATGACTTGTTCTTATCCAATAATAAAGGTTAGGTTATCATGGTTTGTTTGTTTATGAATGATGTAAGTTTCATTCTCCTCTATTTTTCATATAATAATCTGTTCTCTAAGAGGAGCTTAAGAGATCTACCAAATCACAAAACATTATATCTATATCTTAAAAAATCGCTTTATCATATTATTCTCAAGAAATATTGGCTAGAAAGTATTTAACCACTTAATCTTGTAATTAGTCATATCAAAATCAATAAACACTAATTCCATCAATTTATATGACTCATCTCAAACACTCTTAAGTGTAGTGACACGACTACAGGTAAGTCTATTTTCATTGAACCGAAATCCAGTTAACATCACAATATATTTCTCTCATCATAGAAAACATGGAGCATTCTCCTCACTTGAGCCAACCTCCCAACACAAAATCTAGCATCTGATTAAGGATATGTTAGATATATTTTTTCATAGAGATTTCTGAAGAAAAAATAAATAAAAAAAATTAAAATTAACTTGTGCATAACTAATTCATAGCCGTGAACATGGAGCATCAATACATTACAATATGTAACTAAAAATTTATGATCATTATTATGTATGTGATACACATAATTCAGTCCATAATGTTCTTATATGATTTACAACAACTTCTAGCTTATTTTATACATCATGCCAACCCAACTATTTCATTATACAATGACACTTATCTTTAATCATTAATACTAGCATCAGCTGCTCTAACTTTGAGGCATGACATGCGAGGTGGTAGACCAGGGACCATATTGTTATGGAATTTAAGCTACAATAGGATAAGATGCACAAGTTGCAACACCTGAAAATGAACAATTAACAAAATCAGTTTATCTTAAATTAACAAAGTCAAATTTCAATTGTTCACTTGTTTTAAATTTGAATTCCTTTGTTACTACGCAATTGATTGAGGTCATTTCAAGTTTGGTTTTCCAGGGGGCAGGGTCTGTAGAGTTTTTCTTATTAAGAATTGAGCTTTTATGAATACTTACCGCACATGTTCTTCCCCAATTCCATCTTGAAGTAGCCATTGTCACCCCAGTTTTCTCCCCATGAATTTTTAATGACCCAATATGGGACACCATTTTCAACTCCATAACCAACAGCAAGAACAGCATGGTTCACATCCTGCCAAGCAAATTCGGATTTTGACATCTCTTCAATGACCAAAATGAACATGCAAAATACAAGGAAACTAGGACACTTTGAAACACATCAAAATAATTAACTAATATTTGAAATGCTAACAGTTTGAAAGCATATGTGTTACAAAAACAACATACCATATATTGGATGCAAATTATCACAAAGTATTAACTTGTAGCAAACCATTTTGTTTTGAAAAATTTATGGGACATTTTTTACTTGACTATCTAAAGCCTGGTAATCATTTGTAGAGCTCACCTGGGGAGTGCTACCGCAAGTGTCACTGGTGTAAACTCCTTTCTCATAGAATCGGAACCCATTAACCACCTGAAAGGCCACACTAACTGGTCGAACAAATGCAACTGCATGTTTTAGTTCATCCTCAGCACCCTGTAGTCAAAACATATAAAAAAATTATAAAATTTAATGTAAACACCATCTAGGAATTGAGACCAAGACAGATTTGTTTCCTCCCTGCCAGAAATGAATGCATTAGTAGCAACATTTAGTGACAAAAGAGGCATTTTCAACACTGATACTGACACCAACATTTTTTTTAAAGAAAAAACAAGTTGTTTCACTAATGTTAAACTATGGACATATGAAGAAGAAAACTCCAACTCATTTAGAGGAAAAATCGGAGAAGTGAATACCAAGGTGATATTGACAGAATCAAGGACTTGAATCGCAACATTTTCAGCTGAAAATTTGCAGACACCATCTTTTCCCGTGTAGGGATATGCTTCCTCTGTCTCAAGCCCACCATTGTCCTTAATGTACTCGAAGGCTTGTGATGGCAACCCACCATTACAGCCGAAGTTGTTGAAATGACCCGCACAATCCACTAGTTGCTGCTCGGAAAGAGAGATACTCTTTCCATGTGCTTGTGCATAGGCTGCTTCTAAAGCCCCTGTTGTGCTGCATTATGCAGATATCACCACGGTTAGAATCAAGACAAATTGGAACTTATTGTTCATTCCATAGGGTGTTTCAGGGTCCCAAAGTAACCTGAATGTCCAGCATGATCCGCAGCTTCCTTGATCTTTAACTGCGCTGACTATATTTTCTTGTCTCCAGTCTTTCTGTATACATGATCAATGGAATAAAAATCTGAGTAATGCTACACACCATCCTCTAAGCATTGCAACAAAAGGTATTGAATAAAAAAAAATACAAACTTATTATCTCAAGCAAAAAATTACTTTTTTTTTTTCCATTAAGGAAAAGAAAAACAATACATTAAATTAGTTTTTCAAGTCATGTACATCAATCAATTTAGTCTTGACATGACAAATATCTTATTTTAGTGAGACTGTTCTTTTAAATTCTTACAGTATTAACTGCCACAGGTACCGTTATGTCAAAAGTCAAACATTTATGTGCTGTGATAAAAAAAAAAAACAACAGTGAACACGAAACGTGGATATCTTCTTATTCTGTTTAATTTGTGTTGTATGGAACAATGCAGTTAAGTAGAATTTTGAAAACGAACCGTTGGAGGAAGAACAGCATCGGTAAGCTTGTGGTTGCCATTGTGAGTGGCAGAGCAATTCTGAGCAGCACCTAGTCTGTGTCTTTTAAACTCCTCCCAAGTCCAATCAGCAAAATCTGTTTCATAAGACAAATAATATAGTCAAAACCTGTTTCAAACCAAACCCTTTCCACACTCTTTGTTTTTTCTTGAACACCTTAACCAAACTTGAGCAATCACATGAAACAAATAAATAACATAAATGCATGAAGACGGAAAAATGCTAATAATAATTGTATCTGACAAAGTGCTAAAACATATTCAATTTATTACTATTATTTTAATATGCTATTTATTATTTGATGAAGGAAAATACTATAAGCTCACTCCATCTATGAGTGAATGGAAAAAGAGAAAATAAACTTATTTCAAAAACTCATAAATGTGATTAACAATATGATATAATGTAAAAGAAAGAAAGCCACTCATATTAAGTTACATATTCTTTTACTAAATAATTAAGTATGCATTCTATCTTATGAGATTCATGTAAATCACACAAACATTTCCATTTTCCAAACAAATATAGAATGATATATCAATTTCACGTTCAACTCATTTAGAAAATTAGAAAGCATAAACAGTTTAACGTGACGAACCAAATGTAAAATATAACATATTTATAATGCAATATGTAAAAAGCGATGTAAAATACAAAATTCAAACGAAAAAATAAAACCAATTTAAATAAAAGAATTTTATTTCATGACTTAAATCTGTGGATCCACCACTGAACGAACACAGTAGACCAGTCCTTTTTCAAAACAAAAATTATATTAATATTTTAAGTTTAAATTTTAAATATATATTTATTATTATTAATTATTTAGTAAAATTTAATTATTAAAGAATTAGCATTAAACAAAAGTAATCTATCACAACTTGACATTACAAAAGTAGGTGATAGGTCAATATCACTACAGAAGAACACTTTTAAAGTCACTCGTGATTAGCTATGAAAATCCGATCACATCTGATGAAAAATTCAACGGCGAAAGGGGAAAGAAACCAAAAGAAGATGAGAAGAGTGAGTGAGTGAGACATACGATTAACGGCGAGAGTGTAGGGCAAGCGTTTCGTGTTGGTGGAGCGGATGAACCTCAGGTTTTGCGAGAATATATCGAACCTCTGCTTCATCTCTTCGTCGTTCCGGTACCTCTTCCCAAACCTCCCAACGAACCGCGCAAACGGAATCGCGCTCCGGCACTGCCCTATCACCCGAATCACGTCCGCCTCCACGTCAGACACCATCCGAATCGGATTCGCATCCTCCAGCCACGACCCCCCCGCCACGGCGCACAAAAGCACCGCCACCGTGCACCACACCGCTGAAAACCGCGCCATGTTTTCCACTCTCTTTCTGATGGTTGGTTCTCTTCTCTCGATCACTCCCACTGCTGTGGAAATTGAATACGGTTCACTCTATATGTATGCATTAAATATTAGTTATCCGGGACCACGCTATCTACCCCTATATGTTTTAATTTTTTTTTTTATTGGTATAGATAAGAGATATTTTTAAAGATGCGTGGATTGTATTTATTTTATTTTTTCTGTATTTTGTTTTTAAGATTCATTTTTAGTTTTAAAAATTATTTTAATCTAGTTTTCCAAAACAATTTTATTTATTTATTGATTTGTAAAAGGTTGATGATGTGTTCCATGACGTGGTATTGGAGATATTCTATTGCCCTCACACTATGATTGATGGACGCAAACTTTTTTAACCATTCTTCTAAGGGTTTTAGTCGTACAAGCAACTCTTTAGGCGTAACCAAGCTTTGTCAAGTTATGGAATATATATTCATTGCTTCCATCACCAGATGAAGACAGTAATAAACTGTGGCAACCAATGCATATATTTGTTAGGTAATTACAAGAAAAGTAACAATATTTGTCTGAAATTTAAGAGTACTGTATTTGAAAAGGGTTCATTTTAAGCATAATAATAATAATTCATGTCCCTTTTGGAACCTTGGTACAATGAATCTAGACAAGAAAAATTGGTTTTCAAAAGCTGAAACAATAAGGGGGAAAGTCATTCATATCTTGATAAGCTTTGTGTGAACCAGTTTCATCCATGAAAACTTTGGCAACGTCTTCAATTCCTTTTATGTTTTAGGTTTCCTAAAACTCTCAATTATAGAAGGTTGTTAGGATCTTACATGTTCACTCTTCCTTCTTGTTTGGTAAGAATAATTGGGTGTTTCTAATAATAGAGTTATGGAACTTATTAGGAGGTGTTAGGGTTTCTCAAAAGTTTTCATCGTGGAAATTTATAATTTAGATTCTTTAAATTATATTAAATATATTTATTTGTATATTTATAATTATAATTTTTTATATTTTATATCTTTTTATTATTTACTAATAATATATTATGTGATCCAAAAATTATTAAGATTTATATTAATGAAATTATATTTATTCTCAAATAAATAAGAATCACGTGTAAAAATAACTTTACTTAAACCTATTTGTAATTTAATTTTTAATTATCTAATTATTAACTTAAATCCATTTTTGGTCACTATAGTTTTATGAAAGTGTAATTTTGATTCTTATAAAATTGATCTTTTAATTTTTCTAAATTAAACAGTTTTACTTCATTAATATTTATGTCATATATGTGTTTAAAAATTTGCTACATATATTTATAAGTGCCAATAATAACAATTACATATCTACGAAATAAAATATTAATACTGAGTTTGATTTCACCATTAATACATATTATTTTGACATATACGTATTAATGACATACTAAAATCGTTTAATTTAAAAAGATGAAAAGTCAAAATTTTAATTAAAATTCTATATGAATTAAGATTCTATATTCATCAAATTATATAAATTAAAGCGGGTTTAAACCCTACTTATTTATTAATATTTAAAAGTAACAAGTTTTTGCCACAAAATATTATACCCTTATATAACTTTGCGTGACTTTCACTTCATCATTAAATATATGCAAAAAATTACAAACAAGGTCTTTTATGCTTTTAAGCCAAGAAAGAAAAACAAAAGATAATATATAGGCAACATAAGAGATGATCCCTTCCCCCAATTTGTCAAATTATAAAATTTCTTATAATGGACAACGAAAGGAAATAATAAGAACAAGTCACCTTAAAGGGAAAGTGCATTATGTATTCATTATTTAAGGAAACTTTTAGGGTAATAATTTAAATTAATAATTTCAACTCTCATTACACCTTACCGTGAAAGGAATTGTTGTATGTATGGATTGATAAGAAAAAATAACTTAAGTTAAATTATACGATGTTTTTGGGATAAAATTATAGTAGTGATGTTATAAAATGATTTGGATATGGACTAATTTAAATATTTTTGTATAAATTTTGTTTCTACATAATTTGTTAAAGCGATTGTTACATATTTAAGAGAAATACAATAAAGAGTAAATGTTTTTTTTTTTTAGTTTTGTCATAAATGAAGAATGGTTCTTTGAGGAATAAGATTCTTAATGGAGAAAAATTGTTTTAACCTTGTTTTCACTAAAATAGCAATGTGCTTCTCAATAAATAAAAAACTATAATGCGAGAGAAAAATTCCTTAGACCTATTTTGGTTCAAATGTGGTGGTCACTAATGTGTAAGAGAGAAGGAGAAGTTTAGAATGAATGTTTTTTAAGTAATAAGAAGTTCACTCAAATGATATTTCTTGTGTTTAGTGGGCGATTCAAAGTTCTAAATTCTTATATTTGAGTGATTTTTATAGTTTACGTATGCACATATATCAATGTTAGAAACAAGACAATAATAAAGGAAAGAATAAAGGAGAGAAAAATAAACGACACAAGAATTTTAACGTGGTTCGGCTAAAATATGTATGCCTACGTCCACGACTACACTAGGAAGTATTTTATTTCTGTGTGTATCTCAAACTTTACATAGGGTTGCTTATATAACAAAATAGAGAATCTCATCTCACAATCCTAATCGATGTGGGACTAAATCAAGCACCATAATACTAACAATTCTCCCACTTGGAGTTTGATTTACGTTACCACCTAGTGTAGTGCCTTCATCATCAATTTGCTCGAAGGCCAGTTGAGGCAATGCAAAGCCTCAACTTAGTTGTTGTAACAGTCTTGGTCAACATATCGGCGGGATTCTCCGCACCTGGAATCTTCAACAAACTCAAGTCTCCATCATTTATCGGGTTTCGATAAAATGATACTTCAATTCAATGTGCTTACATCTGGAATGAAGGATTGGATTTTTAGCAAGACAAATAGCACTTTGATCGTCACTAAACAACGGAGAACCATCTTGTTCTCTTCCTAATTCTTTTAGAAGGTTCTTCAACCATATCATCTCCTTCGCGCTTCCGAGATAGCTACATACTCGCTTCAGTGGTTGAGAGAGATACTCTTCCTTGAAGTTTAGACTTCCAACCGATAGCTGTACCACCCAATGTAAAAATATAACCCGTTGTGCTCTTTCTACCGTCAAGATCACCTCCCAAGTCTCGCATCGAGAAAACCCCTGTAAAATGAGATTACTTCTCTTGAAAGACAAATGCATCTTTGAAGTGCCTTTCAAATATCCGAATATCCACTTCACTCCTTCCCAATGCTCCTTTTCGGGATTTGATAGAAATCGCTCACAACTCCCACTTGCATGTGCTATGTCCGGTCCGGTGCAAACCATAGCATACATCAAGCTTCCTACTGCAGATGCATATGGCACTTTAGACATGTGACTTTCTTCTTCTTCTGTTTGAGAAGATTGCCTCTTTGAAAACTTTAAGTGAGTTCCCAAAGGTGTATTCCTGGTTTTAGCATTCCCAACATTGAATCTGCTAAGCAATTTTTCTATATATTTTTCTTGAGATAAGTTCAAAATACCTTTATCTCTATCTCGGGAGATTCTCATACCAAGAATTTGCTTGGCTGGACCAAGATCCTTCATTTCAAAGCTCTCGACAATTGTTTCTTCAACTTGTCAATTTCCGCCATATTAGCTCCAACAATCAACATGTCGTCAACATATAAGGCAAGAATGATATAGCTATCAACATATTTCTTCACATAACAACGGTGATCTTCTTCACATCTGCGAAATCCCGAGTTTCTCATAAACTCATTAAACTTCTTGTACCATTGTCTCGACGCTTGTTTTAATCCGTACAAACTTTTATGAAGCTTGCATACAAGATTTTCTCCGCCTTGTACTTCAAAACCTTTTGGCTGTGTCATAAAAATTTCCTCTTCAAGATCCCCATGTAAGAATGCAGTTTTGACATCTAACTCGCTCCAAATGAAGATTTTCTGCAGCTACTATACTCAAGATAACTCGATGGTAGTCATCTTGACAACAGGAGAGAAAATTTCCGTGAAGTCAATTCCTTGTCTTTGTTGGAACCCTTTCACTACGAGTCTAGCCTTATATCTTTTGCTGCCATCCGGTTCTTCTTTCAACCTATAGACCCACCTGTTTTGCAAAACTTTCTTTCCTTCCGGTAGCTTGGTTAAAGACCATGTTTTATTCTTCCGAAGGGACTTTATCTCATCTTCCATTGCTAGCTCCCACTTAATAGATTCATCTCCCTGCATAGCCTCGACGAAATGCTCGGCTCACCAAGCATCGATCAACAACAAATAATGCAATGAAGGGGAATACCTTTGTGGTGCTACAATTGTTCCGCTAGATCTTCTAACCAAGATTTCAGGAGTTGCTCGACTCTACTATTTGTTCAGTGTTCGTCTCGAGGCTCGACATAGGCTCTACTTGTATATTCTGTCTTCGGTTGACTACATCACTTTCTGAAATTTCTTCTAATGATACTTGCTCTAGCTGTTTATTTACATTTGCGGATTCCGCAATCCTCGTCTCTATAGAACATGTTTTCATTAAAAGTAACATTTCTACTTCGATAATTTTCTTGTTTTGGTCATCCCAAAACCTCGTAGCCAAACATGTCGGATCCATAACCAATGAAATAACAACGTTTTGCCTTAGGGTCCAATTTATCTCTACTATTAGGGTCTAACATAACATATGAAGCACAACCAAAAACTTTCGGATGTGAAAGATTTACCTCTTTTCCGGACCATACTTCTTCGGGTAACTTATAGTCTAAAGGAACTGATGGTCCTCTGTTTATGAGATAGGTCTGCTGTGCTTATTGCATCCGCCCAAAATACCTTGGGTAATCCTGATCGGATTCTCATACATCTTGCTCTCTCATTCAAGGTTCTGTTCATTCTTTCGCCACACCGTTTTGTTCGGTGTTCCTGGAACTGTCTTGATCATTCTGATCCCATTCTCTCGAACAAAACTCCTTGAATTGACTACTGTCATATTCTCCACCATTAT